CCTGGACCACAAGTAAAGGATCAAAGGAAGAACATAAGCTACTGATTTTTAACTGAATGTGTTTTATTTTTGTAATTTCATGTTGAAATGGCAGGAAGCTTTCAACCCAATGTTGAAGATATGTATAATCAATCCTCCTTTGGGAGAGGTAGAGGAGTAATGGGTCTCACTCTCCAGTCAGATTTGTGTGCCTCACCCATGTTACCTGCAAGTAATAGGCCTCAGGGATTAACTTTCTATCCAGCTGAGACACCTATGGGGCAGATACCATGGGGGGGACCCGAGCCACTCTACATTTAATGCCGGCCACGACGTACACCAATTTAGTGACATGGTTTATCAGTTAGGTTCACAGATTGGAGGGTCCATAGCAAATTAATTGCTGTCTTCTGGTGTTGCTGGGGAAAAAGAAACCAAAAATGCCAACTGTTTGAAACAAGATGGCTCACATATTGAAGACAGTCCTGTCTTTGATAGTCAAGAATTCAATATTATTGTAAAATCAGAAACAGCACCTCCAGTTTTTAGAGGGGAGAACACTGACAAATATACTGTAACTGAGTGGGTTGAAATGATGAGAAGTTACCTAAAAAGGCAGAACTACAACAGTTCCATGCAAACAGAGGAGAGTATGGGGAGGCTAATGGGCAGAGCTAGAGATGTGGTTAAGATTGGTCTTAAAAGTGACCCTATTTTAAATGCTACATGCTCCCCAGATGTAATTTATAACATCCTGATTCAATACTTCAGTCACACACCCTCCTGCCTGCCACTGCAAGACTTCTACCCCACACTGCCATTTCAAAAAGAAGATGCCTTTGATTACTGGATTAGCCTCAACAAAGCTGCAGATATGGCTGAAGAAGGTTTAAAGCGTCAGGGGAAACAAACTGACGACATGAGCAGTGAAATTACTAAGATGTTTGTAAAACACTGTCCTGATGCAGAACTGGCTTCAGTATTTAAGTACAAGCAAATACATGAATGGACCTCAAAAGACATCCAGGAGAGGCTAGATGAGCACCAGAGAGAGCGTATGTCTAGGATAAAAACACCTAGTCACAAACCATCTGCAGCCCCACTGTTTTGCTATGACACACACATTGAATCCCAAGTCCCTAGTGGTGCACAAAAATCAAACAATGTTTTGTCCTCTTACAATGCACAGCCTCCCTCTGAGGTTCCACCAAATCCATTAGAGCCCCCTTCTCCAGTTTTATCTTCCTGCCCTGCAATCTGCAGAGCAGCACAGCCAGTTCTCACAAGTGCAATGCCAGCCTTTTGTTCCAGTCCCACAAAATCAGCAGCTCAGTCTCCCACAAGAAGGGGCCATGCTGGGAGAGATGATGTCTATGCTCAGGCAGGTCCTTGATAAAGTTCAGGTTGGTGGCCAGGTATCATCTGCTCGTCACAGGCACACATGGGGTCGAGCCAGACCTGTTATAAACTGTTGTATATGCAATGATGACAAGCACACTACAGAAGCCCACTGCTGTTCAAACCGCCTTTGCTTCACATGTTTCAGCCCTGACCACACGAGATAGGTGTAATAGTCGCCTGATTACATTGGAGCCCAGAAGCAGATCAGCCTGTTGGTTTTTCACAACAAAGGAGGGGACTGACAGTTGACATCCATAGATCTCCATATTGAGATCCACTATTGAGGTCGGTTTTACTCTGGAACCACCACATCCCACAAATACAATGTCAGTAGCCTCCTGGTGAGAGATCACAACACCAGCATTAATCAGTGACTGTAGGGCTACGTCGCTCAATGAGCATGCCATTGAACCACTATCCAGCATGGCACCAAGAATTAATTTGCCATTAACTTTGACATTTGTAGAATAAACTGTCACTTTTTTTTACTTTTCGTGTGTCTCGCATAATAATATTTTCAGACCCATTTAGTCTTTGAATATTTTGATACAGTTCAGCAGCATCAAATATGTGGGAGGAATCACTCTGACCCATGCGGCCTCCCTCCAGGCACAGGTCGCTTAGTTTCCCTGCACATTGTCAGCTCTGTTTGGACAAGAGCGCCTCGTGTGCTCAAAAGAATTATCCAGCCCACCGTCTCGAGTTTTTAGCTCTGAAATGGTCAGTGTGTGACAAATTTAGCCACTGGCTGAAAGGACATGTATTTATAGTGTGGACAGACAACAACCCACTCACCCACATTCTCACAAAGCCACGTCTGGATGCCTGTGAACAACGATGGGTGGCAAAACTGGCTTCTTACATCTTTGATATTAAATATATCCCTGGTCTTAAAAATGTGGTGGCAGATGCCTTAAGTCGATATCCCTTCATCAAATCTGCCATGGGAAGGAGGCTGTTACAGAGCCCATACAGCCAGTTACTTCATGAGGCCCTCCCTGTTTCACCTGGTTCAGTACAAGAGGCTTTTAGACAGTCAAATGCCAAAGACCAGGACTCCAAAGTATCACACTTACCTGGCAGCGCAAAGTTTCAGTCCTTCACAAAAGATGATGTTAGTGCTCTCCTCGAGACACACAGTGCATGGGAGGCTGCTGCTAGAGTACGAGCTGTCAACACCCTTGAACATTTGCCCCAGCTAATTGTCCCATCTCAAGACGATCAACCTGTGTTTTCAGACACCATATTGAGAGAAAAACAGCATAATGATCCTATATTATCAAGAGTGTTATACTATGTTGAACGTGGCCGTCGCCCGTCAAGAAGAGAGAGATCGAATGAACAAACAATGGTCATTAAGTACCTCAAACACTGGGAGAAGTTTACTCTGTCCAATGATATCCTTTATAGACTGTCTAAACACCAAGTTACCCATAAGAGACGCCATCAATTTGTGGTCCCCGATTCTCTTAAGTCTGATGTTCTCAAAGGAGTTCACGACAATGCTGGTCATCAAGGGCAGTTCAGAAGTTTGGCTATTGCTCGTCAGAGGTTCTTCTGGCCCCATATTGACCGTGATGTCAAAGATTATGTTTGTCAGTGTCCCAGATGTGTCATCGCAAAGTCTCCAGATCCAGATGGCCGAGCACCTCTTGAGAGTATAAAAACATCTGCACCACTGGAGATTGTGTGTATAGACTTTTGGACCGCAGAGGATTCTAACAACAGGTCCATTGATGTGCTGGTTGTAACTGACCATTTTACACGGCTCGCTCAGGCCTTTCCTTGCCCTGACCAATCTGCAAGACAAGTGGCGAGGCAGCTTTGGGACAAGTATTTTTGCATCTATGGTTTTCCTGAGAGAATCCATTCTGACCAAGGTCCATCTTTTGAAAGTCAACTCATAAGTGAACTGTTGAAAGTTACTGGTGTGAGAAAATCCCATACAACCCCTTACCATCCAATGGGTAACGGCAGCGTGGAACGCTTCAACAGAACACTGGGAAACATGATAAGAGCACTTGCACCAGATGCAAAACAGAATTGGCCAAAACAACTTCAGACATTGACTTTCATGTACAACTGCACAGTCAATGAAACCACAGGATATGCCCCTTTTTATCTGATGTATGTCACGAATGCCAATGACTTTTCAAGAACATTCTTCAAGATCCTGAAATTGGTGCATATGACAAGTATGTACTCTCCCTGACTAAAGATCTACAAGATGCTATGGCCATAGCTCAAACTCATGCAAACAAGGAACAAGATCGACAGGCTGGTTTCTACAATCGCCAGACTAAAGGAAAATCTATTGGAGTCGGCGACCGTGTTTTAGTATCAAACAAGCGTGAAAGAGGCAAACGCAAAACTGCTGACCGCTGGGAGTCTACAGTGTACACAGTTGTGGGCATGAACCCTACAACTCACATATCAAATAAAACACCCGAACAACGGTCAAGTTCGAGTCGTGCATCGTAACCTCTTGATGCTAGTGAACTTTTTGCCTGTTGATACGTTCAGCCAGCCTGTCGACTCAACTGCCACCACACCTGACAGCTCTGATATTAACACTGTTCCAGATGCTCTCAGGTCAGTCATTCAAGAAAACGATTCAAGAATCAGAACACAAGACTGGGTTAGTTCCCTATCTGATGAGCCCCCTGATGTTGGAGATGGAGATGTTGTCTCTGCAGCACAGGCAGATGGGGAATCTCTGTTACCCCCTAGAGAGATGGACTGTGACAGTCATCCCTCAAATATCTCAGTTGACACACAAAACACACTTCACTAGATGCTCAATCTGTTATTGACACTGAGCCTGACACTGTTTACACAGTTAGAACCCGTGTTGGTAGGATAGTCAAGCCTGTCAATAGACTGTTTCAGGTGATGACTAATATAGCTGATGATGGTGTTAGTCAACTTTTTGACAGGGTTTCTAATTCAGTGTAGACATTTATAGTAATAGGTTCTTTTGTAACCTGACTTTTTCTTGTTATGAGTTTCTGTTTCTTCTTTCATTCTGTTCTTTTTTTTAGTAGTGTATATCACCATTGTTGGTACAGGTCCAGGATCAGGGACCCCTTTTAGTTTTGGGCATGGATTATGTGGAATGTAGGCTGCATCCTGCTTCCAGGAGCTGGCAATGAAAAAAAAAGCACAATTCTCTTGCTACTCCATCCTTTTTAAAGGATACTATTTAAGTTGGACTTTATATATTCATGACAGCTAATTCATGTGACTTAGTTATTTATTTTATGTTATGGTGATAATTCTGCACTTCAATCATTTTGGTCAAAATTCAGCAGGAGTGGGTGTAACAGAGAGCAAAGTGTATATTTGTCAGTATGAATTTTTCCCAAAGTAATGAAGGTTGTGTCTGTTTCTGTTGGGATTTTTGAGGGATGCCACGGTTTAGAGCCACCTAGTGGTGAGATGACGAACTGCATGCGACGGGTCCTTCAGACGCTCTCGCGGCTTCCCCCACCAGAATTCTGCGGAGTGCTGGTGGAGGTAGGTGCGAGAGAGGCAGCTCTTCCTTACTTTTTTTTACTTGGGGTCATATTTTTCTAGTTCAATACCTGACAAAATATTATAAATGCATTTAACATCTACAAATGTAATTTATAAAGTTTTGTCATGGTTGGGCTGGAAATATGGCCCTATGGGTGGGAGCTGCGTCAGTTGGTGTTCCTGGCTAACTATTCAGTCATGACGCTAACTGTGTCTTTTTGTTTTTCAGCTGAGGGGCCACTCGCAGGCAGTGACATTTTGAAGATTTGTCTTTTTTTTCATCATTCTAGGTGGGTTATGGTCATAAAAACATATGTATATTATATTACATGTACATTATATATGTATATATAATGTTGTCTAAATGTTATAACTGTTAACTGTAATGGCAGTTATCTGTTCTTTTACTGTTTGTTTTGTTGAAGTTAGCTTGGAATGAGAATGTTTTGTTTGATTTTGAGAAATTGTAAACTGTTCAATTTAACTATATGATCACACACACACACACACACAAAATGAAATAAAAGAATTCTGCGGAGTGCTGGTGGAGCTGAGGGGCCACTCGCAGGCAGTGACATTTTGAAGATTTGTCTTTTTTTTTTTCATCATTCTAGAGAACGTTACACTGACATAGACTGATGTTGGAGTCAGTAGTTAAAGGTGATGTATTATGTTTCCTTGAAGAGGTCAGGTTAGGTTAGATCTATCCAAAACATGGCCACTGCTTTTCATCGAGTACAGAGTCATCTGGCAGGAAGTTTTAAAGCATTTATTTCTTCTCTGTGCTGATAATGTTTATGGAGATGCTGATCTCATTTTTCAGCAGGATTTATCACCTGCCTACATTACCAAATGTATCAAAGAATCATTATGGTGACCAGAATACTGGCCTTACCAGAGCCCCATAGTGAGTCTATGGGGTTCTGTCAAGAGGACCCTGGACCCAATAACAAAGACATGTTGAAAGCAACATGGGCTTCCTTAACACCTCAGCAGAACCAAAGGTTGATCATTGTCATTCAATGCATGGAACCCATAATACTTATTACCCATAATGCATAGCAGAGGTCCTCAACTGTCCTGCATGAGTTAGGTGTTTCTCTACTCCTGCATACCTCTATTACACAGATATGTGATTAACCAGCTTCTGCAACAATTTCAGGGATGCAAAAGAGGTCATGCAATGATATGACTCAGCTTACTCATCAAAAACATTCCGTGCAGCAGTTTGTCTGTTTGTTTCTGTCCATCACCATGAGTGTCTCAAACCCAGCTGTACTTGTTCTTATCTAGCAGAAGAGTCCATAAACTGGCATCCATTAATGGTCATGGATACTGAGATACAGCAGCAAAAAATAAATGTCGAGTTGTTTGTTGACCTGAAGAAAGATGAAGATCAAGTATGCAGATACCTGAACCCACAGTATGGTGGAGAAAAAGGGACAAAGATTGGAACAAACTGTGTGAGAGGCCAAGATCAACAAGAAATCAATTACCTAAGAGTAAGTACTTCTTTTAAAACATGTATTTACATTATTTTTTGACTTTAGCATTTTAAGTTATTTACAGATTGTGAAAGTGTGGAATCTTAGTTTTCAATGATGCCAAACAAACATAAAAAAGAAGATGCTCCTTACTACCAAGTGTTGTATGCATGAATAAAATATAGGGCTACTTTTTAAATTTAGAATCACAATTTTAAAAAGATAGACTTGAGTTGCTTAAGCAGAAAACAAAAATAATTTTATGCACCATTAAATATAAAAATAATCAATTGAATTTATTAATTGTATTTAATTAATTTATTTTCATAAGTAAAAACAACAATAGCTGTACATGCTTAATAGCCGCAGACGTCACATATTCGAGTAACACGTTTTTAAGGCAGTTTTCTATTATTTTTAACACAATCCTTTGGTAAGCTAGCTGTAGCGTCGCACTTTGAGCTCTTTTCACAGCAAATAAATGGTCATTCACATTCAGTACCTCACAGATCAAAAAGGGCGGGCCCTCATCCGGGGCCACAGTTTGAGAAAGACTGATGTAAAGTTAAGACTGAGGCATCTGAGGACTGTACAGTGGCTCCTTTTCAGCTCTGGCTGATGCAGCAGATGATTTGTCGGTGTGTGTAAACGCTCTTCATGTCCACCTCACCTCGGGTGAACAGTAACCTCCTGACTCCCTCTGGTGGATGGTTGTAGGAACTGAACAAACACCCACTCAGAAGCCAAACCCCAGCTGTCCAAAGGTTTGCTTGAGTAAAACAATCTATCAGTTAAACTGAAAAACTTTGGATGGACACAGACGTCCATCCAATCAGGTGGACATCAGGTTTTATTTCCTGATATATTTAATAAAAACTGAACAAATATTCACATAAAGAACATAATATTTCTAGAGCGCTGTCTTTTTAAAGCAATCTTATGGAAAAGTCTAACATTAGCAAAAAGAGACATTGTTAGCAATATTATAATGCATTTAAAAGAATTGTAATACCTAATATAGGCACTGTTTGTTTATACAGCAAAAATCAGTGATTCAGTTATTGAAGCTGGTTGTCATCATTTTCTGGGTGGAAGGATCTCGGACTGAAGAGTTGTTTTCTGATTGAGACTTGCATGATAAAGCCACTGACCACAGGAACATAAATAGACCTGAACAGACAAAAGAACCAGTGAATCATTCAGGTGAATCAACCTATCAGTGCTATTTGGTGTCACATATAGTGACTGACCTTGCAGAGAGTTAAAGATGGTGAACAAGTAGATTCCAGTTAAGTTCACATAAGTGAGGCTGGCTAGTCCCCATGGCAACCCCAGTACACAGCTGAGGCCGAGAACTGTGGCGCCGTCCTTCCATAACCTGGACATTGTCTCCTTGCTCATCTTCTTCCAGTCGCTGGACTCACGATCTCCTCTGCCATGTCGTAACTCCCGGATTTTAACACCACCAGAAACAGCATGCAGAAATTATACAGCACTACCAGGCAAAGAAAAGCCACAGTGATGTACGTGACCAACTTTGTCTGTGGGAAGTCGCTGTTCATCCAGCATCTGTTCATCAACAAGTAACAAAACAGAGACAGTGATCGTTTGGAGTTTCATTGACTGACTCAGTAGCACATGTGAACTCACGGAAATGCCTTACATTTCTGATGTTTGGTTGTTGGAATCCCTCAGAGTGTATCTGCCATAGCCCTCTAAAGGCCCACAAATTACCACAACCAGGGAAGGAAAACCTGAGGAGAAAGCAAAGGGATGGACAAACCACAGCTATATCATTAGAATAAAGGTCAAAAACAATACATCACATAGTCACTGTTTGTTAATTAAATCAGTTAATTGTCTGGAGCAATTAACTTCATGCTCCCAACCAGAGTCCCAAACTCACCCCATCCCACCAAGCAGAGTTTGAGCAGGTATCTTCTGATGTAGATGTTAAAGACTCGGATGAGGAGAAGGTAAAGGTGGAATCCTTCCAGAGCCACCCAGGTGAAGGTGGCCAGCAGAGACCAGTGCAGGAAGAGGCCCAGACCTCCACAAACCCAGCTGTACTTGTTCTTATCTAGCAGAAACGTCCATAAAGTGGCACTCAGGAAGCCGAGGTGGAGACACAGCAAAGCCCCCGTTAGCTGCATGTGGATGCTGAGGGCCTTCTCAGAACGTTGTCGGCTAAGAGAGACACGACAGAAATTAATTGTTTGCTTTTTCTTTTCAAGGACATTTTTGGCTCTAGTGGCCTTTATTTTCTTGTGACTAGACAGAAAAGTGGGTTGTGATAAAGGGGTAAAGACATGCAGCCTATGATGGCTGTGTAAGAGGACTGAGGCCTCCATTCATGGAGGTTTTATCTGTGCACCCAGAAATGTGTTGTTAGTTTTATAATGCAAATGCAAAGTTTTTGCTGACTCTTACATTTTCTACATGACTACAGTTCACCTTGATGTCTTGCTATTAGCTAAATTAGCTTCAGCTAACAGCTAATTCAACAATGCCAGGGCTAAAGAATTCTCAAACCATCAGGTTTGTGTGAACATTACTTTGACTATTTAAACTGGCGTGATGTTGACATTTGGTGCTCAGTTCCAAATAAGGTGATTATTTACCAAGGAAATAATGAAAGAAGACTGTTCAATATGACTCATCATCCTGTCAGAAATAGGATTTGAGAACAGAATATAAACTGATTTGATGGTGTGAGCATGACCCACTGTCAGTAAAGATCAAAAATATTAGACAGTGTGAAGTAAAACATATTTTCTAGATTTGATACTATGATACATTGTGATTTCTGTTTATATTTTTAGATTATGTCTTTCATAGTGGACATGCACCTAAGATGACAATTTCAGACCCCTCCATGATTTCTAAGTGGGAGAACTTGCAAAGTCACAGGGTGTGCAAATACTTATTTTCCTCACTGTATGTCAATCAAACTATAATAAAAGAGTGAAAGTTAAAGTAAAAACTTACTGCAGACCAACAAAGATGAACAGGCTGATGAAAGCAAAGAAGGCAGAGAGCGCCGATCCAACGTAGGTGATGTAGCTGAGGGCCTCAGTGTGATGTTTATCCACCTTCACTTCTGGATTCTATACAGGAAAAATAAGGTTTGACTATCAATCCTCAGGAGACATTTAGTTTGCTGTGTCTGAGTTGCTAAGATTTTCACATGGCTAAATATGATCACTGTGTTTAATCAGCAAATGTTTCTCAGATTTGGGGCAGAATGTAAATGCAAAGGGATTTTTCCATATATGTGTTAAAGATTTGAAAATCATCTACAATATTCCTGACACTTTACAATTATGCACTATTTTGTGTTTTAGCCTGTTATAAAAAATTCTCCAAAAGTAGTTAAGGTTTAGTTTAACGTGACAATATATTAATACTTTTAGAAGTCACTATATGGAAATCTAAAACTGTTGATTCTTGGTGACAGAGAAACATAATTTACCACAAGCACAGCAAAAAAGCTCAGATGGTTGCAGCTGCAGATAAATTCATCTTCACTCTTAGTGGTATAACAGCCTTCAGTGCTCCACACTAATGAGAGCAGAAAAAACCAACATGTAAATCACGACTTCATGCTTTCATTTAAGAATAGTAAAGCTGTTTGCATCCATGTTGGACCTGATTCATCCTCCTTCCAAAACACACATGTTCCATTGTCATCCTGAAACATAGAAAGGGAATCAAAATGAAGGAACATTCTTGTTTTTTATGTGTTTATCATTGTATTTATTTAGTTACCGTTTCATTGTGGTCGAAGATTAACTGGACCGCCTCAGCAAGATTGGTGATTCGCTTGTTTCCAACCCTCACAAACAGGACCAGCCCTCCCAAAACAGTTCCCTCTACAGTCGGCTGCGTACGAGAGTTGGTCTGAGGAGTTTGCTGCGATGAGGAGACAGAATTGGCCTCTCTTTTAAAACTAGTATTCTTCTGGGACAGTCTCTGCAGCACAAGTGTCAAACTCAAGGCCTGTGGGCCAAATCTGGCTCGTTATAACTTTTTTATGTGGCCCTCTCAATTCTAGACTAAATTTTAAGTGTCCTTAAATGTCATGTTATTAATCAAATCAATACAGTTTTTACCTGTTTGCTCCTGCTCCAATCAGTCCCTCAAGTTTCTTATTATGAAATTCATGCAAAATCAACAAATTGTGCTAACAATTGGAAGTTTATTGCAATTATTTTTTTAAAAAATTGTGAAATACTATATTAATTGTACGAAACAGCTGCTTCAGCCTTTATTGATATCAGAATATAGTCCACAATCTATACACTAAGTTATAAAAAGTTCTATTTGCCATCATAAATAAGCGTAAATATTGCAAATATTTCCAAATTAGCTCCACAAAGACAGAAAATTTTTGTTGCAGAAAATCACAAAAAGAATCTGAAAATCCTGGAGGGAATGAAAGACATTCAATTACATTTCCTTTAAAGAATTCATTGATATTTTAACAGCTTGTGGATGGGTTTATCAATACCTTCTAGCACAGGCAGCCCTTTAAGAGAAGTCATGATCTTGATTTAGCCCAGAAGCAAAATGAGTTCAACACCCTTGTTCTAAAGCCCCCATTTTGTACTATAAGACCAAAAAAAAAAAACAAAATCACAATGGACATGAATGCAAATGAGCCTGAAGGAGAGAACCATCTGGTGTGTTCACAATAGCACGCCACTTAAGCTAGAAGTCCAGCTAAATGTGTCGAGGATCTTGTTCAGAGAATCACACCTGAAATAATGTGCTGTTGATCACCGAGGCAACCACCTGGACGGTTTCAATCAACTGCGTTCTTTTCTTTGTCGAAAGAGCTGATGATGGGATTCGGATCTTGTGATTGGACGTGGGGCATACTTCCACCTTAATACCAGAACATTAATTAGGATTTTATTAGGAGAAAATCAGTTATGTTTCAGAACATGTCCTGCAAATACAGTCTATTGGTTTATTATGTCCTAATAACATTTAGGAACTTTCCATCAAACTTTGAACACAGTTCATAAACATAAACACAGGACACATTAATCCTGTAAATGTCAAAAGACTATAATTGAGTTTATTAATGCAATTCAATAACTGAAATTTATATTTTGAAGAGTCAACAGAAGTATACAGTTGAAACCAGACAATTTACACACACTAATAAAAATGACACAGATGTCTTTTTTTTTCACGGTCTAAAGTGAGACTGACTTTAGGTCAGTCATAATTTTAGAAATTATTTACATTTACTAAATGCCACAGTAATGATAGAATGTCAGAGATTTAGTTACTAATTTTTCCAACAACAGAAGTTTACATGCTGGGTGATTACTGTCTCTTTATTTCTCATGTGTTGGTGCTTTACAAATAAAGTTTTAACCTCTGATCACCTCACCTGGACTGATGAGTTCACGTTGACCTTAACAATGTCATTGGAATGACTCCTTAGTCTGCAGTTTGCAATTTTATCTTCATAGCACCTATCAGAAAATGTTTCACATCAATCATTTCAGCAGTGATGCAGCACAAGAACTGCTTTAACCATATCAGATTTACCACGAGTTTCACAGCAAGCGTTCACAAGAGCAAAAATAGAATGGAGGAACTGTGTTCGCCTCTTTGGCCAACAAAGTTGTGTCCAAAAGCTGATTTGAATGCAAATCAAGTTAAAAAACAAACCCTAAAAAACATTTGCAGATAATTTATTAATGGACAAAAGAAGATGCTATTAAAGAGTAAGAATAACGGCCGGATCACTTACATGGTCCATGTTACATTAACTTGTTGTCTACACTCCCGGATAACTAGAGAGTTACAGTCTGTAAAATGGACACAGAATATGAAGAAGTCAGGACTGTTCATGGCAGACAAAAATGACAGCAGAGGTACGAGAAAAACTTGACCAACAATTTGAATATCACGCATTCGGACAGAAGATAACATCTATGGGCAGCACTAGACCTGGATGAATCTATTAACAGCTACAGTGATGTTCAAACTGCCGTAATAGAAAATTTCATCTTTAGCCTTATTTCATCTTTGATGGAACTGTTGGATACTTTTAACCATTTATTTTCTGATTGAATCTGGTGTGTTTTTGTATTTCTGCAAGATGTGTTTTTTTATTAAAGAAGTGTCTAGATAGTGTTTAAATGTTTCCACTACTATGATAGCAGAAGAGACCTGAAGACGTCTTGGGTGAAATGCTTCACCTGGAACTTGTCTTAAAGGACTGATGTGTGAAATGTAGTTGCCCTTGTTTGATTCTGCCCCCATGAATAACTGACAAAGAAGAAGTAGAAGTTTCTCATTCTCTCTGTCCTGCCATAAAATCATCCCCTCCAAGAGGTATAACTATGTGACTATATGTGACTATGTGATGTGTGTCGTTCATGCCTCTTCTCCCGGAAGCGTACAGAAAGAACGCTTTTGCCTTCGAATAAAAAAACTTAAAGACAAAGATTAATCTTTCTCTTATTATTGAAAAAGCTTATCATTCTTTGATAAATTAAATTTCCATAACTACAAAACCCCAGAATACTCACCAGCTCTGGTTGTAGGGTAGTAAAATGTTAGGAGATAAAGAGTAATCCACTTCATGTTGGACTTTCTCTTGAAGATACTGATCACTGAGTGAGACAACGTGTTGCTCTGGTGGTTGAGGGTTGCTTCATCTCTGGTTGGATCACACCCTGAGAGAGAGGCAGCAGAGAGGAGGAAGTGATAAAGTGGATAAGTAATATAGTTAAATGTAACAAATTTCTAAATCAACTTTTTTTTCTTTTTTTTTTTTTTTTTCTGATCCAGTTAATCTTTTTCCGCAATAATAATGATTTCTTTTCTATGTTTCAGGATGACAGTGGAACATGTGTGTTTTGGAAGGAGGATGAATCAGGTCCAACATGGATGCAAACAGTTTTACTACTCTTAAATGAAAGCATGAAGTCGGGATTTACATGTTGGTTTTTTCTGCTCTCATTAGTGTGGAGCACTGAAGGCTGTTATACCACTAAGACTGAAGATAAATTTATCTGCAGCTGCAACCATCTGAGCTTTTTTGCTGTGCTTGTAATAAATTATGTTTCTCTATCACCAAGAATAAACAGTTTTCTAAAAATTCACACTCCATTTTAACATCATGTTCAGCAAAAGTGTAAATATTTTCAAGGGTTTTGTAAAACAGAGCAACATATGTATTGCATTGTCATGAACAAATATAATACATGGTTTTAAATGAGCCTCTCAAAAGTGCTCCATGTATTTTAATTTCAACCTCTTGTATCAGCATTTTGTAGAAACTTTTGATGCAGTTACAGATTAGACTTATTTTATTGTCGTTGCACAAGGACACATCGCTGGGCCTCTGGAGAGGACTGGTGGAATCAGAGAGGATCTGGTTTGCTCTGGCTAAGCAACGTCTGTGTGCAATGTTCTGGATTGGGGGGAGGGGAGTCCCATTGATCCTCTCCACTTTCCTAAGTTAAAGTGAATAATATCAGGGGAATGATTGGAAAGATGGGAGGAATTGGAAGGGATTCTTCTATAATTAAAGAAAATCAGTGTGAAGATATAACACACAAGGAAAAAGCAGAGGTGTTTGCTAGGTTCTTTGCATAGTTCTCAAAATTTATCAAATAAAGAATCATGGAGATTGAAAATGAATGAAGATAATAGAGAAACTTTAAATAGGAAAGAGATGGATGGAGGTGTTTCAGATAAAGATTTTACATTGTTTGAAATGAATAGAGCTTTGACTGGAGTTAAGAATATATCTCCAGGTTAAGATGGCTCATGCTATAAGATGATTGAACACTTATCAGATGTTTTCAGATGCTGCTAAAGGAGTAGTTTTAAAGTTCCGCATTAAAATATGGGAACAAGGTGAATTGTCCTCCAGTTGTAAATATTCAGTCATTGTACCAAAAGTAAAGCCAGGTAAGGATAAAGTAGAGGTAAAAAGTTATAGGCCTATAGCTCTTACATCTAATATATGTAGATTGATAGAGAAAATGATAACAAAGAGATTAATATATGGAAAAAAGAGGTCTTGTAGTCCTTATCAGAATGGTTTTAGGAGCGGACGGACAACTGTAGATGTTTGTTTAGAAAAAAGGATATGTCCTTTTTTGTTGTTTTTTTTAGTTCTCCACCGATGCTTTGGACGCGCACTGCATATTGCAGGGCAGCTCATGTTACCAATGACTTACCGCAGCCACCTATATAGATATATATAGGAGGCTGGTTGCCCCAGAGACCTAAGCAGACGAGACCATATAAAGTGTTGTGAATACCAAGACCGTTCTGAAGTACTACAACACAACACAGGATGTTGGTGACAAACTTCTCATTCAGTGCAATAATAACTCTGCCTCTACACAACACATGTTGCAATAAGTCTCTGTGGTTGCAATGGGTCTCTGTGGTTAGATGTTTTTGTGTGTTTTTTAAGTTGAAGGAACATGCCATGAGACACATTCGGATTCTTATTTAAAGCTGCTAATCAAACTATTCACTTTGCTGATCACAGCCACATTATCTAAAGATCACTTATTGGTTCAATGTATCTGCTTATTCAGGTGCTTCAGAAGAAGCTTTTTTTTTCAGAGGGGAAGTTGTAGAACGGATTATTTATAATTCATTTCCCTCCTGAGAACCTTAGAGAGAAATAACAAAGCTGCATGTTGTACAACATCAGTCTTCATCTCAGTATCCAGTCAGTTCTTCTTCCTCCTTTACAAACAGTTTACAAACTTTGTGTTTTTCGTTAATTTCCTCTGTTTCCCAGGTCCATCAGTCTCCGCGTGCGCAGGGGAATAATATAGAACAATCATTCGACATCAGACTTCAGATATCTAGAGCTTTATCCAGAGAATTCAATGCATACTGAATGTTACATCAGCATTACACCCAGATTATCAAAAATTGCTCTCTCTGGCACAAAGCAATTCGATGTTCTGCTGTAAAACAAAGCTTTTTTTTTTTGCATTAGAAGGTGTGTTCTTCCCTTTGTGGGGTTTTCTTAATGTTAATTTCATTACCTCTGGGGCTTTCGGAGGTTTTTGGCTTCAAAACAGTGTGTTTGGCAACAAACTTCTCAATGTTTGACAATGTCTAGCAAAATGTACAATGTAAAGCTAGGAAGACTCAGGCACTGTACAGTGGCTCCTTTTCAGCTCTGGCTGAAGCAGCAGATGATTTGTAGGTGTGTGTAAACGCTCTTCATGTCCACCTCACCTCGGGTGAACAGTAACCTCCTGACTCCCTCTGGTGGATGGTTGTAGGAACTGAACAAACACCCACTCAGAAGCCAAACCCCAGCTGTCCAAAGGTTTGCTTGAGTAAAACAATCTATCAGTTAAACTTAATCTATCAGTTAAACTGAAACTTTGGATGGACACAGACGTCCATCCAATCAGGTGGACATCAGGTTTTATTTCCTGATATATTTAATAAAAACTGAACAAATATTCACATAAAGAACATAATATTTCTAGAGCGCTGTCTTTTTAAAGCAATCTTATGGAAAAGTCTAACATTAGCAAAAAAGAGACATTGTTAGCAATATTATAATGCATTTAAAAGAATTGTAATACCTAATATAGGCACTGTTTGTTTATACAGCAAAAATCAGTGATTCAGTTATTGAAGCTGGTTGTCATCATTTTCTGGGTGGAAGGATCTCGGACTGAAGAGTTGTTTTCTGATTGAGACTTGCATGATAAAGCCACTGACCACAGGAACATAAATAGACCTGAACAGACAAAAGAACCAGTGAATCATTCAGGTGAATCAACCTATCAGTGGTATTTGGTGTCACATATAGTGACTGACCTTGCAGAGAGTTAAAGATGGTGAACAAGTAGATTCCAGTTAAGTTCACATAAGTGAGGCTGGCTAGTCCCCATGGCAACCCCAGTACACAGCTGAGGCCGAGAACTGTGGCGCCGTCCTTCCATAACCTGGACATTGTCTCCTTGCTCATCTTCTTCCAGTCGCTGGACTCACGATCTCCTCTGCCATGTCGTAACTCCCGGATTTTAAACACCACCAGAAACAGCATGCAGAAATTATACAGCACTACCAGGCAAAGAAAAGCCACAGTGATGTACGTGACCAACTTTGTCTGTGGGAAGTCGCTGTTCATCCAGCATCTGTTCATCAACAAGTAACAAAACAGAGACAGTGATCGTTTGGGAGTTTCATTGACTGACTCAGTAGCACATGTGAACTCACGGAAATGCCTTACATTTCTGATGTTTGGTTGTTGGAATCCCTCAGAGTGTATCTGCCATAGACCTCTAAAGGCCCACAAATTACCACAACCAGGGAAGGAAAACCTGAGGAGAAAGCAAAGGGATGGACAAACCACAGCTATATCATTAGAATAAAGGTCAAAAACAATACATCACATAGTCACTGTTTGTTAATTAAATCAGTTAATTGTCTGGAGCAATTAACTTCATGCTCCCAACTAGAGTCCCAAACTCACCCCATCCCACCAAGCAGAGTTTGAGCAGGTATCTTCTGATGTAGATGTTAAAGACTCGGATGAGGAGAAGGTAAAGGTGGAATCCTTCCAGAGCCACCCAGGAAGGTGGCCAGCAGAGACCAGTGCAGGAAGAGGCCCAGACCTCCACAAACCCAGCTGTACTTGTTCTTATCTAGCAGAAACGTCCATAAAGTGGCACTCAGGAAGCCGAGGTGGAGACACAGCAAAGCCCCCGTTAGCTGCATGTGGATGCTGAGGGCCTTCTCAGAACGTCGTCCTCTAAGGGAGACACGACAGAAATTAATTGTTTGCTTTTTCTTTTCAAGGACATTTTTGGCTCTAGTGGCCTTTATTTTCTCGTGACTAGACAGAAAAGTGGGTTGTGATAAAGGGGTAAAGACATGCAGCCTATGATGGCTGTGTAAGGGGACTGAGTTTTATAATGCAAATGCAAAATGTTTGCTGACTCTTACATTTTCTACATGACTACAGTTCACCTTGATGTCTTGCTATTAGCTAAATTAGCTTCAGCTAACAGCTAATTCAACAATGCCAGGGCTAAAGCATTCTCAAACCATCAGGTTTGTGTGAACATTACTTTGACTATTTAAACTGGCGTGATGTTGACATTTGGTGCTCAGTTCCAAATAAGGTGATTATTTACCAAGGAAATAGTGAAAGAAGACTGTTCAATATGACTCATCATCCTGTCAGAAATAGATTTTGAGAACAGAGTATAAATAAATTCGGTGGTATGAGAATGACCCACTGGCAGTAAAGATCAAAAATATCAGACAGTGCGAAGTAAAACATATTTTCTAGATTTGATTCCATCAGTCAAATCCTGTAACAAAGTCACTTTAGGTCTACTGTGTCTTTCTTCAAGTGTGAGATCACTCTTATGATTCAAAGACTCCATAAAGATATGAGAAAAACCCAATCAGAACCTCATCATTGTACCTGACAAACGTCTCATACAATACATGAATAAACACAACAGACGTTGCAATGGCTGTTATATCTTTAGACACATATGGTTTCTCATTCATTGCTGCTAATCAAACAATTTCCCTTGCTGACATTGATCTGAACAACATAAAATTATATAAAGATCACATATCTGATCAAATGAATGTGCTTTTTCAGATAGTTCAGAAGAAGCTTTTTTTCTGATATTGGAAGATGTATAACTGATTATTTATTTCCACCTAAAAACTTTAGAAATAAAGAAGAAGAAGAAGGTTTTCTTAGATTTTTTCAGGTTACTATCATGGTATTTTTCAGCCACTGACAGGCTGATGAAAAAAACATTAAAAATGAACTTTTACTGTAAAAGTTCATTTGACCAGTGTATCGTCCTCCATGTGTTGCTAAGTCCCCTACATGGTTTGTAGCAAATCCCAAACATACCATTTCTTTAAACCATGGCTTTTTCTCCCAAGCTTTCCATAATAGTCAGATTTGTGAAATACTTGGTTATATTCCCGCACATACTCATGTGCATTTCACTCTGCGGAGGTCAATACTTACTTCAGGCGGACTCATTGCAGACATCCAAAGAAAGATTTTTGACTGCATATGCATGCTCTGTGTCACACAGTGAACTGCTTGGTGGGAAACAGTGTTCACATTGAACTAATTTGTAAATGACATGAAGTTGAGAGTCACATGGACACACAGCAGTTGTTCTGCCACTCTGTGCCACACTCACAAGTGTGCAGTAGCGGCTCCAGTGGAGAAGACACGAGGTTAGGCACCTAACTAGCTCATCAAAACTTGCTACTCAAGGACATCTGTCAGTCTGCATGCTAGTATCCATTCAGATTGTGGGAAATGAAGGAATGCAGACAACACCAAAAATAGATTAGACAAACGTTTTCCTCTGCTCTACAATAATCCCATTGGAGTTGTGTTTGTAATAGTTTCAGAAGCTGAATAGTTGGTAATTGTATAGCGCTTTTCAGTTCTGAAGGGCTTCATACTTCAATCAATCATTAGCCCATTCATACATACATCCACACATTGATGGTAGTGAGCTGTCCTGGTACAGAATCATTTTCAGTTGGCACCACAAGAGAAAGAAAAACCTGAATTACATCTGTCATTTTGCCAGATCACAATTTACACACCTGGCCACTTGGTGTAGATAGCCTATTTCAACTTTACGAATAGAGCACATTACATTAAAGAAAAAACTTACTGCAGACCAACAAAGATGAACAGGCTGATGAAAGCAAAGAAGGCAGAGAGCGCCGATCCAACGTAGGTGATGTAGCTGAGGGCCTCAGTGTGATGTTTATCCACCTTCACTTCTGGATTCTATACAGGAAAAAATAAGGTTTGACTATCAATCCTCAGGAGACATTTAGTTTGCTGTGTTTGAGTTGCTAAGATTTTCACATGGCTAAATATGATCACTGTGTTTAATCAGCAAATGTTTCTCAGATTTGGGGCAGAATGTAAATGCAAAGGGATTTTTCCATATATGTGTTAAAGATTTGAAAATCATCTACAATATTCCTGACACTTTACAATTATGCACTATTTTGTGTTTTAGCCTGTTATAAAAAATTCTCCAAAAGTATTTAAGGTTTAGTTTAACGTGACAATATATTAATACTTTTAAAAGTCACTATATGGAAATGTAAAACTGTTGATTCTTGGTGACAGAGAAACATAATTTACCACAAGCACAGCAAAAAAGCTCAGATGGTTGCAGCTGCAGATAAATTCATCTTCAGTCTTAGTGGTATAACAGCCTTCAGTGCTCCACACTAATGAGAGCAGAAAAAACCAACATGTAAATCACGACTTCATGCTTTCATTTAAGAATAGTAAAGCTGTTTGCATCCATGTTGGACCTGATTCATCCTCCTTCCAAAACACACATGTTCCATTGTCATCCTGAAACATAGAAAGGGAATCAAAATGAAGGAACATTCTTGTTTTTTTAAATGTTTATGTTGTATTTACCGTTTTTTTGTGGTAGAAGATTAACTGGACCGGTTCAGTAAGATTGGCGACTGACTGGTTTCCAACCCTCACAAAGAAAACCAAGTCTTCAAAAACTCTGACAGTCGGCTGGGGAATTATGGTTCTTCCTTTGCTCTGAGGAGTTTGCTGCAATGAGGAGACAGAATTCACTTCTCTTTTAAAACTGATGTTCATCTAGAAATACAGCCTCTATAGTCTCCATTGTGTGCTGTAAGAAATCCGCAATGGAAATTAATGCAAATGAGCCAAAAAAAAAAAATAAAATAAAACACCTGGTGCATTCATAATGACAGCTTTAGCTGGAAGTCCAGCTAAATGAGTAAAGGACGCTACTCACAATCTGTTTTTCAAAGAATCACACCTGAAATAATGTGCTGCTGATCACCGAGGCAACCACCTGGACATTTTCCTCCAGTTGTGTTCTTCTGATTTTCTGAAGAGCTGACGATGGGATTCGGACCTCGTAATTGTAAATGGGGCTCACTGCAGCCTTCAAACCAGAAAGATTTTATTCAGAAAAAAATCAGTTATGTTTCACTATCAGTTATGTTAAACTATGTCACAGTTCAGTTCAACTTTGAACTCAGTTTATAAACATAATCATGAGACACATTAATTCTGTAAATGTGAAAAGATTAGTTTATTAATTCAATAAAACAAGGGAAACATATTTTAAAAAGTTGAGTTATACAGTTGAAATCAGATGATTTACACCAAATAAAAAGATGCACATTTTTTTTCTGTTTGCCGTTAAATCAGATCAAGCGTCTCTTATTTTAGGTCATCAAAATTACCAAAATTCTTTATATTTCCTAAAAGCCTGATAGTAAGAGAAAGAATACGTCACAGATGTATTTATTAATGTATTTAAAATCAGAAGTTTAAGGATGAACTGATTAGTGTCGCCTTGGTAATCTCTGACGCATGAACGTGCACGTTTGAGCTAATTGGACTGCTTACTTTTAACATAATAAGAGAGTCAAAGGAAATCACCAAGATTTCAGCTGACGACGCTGCAAAGGTCTGGTTCATCAATTTCCAGACAGCTGAAGACGCCGCATTAATCAGATTCAACAATTATGAGCAAAAGTGGTCATGATTGGGTTTTTTCTTTGTGTTTATTTTGAGTTTCTGTGTCTCTGAGTCTCCATGTTGTCCTGTCTCCTCTTGATTCCTCCCAGGTGTCTCATTTCTGTGATTTAACCCCACATGTGTCCTTTGCTCCTGGTTGGGTCCATGTGTTGTCCAGTCCTATAACCTGATGCTGTCAGTGTTTGCGTTCAGCTGTGCTGCCTGGTTTGTGCTCTTGGCTGTATTTATCATTAGATCATCTTTTTTTCATCTTTATCTGGCTCTACAAGCATCTGCCTCAGCACCACTCATCGCACTCCCTGACAGAAGGACCCGATCCTAACGCAACTCCGGTGAGGTTCGCTAAATGAATCCCGTCATCATGGACCCAGAACAATCCCACCCGGACGGGAATCTGCACAGATTCTTACTGCAAGTAACAGAACAACTGGACTACATTTCCACCCTGGCTGCGGGTTGGAGCCGCGGAGAAACTAAGGACAATCTGGAGACGGATTACTCACTCCTCGTTTCTCTAGGATTAGCGGACATTTTTGAAGAGGTGGAGTGAAACAGGCAAGCCGCATTTGCACATTATGTAGGTGCAAATGCATCTATAATGATCCCGCAGCACCTCATCCACAACCCGCCAGTTTTAGTAGGTTCATTCATCCCGCTCCATTTTCCGGTCCAGCCACACCTCCTATCGCCGCTCCAGTCTTTGCGCATCCAGAGCCCGCCGCGCATCCAGAGCCCGCCGCGCATCCAGAGCCCGCCGCGCATCCAGAGCCCGCCGCGCATCCAGAGCCCGCCGCGCATCCAGAACCCGCCGCGCATCCAGAGCCCGCCGCACATCAAGAGCCCGCCGCGCACCCAGAGCCCGCCGCGCATCCAGAGCCCGCCGCGCATCCAGAGCCCGCCGCGCATCCAGAGCCCGCCGCGCATCCAGAGCCCGCCGCGCACCCAGAGCCCGCCGCGCATCCAGAGTCCGCCGCGCATCCAGAGCCCGCCGCGCACCCAGAGCCCGCCGCGCATCCAGAGCCCGCCGCGCATCCCAGAGCCCGCCGCACATCAAGAGCCCGCCGCGCACCCAGAGCCCGCCGCGCATCCAGAGCCCGCCGCACCCAGAGCCCGCCGCGCATTCAGAGCCCGCCGCGCATCCAGAGCCCGCCGCACATCAAGAGCCCGCCGCGCACCCAGAGCCCGCCGCGCATCCAGAGCTGCAGCTCCGCGACACGCCTGGTGGTTTTGCCTGCCACAGTAAACCCACGCAGTTAGTGGGTTTACTGCACAAGGGCTACTAGGAGACTCGGAAGAAGCACTAAGGGGCGACGAGAAAAACAAAGGAGCCACTAGAGAAGGACTCTAGTGGGATCATTATCAGCATATGGACATGTTTGAATGAATTTGATTGACTTATTTGAAAATGTATATGATTAAAGGAGGATTGAACCAGTTATTTGAAGTTTATTCTGTATTTACGTAAAAAATCACCTCACACTATTTTTCTGTCTCTGGAGTGTTAAATCAACCCTGATCCTCCCTGAGTTTAATCTTTAACAGCCCTTTATTTTTAATATTCCCTCGTTGTAGCATGAGTGCAATATCATAAATGCTACACTACACTGCATCTTGATAAATGTAATTGCAAATGTCAACTGACATTGAGATGAATATTCATTAGCTTGTCCTTATTATGTGAGTGTACAAGGGGAGCCGTACGGTTTGTGTTTGTTCTCAGACCAGTAACCAGTACACTGCTTAATATTTCTATATGTTCCAAAACTATTCATGTTGTTTTGGGAGGGGTGTTGGTGCCTATATCCAGCTAACGTTCCGGGCAATAGATGAGGTCACCCTGGACAGGTCGCCAGTCTGTCGCATGGTAACACAGAGACAGACAGGACAAACAACCATGCACCTGGCCGACAGGCACTCACTCATGCCTCTGGAGAATTTAGACAGACCAATTAATCTATGTATTTGGACAGTGGGAGGAAGCTGGAGTACCCGGAGAGAACCCATGCATGCACAGGGAGAACATGCAGAAAGACCCCAGGCTGGGAATCAAACCCAGGACCTTCTTGCTGCAAGGCAACTGTGCTACTAACTTCACCACTGTGCAGCCCATCTCCTTCCATGTTAATGGAAAGAAATAAAGGTTCACAAGGAAGGAAACTTACAAGAGTTTTGGCAAAGACTTACAAGACATCGAGTCAGGAGTTTGAAAGTCACCTCACACCGATTTATCCAAGACATGGGCTACGACATTCAGTTAAACACCTGGGCTAGACACGACATTTATACCTCTGATGAGAAGAACAAAGAGCTGGACCCAACTCCTCTTTCTCATGTGGAAGTAAAGTTTTCTGTGAGGAAATCAAGGTTACAGAGTCTGGGATGTCTGTCACAAATAGAGTGTGACGTCTTCAGGTGGTGGTCCACTGATTTTGATTACGTTCAAAGTCATCCAGGAAATTTTAGAACATTCCTTCCTTCCATGTGCTGACAAGGTTTATGGAGATGCTAGTTTCATTTTTCAGCACCTGTTTTTTATCACCTGTCCACACTACCAAATATACCACAGAACTATTATGGTGACCAGAAAACTGGGCTTACCAGACCCCTATGGAGAGGGTAAGAGGTTCAAGAGGAAGATGAGACACTGGACCCAACAGTGAAAACAGGTTGAAAGCAACATGTGTTAACATTTCAGCAGAACCAGAGGTTGATCACTTCTATGCAACCTAGTATGTCATTACTGATATTATACAGATTATATCAGTAAAATTCTATAATTTGACTTTGGACACCATCTGTGTTAAGAGGTACAATTATTAAAATTAACTGAAAAGAAAAATGCTTAAAATGTGTGTAAAAAAAAACCCTGAAAAAAAGAACAATCAATTCTCAAGTGATTTTTACTTTTGATCACCTCACCTGGACTGATGGGTTCACGTCGACATTAGCAAACCCAATGGAACGGCCCTCTGGTTTGCACGCTGCAATGCCATTTTCATAGCATCTATCAGGAGATGTTTCACATCAGTCATTTAAATAATGACGCAGCTCAAAAACTACTGTAACCACAACATTTTAAACACAAATTTAGCAGTAACAACAGCAAAACTAGAATCGAGGATCTATGTCCTCCTCTCTGGACAATAAAGCAGTGTCCAAAAGTTGGCATGAATGTGAAAGAAGTTAGAAAAAAATGGTACATATTTACAACAATATTGAAGGGGGTAGGGAGTATTTGACTAATTTGTCTTTGTAAAGCTTCACATCATGTTATGATGTTATTTCCCTAATCAAAAACATACTCAGATTGTTGCCTTAATTATTTCATCCATGGTTGGGGAATTATTTGCACAGCCTATTTAAGTCATATTTGATGTATTAAGTATTTTTATAATAACTGAAGGTAACATAGGTACTTGACAGAGCTCTAAGATTATTTAAGGTGGCTGGAAAACACATTTTGCTGCCATTTCAAAGAGACAGAGGTCAATTTCAATGCTGCAAATTATCAAGTACATTGTTTTTTAAAGTTATGTTTGATGAATACAGCATTTTTATAACAATTGAAGGCAACAAAGTCACTTGATTGTGCTATAAAATGGAAAGTGAATAACATCTCCCTTTAATTTATTGATGGTAAAACAAAGAAGTCATGAAAAGGCAAGAAAAGGAGCTTAAATCAACCCAATAAGCATGGCATCAGCAGCATCATTTACCCGGTCCACGTTGCAGGATTTTGTTCCATACAGTGTTTGATAACATCCTCAGGTTTACAGCCTGTAAAACAGACACAAAATGTGAAGAAGTCAGAACTGTTCACAGCAAATAAAGATGACAACTGAAAAAGCCAGAGGTACAAGAAAAACCTGATTAATGATTTGAATATAGCCCTGATGGATACATTAACAACTAAGCTGATGTTCAAGAATACTCACCAGCTCTGGTTGTAGGGAAATAGAGCGTTAGGAGATAAAGAGTAATCCACTTCATGTTGGACTTTATCATGAAGATACTGATCACTGACTGAGGCGCCGTGTTGCTCTGGTGGTTGAGGGTTGCTTGTTGCAGTGAGCAGAGAGTTTCACATCTAGTTTGATCACATGCTGAGAGAGAGGTAGCAGGGAGGAGGAAGTGAGTTATAATAGTTGTGCTATTTGAGTGGACTAATAATGCAATTAGGTTTATGGTTATAGAGTTCTTTTTGTTAACATACAAACAAAACAGTGGTTTGCCAAATTGATCAAATTAATTATCAGAGAAATAATGCAATTTTAATTCTGATGAAATCCCCAACCTTAGTTTGTTTGTGAGAAAATAAAAAAATAAAAAATAAAAATCCAGAGGTGATGCAAATGTTGCCAGAAGCAAGAAGCAAGTCATGCTGGTGAAGAAATGCTGACAGAAGAAGCAAATCTCCCTGCAAAAACAATAAGTGATGATAAAAATGATTCTGCCTTTATTTTGGGATTTGTCTGGAAGAAAAAAATTATGAATTAAAAAAATAAATCATTTATAACATATGTTGGTTTGGATAGCTTTTTTTTTTACCCTTCACGAATGAAGGCTCGAGCCCAGACAGTGAACTCTAACTCAATAAACACCATGGCTATTTAAAGATGTTCCTGTGACGATCGGTGAGTTTTGAGGTTCTAATTGTTTAAAGAGGAATAGATATTTACCACAAACTTTACAAGTTAGATATCAGTTTCTTTGTTACGTAAAATTACAAAAGTGATTTCATTATGGTTTCTGATGTTGGCTGTAACTTGGGAGAATTCTTTATTAAAGCATCTTGTGGTTTCTAAGAAAACATTGTCACCCGTAACATTTTACATGATTGCAGCAAAATGAGCAACATAAGCAGCTTCCTGTGGAGTCTGAAAAAAGTTTATGCCAGCTCAACTCTGACAAATACTTCCCCAAAACAGACCAGAAGTGCTAGACTTTCTGTGGTAAAACATCATCCTGTTTGATTATATAGAAAAGTGATTCATGAGTTCTTCCATTTGACTAGTTGAGAATCTGTAGAGACGGGGTCTGCTGAGGGAAAGAAGTGCGTAGTTTGACGTAAAAGTAGATAAAACAACATTTAAATTAGAGTTGCACTCAAGCTGCATTTTAAAATGCAACTTTGCAAGATTCGCCTCCTTTACTACACAACACCTCAGTGGGAGTTGGTCTCTCAGGAAACTATTTATAATGGACTGCTTGAAGACACAAGACAAACCCGTGATCATCTACCATCACACTGAAACCTAACCATACTGCTGTTTCGCAATGATCAGTCATCTCTGCATGGATCAGGTTTGGACTGAAGGAGGAAGTGGAAGTATCTGGAGAAAACTCAGACACACGCAGAATGAGATGCAAATGTCTGTTAGTCAGTGACACACACGATAGAGCTTTCCTTTATTTTAAACACAACATGGAAACTCAATGCAAAGCAAGACAGGAGCTTCATTAACAATAAACACGTTACAGCAATCAAAAGCGGTTTCACAAGGTTTCTTGATTCTTGAGAGCTGCATACACACACCACACTGAAGAGTTGTGTGTTTGTGTGTATTTGAAAATAGCAATAAATGCCGTGGAGTTTGTGGTTGTAATGTGAAAAATGTAATGTGATATAAATACTTATACTCTTATCAGCATTTCATGTTAAAAAAATGTGAAAATAATTGTGTCTTTTGTTGCTGAACTCCCACTGAAAAACAGGAAGAACTTCATTAGTGGAGAGATTTTAATTTTCTTTTTTCACTTTTCTCACCTTCCTGCTCTGTGTGTGATGCAGTTCACTTCCAGTCATGTTTGTGATGCTCTGAGTTGTTTTACATTTTTGAATTCTTTCTCCTTCTATAGACATGGGCAACCTTTGGCATTTAGATGTTTCCTGTTTCCCATTTCTGAACAGTGACTGAAAGAATTGGGCCTCTCTATCCCTTGGGACGTCCTCTGTATACCTCAGGAAAACATTAAGTATTAAATTCCTAACATTTATTTTGGAGAAACTTATAGAAGTGCTCCTAACAGTAAAGCTGTGTAAAAAATATGCAATTGCGATAAAAAAGGAATTAATCTGAAGACTTTTTGCAGTTTTTTCCCCCTGGGATCCATCCAGAGGTAGGAGAAGAGATCTAGTACATTTTTGTGTCTGAAGGCACTGCAGTGATTGAAGACAGTTTCTGCTCCATTTCTTTCCTCCGCTGCTTCTTGGCAGAGAGACAGATCCACACAAAAATAAAGAAACCTTCACAAAGAGGAAAGCAAAAATTGGTAAGTCTGAATTTGAACTGTTCTCTGCCTTAAAGGCCGATATCAAGAACCACCACTGCTAACAAGCACAACAATACTCTGATAGACGCAACTGATAGTTGTTACCTTGTAGGGAGTTGAGGATGCAGAAAAGATAGAGCACTGTGTAGTTTACATAACCAGACCCCAGGAAGGCCAGACCCCAGGTGGTCCCCATGAGGCAGGTGAGGCCCAGCAGAGTCAGGCCGCTCTGGCAGGACGTGCTGAACCTCTGTGGGACTTTCTTTGACTTTCTGCTGGCGCTAGCTTGAAGCTTTGAGTTAGTCTTTAACATTTTCTTCATCTTACAGATGCTTGAGGCCACTGCCATCAGAATGCCAGAGTTAAAGATGAATATGAGGGTGAAATACACGAGGTTCACTGAGTAGAAGTAGGTGTCATCTGTGATCCAGCAGCTGTGAGACAGATGGATCATAACAAGCAGTTTAACAGCAGCAGTTCTTTGAATATAACAGGAAAAAGGAAGAAGACAGAACACTTTTCACTCACATTGTATCACTTCACCAATTGTGGAAGTGATACGTTACCATTTGGGACTTTTTTAAGACACAATCACTTCCCAGAAACTACTTTGTTGTTTCCACAAGATGTTATAAATTGACATCTTGTGGAGTTTTCATCATACCAGGTATGTTAATGGGAAAAAGTCATTATATTACATTTAGTACTGCTTTATACATGAAATTAGGATGACTATTCACCCACAGCCTATTAAAGTGTTGTCAAAATGATGCATAGCCACAAATAATCACAACTAAATATAAATCTTCTGAGTTTGCAAGCAAAAAATAAAGAAAAACATAAATAAATTAAAGTTACATTTTACTTACATGCTGTTGGTTTGATTGGTGTCTGACATAGTCAACTCTGTAGCTCCGTAAAACTGTTTAACATTCTTCACACACAAAGATATTGACACAATTATTGCAGGAATCCCTAGAAAACAGAAAATTTGGCATAAACTCAATGTTGACATAAACTTGCTCCTGGTTTTGTCACATTTTTCAGTGCATTATTTGGTTATGGAACCAAATAAGGAAACAAGAAAACAAATAAAGTACAAGGAATTAAATATAGGAATGGGGAATTTGATACAAAACTCCTATAAACTGTTTTTGGATGTAGACGTGTTGTTTGATTGACGTACTAATTAGGATAAGCTCATGAAAACCAGAAAATCCTCAAAGTTAGCAGGACTTTTTGACATTAAACTAAATATTTGAGATTAACAGACTCGGTCGTTGCTGTTCAAAGTAAATCAGACGTATCAGGCTGGTCACTGGATCATTTATCATGTTTGTGTTGCTTTTCTGTTTATCATTTTTCATGCTCGAAGCAGTAAATTGTGGCTTTGGTAGTGAATAGCTGCATTTACAATTATGCTCTGCTACTTGTTTTTTTTTTTCTGTCTACAACAGAAAAACATTTGTGATGATTGTTCCTGCTTCTCTGCCTCCCGGCTGAAGCAGAGTCGCTCTGAGCTTTAAACACCAAGAACAAGAGAGGGATGTTGTTACTTTGATTAATTATCATGAGTTTTTTTTTCAGCTTTATTGTTTCGGTGCTCATACTCAAGCTAAATTACACAAGGAGAGAAAATATGTTGTCTGTGATTTTTTTTTCAGTGTCCCCAAAAGGAAGATATTCTTCAAGTTAACCAAATTTTGATTTGCCTTTCTGAAAATCTGAAGCCTTTTTCTGGCCCTGCATCAAACCGTAACACACTGATGAGACCCGTTACCATCTCATAGCACTCACCCCATCCGGCAAGAGACAGTTTGAGCAGGTAGCATGTGTAGTAGGTGTTGAACACCTTTATCAGCAGCAGGTAGAGGTGCAGGGCCTCGATGGCCATCCAGGTGAGACAGCAGAGCAGCGAGTAATGCATGAGCGCAGCTATGAACTCACAAACCCAGTCCGGCCCCGCCGTGGGCCCCCACTCAGTCAGCAGGAAGGCAGAGTTAAGGAGAAACAAGGCGCCGCTCAGAGACACGTGGATGGACATGGACGAGTCCATTTTGTGGCTCCTGTAGGATGAAAAACAAGATCTAAGAGCATGTGACAACTGGACAGGTTGTAACCCAGAGATTTTACTGATCTTTAATAAAACACAGAATTTACTGAACTATACTTGTAGTATAGTTGGCTTTTGTCAAAGTTCTATAAACCCAAATCACATCTGTAACGTGATCTGATCCAGAGTTCCCAAACAATTTCAAGCCACAGCCCCAAAAACCAGGATCCACTTTGCAAATCCATGAACAATACTAATATAATGTACAGACTTTTATTTCTCTCTTTTATTCATTGTTCAATAATTGTTACATTTGTTCAGCAGTTGTGCTGCCTCATACCTTCTGAGTTTAATTGGCAATGAGTTCTGTAGATATATTATGAATTCATCAATCGGTTCATTATATCATACCTGATAATAACATTTTCTACCAGACAAAAGGATATCTTTTGTCTATTTTCTATAAATTGGAATGAGTTTCTGTGAAAGCCAGATCACTTTTTGTTTTGTACCAGATGTTGAAAGCAGAGTGACTTTCACCGGTGTTTAGATGTTGCAAGGATGAATTAAACAAGATGTGGACAGACGGTTTAAAATGAAACTGCTACACAAGCAGTGAACAAAAGCCAAGATTTCACTGCTGGGTTCATAATTTTCACAGGCTGTCCCTTTTCACTACTTGGTAAAAATGCAAGTGAAAAAACAAACAAACAAAACAATCCTGGTGTTCAGTCAATAAACTGAAGTGGATTTCTCCTTAATGTAAGTCTGAGCTGGAAAACAAAGGCAGAGGAAATGGAGAAGCTATAACAGTGGTGAGAATCTGACGAGCCTGACCGGAAAACCAATAAACATTTGGTTCTCTATTTCAAAATGTTCACATGTCAAGATCTAATTAGAGCAACTTTCTTTATCTCCAGAAAATAAAGTGACTCAGCAGCACTTTAGAACGTGTTTTAGCAGGAGGAAATAAACTCATGACCTCATTATCGAAAGTGTTGCCTCCATTAGTTGAACTAATCCCTTTGCCCAACTCTATCCACCGTGTCTTTCTGATTGCACAGTCGTGTGCTTTCCCATCAAAAGCAGCCCACAATAGTTGCTATGGTGACATTTGGGAACTTCTTGAAACATCCTTCGATCTGACCTCAGGGTGACCTGTCAGTGTCTAAATTCACCTGAACGCCCTTCACTTCCAGGCCATAATACAGATTGTTAGAGCACTAGTTTTTTTTTTTTTTAATATTTTTTTTAATTTTGTCATGTTGAATATATTATTTTTAACCAGGTTTTCATTGGTGCTTCAGAACATTTAACTCTTTTTCCGCCTTGGTTCTGTGACTGATCCGATCCAAACACGACTTTGGTCTTTAAGCGTTTCTTCCTGTAAATTTATAAGATGATTGGAACTGCAGCACTGTAATCTGGTCATTTTAAATTTGTGTTTAATTTTTTTGTGTGTTTGTTTGTTTTAGATGGGTTTCTTTTTCAGTTACTGACTGTTTCACCCTGTAGTTGGATATCAACGTCACTTTTGGATGATAATGGATATTTCTCCAGCCAAAATTAGCAGCAATGGGTTGCTTTTGACTTTTAATTTATCACCACATGTATTGTAGTAAGGAAAACATAATTTGTTTTATTAAACTATACATAGCATGTTAAAAACATGTTCAGTATTTTGTAAGATGCTGAGGTTTTGGCTTTTGAATGCTTACCTGTTAAACACATAAATAACGAGAGATGAAGCGCTGAAGAAAAGAGAAATTCCACAGCCTATGTAACTGATGTCAGACAATATTTTCCAATGGGCTTCAGCTATTGGTGCTTTTATCTACAAAATAGTACAAAAACAAAAATACAATTTGGTGAAAATGCCAGCAGGAATTCTGAATCTTACTGGTTCACTTTCAGAAACGCCTGGAAATAAGTTAAAAGTGCAAATCACCATAATTTCTCTCATCTCATTAATGAAATCAATATACTCTTTTATTCTAATTTCTTATGCTTTCATTTCTTGTTACCAGAAGGACGGCGAAGGGTGTTGCATGGCTGCACTTGCAGATGACTTGATCTCGGTCAATTTCAGTTTCACATCCATCTGGTTTCCAGGGAGAATCTTGAAACAACATTCAATGTTTTTTAGTTCCTGGTAGAAAATACGGCACATTTCTAATCAAGATATTTTAAGTTGCTTTTCAAATTTTGTGTTTGAAAAGTAGGAGATGCTCTAGTATACTTAACTTCAGCAACCCTAAAAAAATTGCTTTAATACATTAAAATTTATGAGATTAATGAAATTAAATGAATGGATTAAAGTCTCTGACCCAACCATTACAGACAAATTAACTTCCAAGTGACTTTTCACCAAGACATATAGGCTAGTTTTCAGTCAACTGCAAAATAATAATTCTTTCAGTGATGAAAACCTTCTAGTTCAATTGATAGATTATTTCTATCATATAGAAATATATCATATACATATAAAAAGACATTTCCCCATTTTATAGGTGAAATAATCTACCAAAGGAACTGGTAGTTTTCACCACTATTATTGACGTAACTGTCTTGCTGAAAAGTTACTTGTAAGTTAGTTCTGTCTTATTAAATGTGTGCTAAGACATTTTAGCTAGAAACTAAACCAGAAATACTTGGTAAGATTCAACATTTTTGCAGTCCAATCAAGAAGCTCAGGGTCTAAACACATTGTTTTCTGTCTATTTTAGCTCAAGTTTTTTTTAGATTCTCATGATTTCCACCAACTTTAAAGTGGAAATCATGGTGATTATTACTAAAGATTTTTCTCTTGTTAATTAACCAGCAGCTGCTGTTAGATTGTATCAGGAATACCAGCTTGTCAAAAGTTGGTCAAACCTTTTAGACTCCGACCGTCGTCTTCATCAAAGTAGCGACACTGTAACTGGGAATCATTCTGTGAAAACACAAACACTGGAGAGTCACCTTATCTCATATTTTCTTGTCTCGGTGAATGTCAGCCAAGTTTCTTACCCTTTGTGGTTTCACAACCCTGAAAATCATTTTGATTGGTGGCTTGAGATCCTGAAGGTGAGGTTCGCCTAACGCCTCTATCCTGAGAACCATGGAGCAGAAATTCTCCATGTCAAACTGAGTAGGGAGACAAAACAGGAACCAGGAGAAGCTCAGCCCACTGTGACACTCTGCACACACTGTTTATTCATCGTGGGAAACCGTTCAAAGTAAGTGTAAAAATCAGACGGGACGGGTCACACCTGGAACTGGCTGTGGTCTGAGTAGCTGACCAGGCCGATAACGCGCTCCTCTTGTAAGATGTTTTCCAGTGCGTTCACTGGGATCCAAACCTCAGGGACAAACAAGTCGTTGTTGGGCCATAACTGGTGATAATAAAAACACAAAATAATGTCAAGTTGCTTTAAATAGGGAAATAAACAGCATATTCCTCTCCATCTCATGGCATTTTGCAGTGTACTGTGATGTCAGATATAAGCAATGCAAAACATGCAAATCATAGACACTTCAAACCATAAAGGAAGTTTGCTGTGTTTACTTTGTTATCTGATGTGCTGTAAAACTCCAGCAGGTGACCAGAGAACCTACTGTAGACCATAACTAAGGCTGTTTTCACACCTGGCAGTGTGGTAGATGTGGTTAGACTGGAGGATCAAAGAGGCTACAGTTTTTATTGTCAGATGGTGTGCTTCACTTTCACACTGCACCATGTCAAATCATGAAGCCCTTTGATGAACGTGTTCACACCCTCATTGCACCAGTGATTTTGGTGGAGGTTCCTGGTGAAGGTGGAGCGTCAACAATATAAAAACCTCTGGAGAAGACACTGACTGCAACTTCCTTCTTCACAAAATGCAAACAAAAATGGAGTAGCCTCAGATTTATTTTTTGTCTTTGGCAAAAGACAAAAAATAAATCTAGTGCCAGACTCTTGGTCTGCATCAGAATTCAATTACGTATTCACATCTCCCCAAGCGAACCAGACCTTCAGGGAAAATGAACAAGAGTTCAATCAAAGTGGACTAAACAGGGCTGGTATAAATGCACCTTAAGGCTGAATCTGATTTGATGACAATTTAAGACACTTAACATGAGTGAATGGACCAGGAATATTTGTCTAATCTGTAACATCATTTGAGAGGTCTAAGGGGATATCTGTCAGGATTACTAATGCAAAACTCTCAGCCATTTCATTAATCATGATTTTCATTAAATAGAATCATGAGTAAATTTGCTACAAAAAACCAAAAAAAAAACCAAAAGCAAAACAGAAAACAGGCTTGGTAATACTTGGAGAGGTACTGTATGCATTCAGTATTTCTCAAAATGTTCAGAGGTATGGAGAAGTACGATAATATATTTCAGATTACACCATGACTACACCTTTCATACGTCAACGTCTTTGTACCTGAGGAGCTTCCAGTGGGATCATGTCTTCTGAAACGTTCAGGTCTGTGTCATTGATTTTGAAAACATTCACAGACAACAACTTCAGGTTGTAGGTCTTGGAGCAGCCACCGTCAAGCTCAGTCATATTCATCATTTTATGAATTAATTGTTCCTCCAGTCTAAAGAAGGGACAAAACAAAACGTGTCTGCTTTATAGAAACAAGAAATGATTGAAAAGTCACAAATGCAGTACCTTGCATGCTGCTCTCTGTCAGATGCAGGTTTTTAGGGATTTAGTTGACAGAATAAATTGGTGTAGTGCGTAGAGACAGATGTCTGGTCTTCTTTATGCATTCAACCCATGTCAGAAATTTTTGTGATCATTTTTATGAACATTTTGGAAGTGTTTGGATACATTAGAATTTGGTCTGGGCTATTTCACCACTGGAATAAAGCTTGATTGAAATCCCCATGAAATGATGCTGCCACTACCGTGTTTCACAATAGGGAATGGTGTGTTCAGGGTGAAGTGTAGTGTCAGCTTTTTAAAATACATAAAAAAGTTCAGCTTTTGTCTCATCTGACCAGATCACCTTGGTCCGCACGTTCGATGTTTCTTACATTGTACATGGCCAATTGGAGTACTTTTGGATTTCTTTCACCGATCACAACTTTGAACTGACATGATGAGATTGCGTTGATTCACGAAGCAAGGCAGAGACGATGAGCAGATATGAAGTTTTAATTAAAACGATGAGCAAAAACATAGAAAAATGACAAAAATGCAAAAAAATAAAATAAAATGCACAGCACTGTTCAGTATGTTAAGTGCACACACAGTCAATTTAAGAGACTACAAGAATGTCAGTGTTTTAATGGCAATGTTTTAGTGGCTACTCTGCTTACCAAAAAAATAAATAAATAATAAGAAAAGTAAAACAAGACTGGCACTTACTTTATATACGCCTTCTTAATAACATTACTGGTTCTGAAGAGATTCGGACACGAGCCCCTTATGTACTGGAGTTTCTCCAGTTTCTTCAGGATGTCATCGACTTCTTTCAATCTGTGAATTAGTGACAGGATGGAGTCTTCCCTGCAGGGGGCGTGGTAGCAGACGGTGTCCGAGATGTCTGACAGGACAGACAGATCCAACAGAAAACACTATGACAAATTATACATATTTTACACAGGTTGGGTTGGTGAAATCACATAGAAGAGTAAAAGTAAAAGTTTCAATATAAATAAATTATTTACCAACGCTGATGAAAATTAGCATGCAGGTGCAAACAGAGTCTTTAACACAGACGCTGTACACCAGCTCTTAATGTTGGGTTCAACTGAAAAGACGTGGCACATTTCCAAAGAAATATTCTCCTACTTACTTCCATGTATCCTATACACAGTAATGTTATAACTTCCATTTGTCACTGAACAGTTTAAGCAGCCAGATGATCCATTGAACCAGGTCTCATTGGTTGGTGTGCATTGAAAGAAACAGTCTTCATCGTTCGCACATACAGCACATTCACTACTCCACTTCTCAGCCATGTTTTTATAAGGCATCGTGATGTTTAGATCATACTCAGAGATGTTGATGCACCCTGAGGACAGAAGGCAAAACAAACTCATTTATTGTATATGGAATCCTAAAAATTACTCTTTTTTTTTCTTGTTACTGATGTTGCTCTTCTGGCGAATCTGAGTTCTCAGATCCTTTTTTTCTAGACGAGTAATGAAATTTTTATTTTTTTTTAAATTTGAATCTCATACCTTGATCAGCCCTCGACTGATGGAGCAGCAGTGAAACCAGAACTGGAATCATGGTTTCTGTTCTGTGTGTATGGAATAAAAATAAACACAAGAACGGTAAAATAAAAGAACAAATTTATTTAAAATTCTTCTCACATAGATCTCTCTCTTTCTCTTCATATAAGGCCTGGCCAAAAACCACAGTGAGTGTGATTGTGTTGATAAAGTTTCTTCACATGAACCTCCAGTCTGTCGTGGCACCTGGTTCTGGTTCTGCTGGAGGTTTATTCCTGTTAAAGGGTTTTTTTCCCTCTCCACTGCTGTTACATGCATGCGTGATTTGAGGGATTTTCGTTGTATGCACTTGTTACTGAAAGTAAAGCTGACATCTCAAAGTGGGCCAGTTAAAGTCCCTATCTGAAAATATTGTGGTCATGGCAAGGAGGTCATAATAAATAGTAAATAGTAATAGATGAATAGTAAACACTAGTGAAAACATACAAAAACTGGCTAGAAATTATAAGATTTGATTGCTGCAATGCTGGGAAAAGAAAATCTTGAAGAAATGTCTGAAACATGTTTGAGTTGGTTGTGAGCTAAAACAGATCAAACATTGCAGAACAAAATGCTAGAAACTGGCAACATGACTTAATGTTTCATTTGACACAATGCAGTATCAAATATTTCTTTTTACTTTTACTATGTTGTATGTGTTTATGAAAATCCAACAGAATAAAAAAAAAACTTACCTCATCTTTCAGACGCCAGAACTGCTTATTCCTCTAAAGTCAAGAGAATGAAGGGAAGAGGAGGCTGACACAAGATGAGACATTCAGAGATGCTGCTATGCTTCTGTTTTATGCAAATAATCTTTATGGCGCTACCTCAGGTTCATGAATGAGTAATGTTTGCAATGCAGCTCAGTGCTAATATCAACAGGAACATAATCCAACATGATGACATGATGTGGAAATGACCAGGATAGAATGTAAAGGGTTTTTCTGTCACACTGACTGCATGTGAACCAGTTTGTAGAACAAGGCCATGAATTAATGTAGGGAAGATTCAGAATCTTAGAGAACAATGAAAAAAACCCAGGTTTACGCTGAAATTTAATTTTTATAACATATAGTGTGATTGACTAATAATAGAAATCTTTAGCTTTAAATATGTAGCTAGCAGCCTAAATGTTTAGTTTGCAAGTAAGCTAAATATTTGACTTGCTTGTGGAAAACTTACATAGCAGGGTAACTGCAAAATATTTAATTTGGAAAATAATTTAGCTCAAAGCTATTACATTTTTGAATGTATGAATAACTGTGGTGAAACATATGACTGAAAAATGGACCGCCACTGCTTTTCTCTGTGTGATATGATAGAAAAACCCTAAATATTAGTTGGGGTGACAGCAAAAATATTCTGACTGGTTCAGAAGCAGACAGAATCAGAAAATCTGATTCTGACTGTGGAGAAATTGAGCAGTGAAAGCTTTTAGCTCATTATGTGAGTTAGTTCAGTAATTAACCCCCATTGTCTCTCACAGCTATGAAACTGTGTATCAGATTTGTTCCACTTCACACACCAAAAACCAAAGTCCTGCTGAAGAACTAATACTTTATTTGAAAGTGCAAATAATATTTTTACACTCCTGTGGACTGTGTTATGTCTTTATGCTTGAGGCACAGTTTTCTGTCTAAATTTTAAAATATAACAGATACATGTAAGAGATAATGTGTAAATCTTGTAAAGACTAACCAAACTACTTCAGATATACACAAAATCCCAAAATACTAATAATTCTATGCCACTATTAATAAAAAAAAAAGAATATGCAGTATGCAGGTATGAAATGAGCTATAAACAGGCTTTTATGTGAAACTTAAAACTTGTTGCTTTTTCCAAAATTAAAGATTTTTAACTACACAATCATCTTTTTTGATGCAGTTTCACAACAGATATGTAACACATTCACTTGTATTGCAATGTTGTAGATGTTTGTTCCTCATATTGATCATAAAATGTTCAGTTTTTCACTTGGTCTGTTATGCTGTTACAGGAAAGAGTGTTTATGAGGGATTTGCATATGATACACTCTACAGCCTGTACTGGGTGTAATGGGATGTGAAGTTTTCCTTTGGCAATGACAGGTTTCTCTTTCCAAAGACAGAAGTTTATGGCAGGACTAACCACAAAATTTAATATCAGTCAGGAGGAGTTACTATGAAGAAGGCTTGCTATCTATGGTGCAATATGTTACACTAAAGGGGTAGTACTTTTGTGTTTTCTAGCCATTTGAACATTTTATAGAAACAATAAAATAACTATGTTACCTTCAGTTGTAATGAAAATGCTGTACATATGACTTCAAAGAAACATGACTTTGTAAATAGACACCTGGAAATTGGGCCTCTGTTCCTTTAAGAAAGCCCTGCTCTTTCCAACATTCTATCTTCATGAAGTCATAATATGGCTCCTCTATTAACCATTTAATTCCAGTGTTATTATATCCTATAATGATCTCAGCAGATGTGCAGATCCACCAGGTGTTGGTTAATTGCTGCTGGCTAGTCTGAAGGAGCTGAATGGAGGGATCCTTCTGGAGGTGGAAGCTTGGAAACTGCAGCTCTGAGGAAAAGTCCCTCCAAGTGTTTTGCACAGCTGTATGGTTGCCATGGAGAATAAAGGATTTCTCAAACATGCATGAAAGAATCAAAGAAACACTCCATGTATGTTTTTGATAAAGGACTAACATTATAACCTTATCTAAAGCAAACAAAAAAAAAAGAGAGGTCAATTTTACATAACACTGTTGTTTTAAAAACAAGATCTGAATTAGCATGAGAGTAAAATCCCCCAAACATAAAATTCCTGCTCTGGGTTCAGGTTTTGGGGCAGTGACTCGGTGTATCAGTGGTTGGCATGGCAGCTGAGTCTTTGGTGTTTTTCACCAAAGTCAACGCAAAGTAAAAGAAGATGAAGAAACCTAGAAAAAGACAAACAAGAGAGAAAATGAGCTCAGATTGTCCACAGTGAGCAGCAGGTGAGGCTCATAAAAAAGTCACTAAGAAACCACCAAATTGTGTCAGAATTAACACGCAAAAATGAATTATGGTGCCACAGAAGTACAGTAAAGCTAATGAGTGTTTCCATAAACTCTAGAGGGTCACAGAACATGTTTGTTCACTTTGGAACACTTATCAACCCCGAGAACCAGAGCGGGCGTTAACTTCCTGCTTCTGGAAGGCAATTAAAAAAAAAAAAAAAAAAAGAAGTACAAATAAGCAGCAAAGTATTTGAATGTGGTGTTATATTATGCCCACTGTGACTTCTGACCCCCCAAAATAGACGATCTGTTACCTTAACGTATGGGTACACCCTTAATTCATACTGTACATGTGTTTTCTGGAACGTCCCAGCAGTAAAGCGATCATGCTGACCTTGGAGACAGTTCACAATGCAGAAGATGTAGAGGACAGGAGTGTTCACTTGGCCCAAGGAGAAGAAGATCAGACCCCAGGTCAGGCCTAGCAGAACCATGAGAACTAGCAGCGTGCAAATTTTATTCTTGGCTCCATTTCGTTCACTCTGTACGCGCTGATTCACCAAACATGAACACAGAGAGAAAAAGAGAGAGAGAGAGAGACAGAGAGAGAGAGATAAGCACAGCAGTTTAAAGTCAATTCAAAAAAATAGAAGAAGCCCTAACATAACAACCTGTGACTTGGTGCTACGTTGGTATTGAGGGAATCATCTTGGGTCTCTGAGTTGGATAATCTGGTTTAAAACAGGAACCAATAACAGGTCACCGTTCCAATCCCACCTAGATGATTGGTCACTTTATATTTCACAGCTCCTCTGGATCGTTTTCATTAAGATCTCCCTTTCTGATTGCAAAACACCATCTACAGACAGAAGATTTAAGACTAAAACTGTTCAAGAAGTTCATTGAACAGACAGCCTGCTCCACCACAATGCTGCACGTCTTTTGGTGGCAATTTTCTGTTTATCACAAATGAAACGCTGAATATGAACCAAATTTATCCAACTTTCAGGATTCCCCTTCAAAACACACTGACATGTCAACAAGCTGTGATTGTTGAGACTTGGCAGTGAGAATGGAAATGACTTTGGATCCATAATGTGTGATTGAACCTGTATCACATTTCACTGCCTTGGTCATTAATAAAGGCATCTCCATCTATATTTTCTGTTTTTACCAAGACCTACGTGCATAAAAATGTATTTGCTTTCTAGATATGTGGTTGTGTATGGACTAGGCCGTAGGCTTATTGAATGTTGACTCTGTCAGCAGGACAGGGCAACTCAATAACTTCAGAATAAGAGTTTCAGCAGAACCTTGAGCCTGCCATACCTTTATACTCAGGGAACATAATTATTTACATCATACTTCATCGGACAAAGTTACATGTTGATAACAGTTGGAGAACAACTTTCATTGGCAACACCTGTTAGGCATTGGGAATCTGTTGGTTGTTCTAATGTAGCTACAGGACAATTACCTGGTTGTGAATGTACGGCCCCATGAACCATTTGATCACCACTCCAAGCATGATCACATTAAAGAAGAACACGAAGGCGACGACTCCCACCGTGGTCACCATCTTCACATTGGTGTTGGTTATATAGCAGCTACAAAAAAAGGGAGCAAAGAGAGTTTTTTTAAAAGTTATTTTCTATCCAAAATAAAAAAGCAGACTGTAATCACATCTATTGAGGAGACTGAAAGTGCAAAACAGTTAGCATTTGTTTTTCTTACACTTCAGTCCCATTGAACGAGTCCACAGATGTACGACCATATATATCTTTGTTTATAATCACCACCAAAGACACAAAGACTGCCGGAAGACCTGAAACATAACAACTGGTACCTTAGCTTAAACCTGCAGACATTAAGACATTTAACGTCCAGACTCACATGATGTCACTCACCCCATCCCACCACGCTGAGCTTCAGCAGGTATCTCCTCATGTAGACGTTAAAGACTTTGACCAGGAGGAGGTAGAGGTGGAAGCCCTCCAAGGCCATCCAGGTGAAAGAGGCCAGCAGGGAGTAGTGAAGAAGAAGAGCCACATAGACACAAAGCTCAGTGGAGGACGACGCTGCCACCGCCTGGCTGGACAGGAAGTGAACGTTGAGGAGGATCAGAGCCACTGCCAGGCTGATGTGGATCTTCTTGGAATCATCTGCTCTGAGCTTTCTGTCAGACACAGAAGACGAGAACAGCTGAACAGATTTCATCGCCATACTGAGTTCTACAAAAATCAGGACACAAATGATTGCTAAATTAAGGGTCTTTACCGTCTACAGAGAATAAACGAATCGACTGACAACACTAATAGTATCACACCTCACCAAGCAGGTATTCATGAAAAAGTAACTGACAAAAGACGGGAAGTTGTTCAAAGAACACAGTACCTGTTTGTGATGAAGAGACCAACAGTGATGACCAGAGCAAACAGAGAGATACCACAGCCGATGTAGGTGATGTAGGACAAGATCTCAGCGTCTTTGGGTGAGACGTCTGCAGACACCTGTGGAAAAAAATCATACTCTGTAATTCTGCTGTATGTCATTTGATGTGGAATGTATGGTAACATTTTAAGCTGACATAAACTTTACAAAGTGGTGACAAAGATCACTGACATTAAAATACAGGATTTTATGTCATCATTTTTGTAGTTTGAGTTTCTAACATCCCAATGACAATTTGCTTTACTACCTTTATAAGGAGGTATTCATTTACATTACATAGTATTTATGAAAACATTACATTGAACAATCTAAAATAAAAAAATAAAAAACCCAAAAACAAAAACAAACAAACAAAAAACAAAGTTGAAAATATAAGCTTTACATTGATAAAATCTAAATTCCTCTGGTTTTAGTTCTGAATCATTTTAACCCATCTTTGCATTTTTTGGTTCCATTTTTGTTTTATTATACAAGCACTATATCAGAAATAATGATCAACTGCCATTCTGCATTCATCTAGATAAAATCATCTAGGTTTGCATAATTAAATTGAAATTTATTTTTAACAAACAACAACATGAATCAGACATTTGTGCAAGGAATCATGGGTACCATTATCTTTATGTTGATCATTGACTGAGGCATCTCTTCCTCTTCCTGCTTTCAACAGTGACGGCTACTGTTAATAGCCGTCACTTAATTGATGTGAAATGGCTCCCCTTACTGGTACATTGGAGTATGTGCAATTCTTTATATAAAACATCTTATTAACTCCACTCACATTTTTCAAACACAATGGTCTGTTGAAGATGAATAAGTAAATATCTGTATTCACAAAGGTATACAATCAATCAATCTGTTTTATTTGTGTAGCCCATTTCAGCTCAACGTCCTTTACATCTTAAAAACGTTTATGGTCTACACACAAACTATGTTCATAAACTTAAAAAACAAAAAGCATTTCCTACCAGGAGCACACCAAAGTATGTGAGATGGTCACAGGAACAGGTGACGTACGTCTGATTATGTTCCACCATTTCACAGCCCTCTGTGCTAACATCTGAGAGAGAGAGAAACCCGTCATACTGAAGACTTCAGGACATCAGAACCGAACCCAGAGACGACCGGTGGCTACTCACTGCCAGATTTCATGTTTAAGAACACACACTTGGGTTCCCGGGTTTCCTGTAACAACATTATTTATGCTTTAGGTGGTATTATTATCTTCCTTCCTGCAGCATATTGCCACATAACCTGCAGCTTTATGATAAAGGCAGGGGAATAAAATCAGTTACGTTTATAGTTGATGCCATGCTCATAGTGATGTTGATGCGTTGCTTTAGTCCAGTGACATTCCTGCCGACGCTGACTCCAACCAGCCTGTTACCAGACAGGTTCGGCAAGCCTGGCAGGGAAATCTGCAAAATAAAATAAACTTTTGTTTTAAATTGTTATTGTGCAAAATAATGACATATGTTAAGGAGTCATTTACAGTGTGTCATTTTGCACCATTTGCAGGTGAAATTTGTATTTGTTGGGTTTTGGTCAGAATACCAGAGATAGATTCTGTTTAACAACAGATTATTATAATGTGAAAACTTATTGTAGGATATAATTTGAAGTAAACTGACACGTCTTCCTTCCCCCAAGCATAAACGCACTGACTTCCTGAACGTCACATCAGAGCCCTACATCTGAACCAAACCACTGTGTGCACTCCTATCTTATATTTATCTTAACTAAAAAGAATAAAAACATGCAAATGCTTTTTCTGGTGAAAGCATATGTGAATGCCAATCAAACCGGAGACTGCTAAATAAGCAGTAAGCGGACTACAGCGCATGGCATTCTGGGTGAATACAGCCAAAACAAACACGCTAGGCTATCGCTAGCAGGAGAGACGGCTCGTGGTGCCTTAACAAAGACAAAAGAGAAATCCTAAAACTGCTCAAATCTCACGCTGCTCAGTTTTTGTTGCCATTTTTTGAAGAAGGAGGTTGCGCTCAGCGTCTTTAGTGGTTTTGTGTCGTTTTTGGTGCAGCGCCCCCACAGGTGAAAGGTGGAACAGTTTTTTGAAGGTTTTAGTTAGTTCAATGTTTTTTCAACCCTGGACGACGAGGCACATTGCCCTGCATGTTTGAGGCATCCCCCTGCTTCAGCACACATGATTTCAACTGATGGCTAATTAACAGGGTTTTGCTGAATTGCAGTCATCTGAATGGAGTTTGTTGAAGCAGGGGAACATCAGTCATGCAGGTCAGTGTGCTCTGGAGACCAGGGTTGAGAAACTCTGGGTTGGTTTGACACAGTGCAGTGAACACAGCAGCTGAAAATGTAGCAAATGTTGCAAATTTAGCTGCCAATTTTTGGGTGAAAACACCATAAATGTAAAAATGCATTTGTGCATGTTTGTCAGTGATGTAAAAGGCGAGTCTCACATTGTCTGACATCTGGATCATGCAGAACACAATGTTACTGTTCAGTCCAGCATGTAGCTCTGCCGGCAGCTGAACTCTCACCGATCTGTTAGACACTTCTACGTCTGATGTCGCCTGCAACCAGAAGCAGAAACAGCAACAAGAGAAACACTGAAGGCTCAATATTCCAACAGACTGCGTCCATGCAGCTGTCCGTGAATCTGTCCGTTAAGAACACACACAGACATGTTCACCTGAGTGCTGTTGGCGTATATCTCAATACTCCTGGAGTCGCTAGGCGGCTTCTGTAAGAGGGCCACTAAACACGGAACAGAAATGTTTGTGGTCTGGTTCACTTCCGTTTCCTCCAGAATGCTTTCGAGTATTTCAGTTTCCCTGGTTGCAAAGGAAGAGAGGATATAAAGATAGTCCGCTCAGAGATACACTATCTGATCCACACACACACTATCTGATCTACACACACACTATCTGATCTACACACACACTATCTGATCTACACACACACTATCTGATCTAAACACACTCACTGACTCTGCCCATGACATGGACTGAAAATACTTACTTGAAAATGTTCCACTTTGTTATCCCTTTGCTGTACTTTTTCATGCAGCATTCAGTTTTCGCAACTGTAAAGTTGATAATTGTAAGATGCATGAAATAAAGTGTGGACATAAATAGCCACAGATAACAAGTGGTCCAGTCAAAGTAATCATTTGGAACAATATAGTGTTGCAACCAACCTGATCCTTTTGTAAAGTTGGCGCAGTCACCCCAACAATGTTTACAGTTTACTTGGGTCACACTGTCCATGGTGTAAAATCCCACCAGCAGGACGAGCCAGAATGTCCTTCTGTTAAAAACACAGATGTTCTGGTTTAACTCAAGAGCTGTGTCTGCTAGACAAAGAGTCACTGAGCAGGTTCTGTCCCAAATACACAGAGAAACAGGAAACCCTGAAGAAAATTCTATATCTGTTAAGTTTCGATCCCAAAATTCATTCTTGGATTTCTCCGAAGAGATTGAGCTAAAAACGAAATCCAAAAGATTAAAAAAAGAAACATAAACCAATGAGGAAGACAGGCAGACTGTCTGTTCGGTTGGAAATCAGCAATCAGGATTCCTACATGTTTCCAATTATAAAATTCGGTGCTTTCAGAAGTTCAAATTCTTAAATTTGTCTGTCTCTTTCTTTCTTTCTTTTTTTTTTTGAATAACATTCTGGGTATTTTGGTACAGACTTCAAGTCGGGTTTTGTGAGTTTGCTCCACGATTCATCAATGCTAAAGTCAGCTTCTGGATTGTCAGAGTAGTTAAGGACTATTCCACTGAACAAAGCCCAGTTTGAAGCTTTTTATCACTGTAACATGAGCTACATCATATTTAATTTCTGATTTTTGAATTAAATTTTTATATGCCATAGTAATAGTCAAAACTTGAAAATCACAAGAAAGCAAGAGGGCAATTTATTGTTAGTCAATGATTTCTTAATACTGTTAAAAAATGGTTCCTCTCACAAATTATTTCACTTTTAACAAGATGTTTTCTCCATGTTTACGATGAAATAATTTGCTGGTGGAACTGGTGCTTTTTAAAATCAGTATTAAAGATTGATCATTAATACTTTTCCTCTATATCTTGCTGGAAAGTTCCATCTAAAGCAATTTTGTCTCACATCAAGTTCACTGAGATATTTGCACTAGAAACTACAGTAAAAATACTTGGTAGTATTTTTCTTTTTTTTTTCTGCTGCCGCCTGCTCTTCACATAACACTTATCTGTTGACTCGTGCCAGAAAGTCAAACATCTTAAAATCAGTTTTATTTCTTCTCCAAATCCAGATGGCCATGGCAGACTGAGCTGACTTTACAGGAATGGCCTCATAATCTCAATTTCAACTATTCTGTTTAACAAGTATTCCATTCTGATATTTTATTGAGAAGCAGCAGAAAGAGTCAGATGAGCAAACTTTACAGCACAATGGACTGAAGACATTTGCTCAATGCAGTCATATATAAGGCATCTCCATAATCCAGGAGTGATAAGAATGTTGACCAATTTTCTTCTGGCTTTGAGCGAGAGACAGGATCCATGATGATCATGACAAATGAACATGAGCTGTTTATCTACAATAAAGCCAAGATATTCATAATTAGTGACAAACTCAACTTGTGCACCTAGAGCAGTAATAAGCAACATATGGATCTCTGATAGTTTTTGAGAGTGCAAAAAAAAACAACCTCTTGCTTTTGTCTTACCCACATTGAACAGCAGGTGTTAACACCCTGCAGACAGAATAGTTGTCCCATTACTCAAACTGATCGGTTGTGAAGCTTGTAAAGCCTGATGAAATTTGTCCAGGAACCATTTCAACCACACAAGGTGCTTTCTTTTTTTTTTTTTTTTTTTTTTTACAAAAGTTGGAGGCTTGACAAGAATCTGCTGGTAGGAGATTTTTTAGTTCCATCCAGTTTTTTGCTGAAGCTCTTCAGATATTTACAGCAGAAATGGCTGACTCATTAAAGGGGTAGCATTACGTAAAATCAACTTCTTTGAGTTTCACGTCATGTTATAACCGACATATCAGACTTCGGTTACAGACTTGTCATGATGACTTTCTGGCACAGAGAAAAGCAAACACCACAGAGTGTGACCAGCCCTTGACTGCTGGGAATCGACCATATTGGAGAGGCAATTACAGCAGGCGTGTCAAATGAAGGCTCTTAAAGGGCCTTTTGTGCCAGAATGTGTTGATAAAACCTGTTCACAAACTGTTAATATGTCAATGAATTCTTAAAATTACATAATATTATTGAAGATCTTTTCAGTCCCTTCAGGAACTAATAATAAATGCGATTGTTCATTTACTCGCTGTATAAATCATGGACTATAATCATATCTCAACTAAATTCTGAAGAAACTGGAGGGATTTATTTATATAAATTGGCAGTAAACAGATAAAAAACTGCATTGATGTGATTGATAATATAATATTTAATCACACTTAGTGTTTAGTCTAGTCTGTGGAGGGCCACATAAAAAGCTATGGCGGGCCTTGAGTTTGACACATGTGAATTACAGGAAATCTATTTTTAAATGTTGTGAGATCTGTTCATTTGCTGCTGCTACCAGAAACAAGATCCCTCAAACAACCAGGAAATACACCTGCTGTGATAGGGAAGCCAATGAATGTTTGGTCATTCAAATGACCAAACATGTTCCAAATTTACACAGAGATAAAATATAATATTATTCACCCTGCTGTTCGTTGTACTCTACAGCTCTAATGGATTTAAAACTTCAGCCTTTCTCAGGATGAAGGAGAGGCTTTCTGTTCTCCACACAGAGCATGAGGTTTACAGTTAGCAACGCAAACTATGCTAATGAATATTAGAAATGTTAAAAACTGTTTCAAAACCGTACTTATTGAAAAAAACCTTTGCAGTGTTACGATGCCACTGTTGTTCTTCAAATATGTAGCAGAATCAATCACCAAGGGGGTAAAAATAGAGATTTTGGAAATGATTTCATCAAGTTGAGGTTTAATTTAACAAGCAAAACACACACACACATTCACACACACAGAGATCTCAGCCAAGTGTAAACCTGATTTCTCTGTCTTCAATAAGCTCCGTCACTTTACTCAACATTACCAGTCAGATCTCCTAAGCTTACAATTCAACATGCTTTCTAGCTTCTCTGCTGAAAGTAGGAGAAATATTTCAAAATAGTTTCACGGCCTTCCAACAGACATAGCTGCAAGTTTTCATGTTTCAAATTAAAGCCTCTGCATCACCACAGAACTTTCCTATGCAGATCAATGAACAACAAGCACAGTTCAGGTCAGATTTCTCCATCAATTCAACCAGAAGGGTCCCTGTAGCTGAACATTAAGAAACTTCACAGCCTTACCTCTGCATGTCGCCGAGATATTGTGACAGTTTTATGTGAAATGATACCAGAGTGCAACCAATGTGACAGCAGGAAGCAGAGCAGAGCAAAAGTTAGGCGGAATTAATACTTCTGTAGGAAGTTGTTAGTGGAAAAAAAACAGAAACCCAGAGAAACATTTGAATGAGTGGCAAAGAGGAAACCAAACTATGACATTTAGTCCCTGATAGTTTGTGTTCAAATCCAGAAAGAGTTCTCTCAGTGGAAATCTCATTTGATTAGAGCTGTATGCTTTTAATTTCATGTGCAAATGGTTTTATTCTCATCTGTACAACACTGTTGAGACACATATCTATGGAGAGCCATTTCAGCCAAAATTAAATGAATAAATAGGGGAATAAATAAGTAATTGGCTTCTTTATTACTATTTATTTATTTATTTTCAAGTAGAACAGAAAAGTATAAATGAATAAGAAAAATAAGGAAATGAAAAAGGACAGAAGCAGTAAATGCAGGAATAAATAAATAAAATAAGTGAATGTATAAATGAATAAACATAAATAGGAATGACAAAGTCAATTACTGATTTATTTTTTTATTCACTTGTTTTTATTCACTGATTTATTTTTTTATTCACTTGTTTAATTTTGGCTGAAATTGCTCTCCATATTTGACTGAGTTTCTGAAGCCAAAACATTTTTAGAGTCAAGTGACAAGAGGCGGAGTCATTCAATGATGTATTTATAATTGTTGAGGAATACAAATGCATGCACATTACATCAATATACAGAACAGAGAAAGTCATCATTGTGAACAATTCACCATGGATTTCAATCACAAGAGATGCTGATGATTTTTCGAGCAAATATTCTAAAAATGACTCTATCAGTTAAACGAATGACACAGTTAGGAGGCAAAGGCAATAAGCAAAATAATAACCTAGATTACATCCATAAGCTTAAAGGAGTAAAAAGCATTAAAAAATTGAATTGTAGTGAAAAATCAGCCGAGGACAAATAAACACTCACTAAAGCATCATTTTCTTTGAAGAGTTTAAGGACAGTATTTCAAAACTTCAGGAAAAATGATTTATATCATCCAGTTTGCTCTTTTTTTATCTAACATTCGGTGAAGACATCAAGACTTTTTGATGGTCAAACAAATGTAAATATTAGACAAAGATAACACAAGTAAACACAAAATGAACTGTTGAAGTGAAAGTTCATTTTCACTGAAAATGACCTGCAGCCTGACCTGGTGTGTGAACAGGAGCTGCTGCCTGTAACCAGCTGAGTCACCCTTAACAAGAACATTTAATGTCTGCAGCCATCACAGGGTTGTGAAGGATCCAGTTAAAATTACTCTAAGAATCATTTTTAAAGTTTGAAAATCTGACATTTTATGCAGACAATTCCTGGTTGTTACTCCACCTTTAAGAAGGTTTTGCTTCTTCTGAGATCAGATAACAGGACTAGAATCACAAGAGCGACCTCTAGAGACTGCTTTTGATAAAACTGCCTTCTCTTGTGCCGAGAAGGCAGAAACCAGTCAATGAGCAATAAATCAATTAATTGCATGATCAATTAAAGCAGGCTCAATAGTTTTCATTCAGATGATTACTGCAGTATTTTTCAATTTGTTTACAGAAACATGACAATCAATTGTGTTTATGGTTTTGTTTGTGTGTGGTTTTTAATGTCCATGTTGCCATTTGATTATGGTTGTTGTGTTTTAATATATATTTAAAATTTCTTTGAGAGTGCCAACTTGCATTATTATGCCACTATCAACATATCAGTTGAAAATGGTTTCAAAACAACAATAAAATCATTTTTTGCGATAATTATTGGGACAGGTTTTGTCATGGCGACAGGCCCGGTCATTGGAATAGTTTGCCACACATGTTCTATATAAAACACATATGGCAAAAAAAACAACAACATGGCTATTAAATAAACAGATCAGTACTCATTATTGATGAAGGAAAATCAATTGTTTCATGAATTGTCTGTTTGGTTGTGGTTTAGTTTTCTTACTTTTAGCTGAGATCTGAATAATTACAGATCAGACATTTTCAAACAATTGATCAAAATCTGGCTGGACTTAAACTGGCTTTTCATAATCTGTCAAATCAGACTGATTAGATGAGCCTGACCAGAGACTGCAGGTGGAAAGTAGCATTCTGTGCTTTAAGCCTGTATCATGCATCTCTCCTTTCAAAGAGTTAATTAAATGTCCTACACTGTCTCTGTCTCAACAACAACAAATAAAACAGTATAAAGACAAGTTTAGATGGGTTTTGTTAACTTAGAGAAGGTATTCACCCTTGGGGTTTTCTGAGAGTGTTACTTCGAGTACTGGGCCCTTCATATGTTCTTTAGGTCTCTGTGTCAGAGCTGGGTCTGTAATTTGGACTTGGTGTTGGGACGATTTGTTTCGGTGGCCCTAACAACCAACTCCATCTTGGAACAAGCGGAAGAAAATGGATGGATAGAAGAAACTCTTTGATCGAAATGTTGCATTTTGTGTGTTACATTTGTCTGATGCGTAGATCTGTTTGACTTTCTGAAACATTTCTTTAAGGCAACAAAAGACCAATGATTCATGGCTGAATGTCTCTCTGAGTGAGGTCCCACTAGAGATCAGGAGCTTTCAACCTGCGTTGCAGGGCTCGGAGTGGCAGATTGGGCTCCTGAATTCTTCAAATGCAGCATAAAGTAAATGAAGATGAAGAAACCTGCAAAACAAAAATGAGTAAAAAATATGTTCAGATACAAAATAGTGACTGCATTCAGTACATTTTTACTCTAAAAATGAATCAACTAAAATCCCATTTTATTCACTCCCATATAAAAGTTATAAACAGTGAGTGACATTCAGTCTTTGAAGACTATTCTATTGGAAGGTCACTGCTGTGTGCTGTTATGTGTTGGCCATAACAGAGCAAAGCCACTGCAATAAGTTCAAACCTTGCAGAGAGTTCAGGATGCAGAAGGCGTAGAGGCCGGGGGCAGGAAGCTGGCCCAAAGAGAAGAAGATCAGCCCCCAGGACAGGCCCAGCAGAACCATGAGAACCAGCACGGTCACAATTTCTTTCTGGGCCACACGGCGCTCTCTCTGTCCATGCTGGTTGACCAAACGTTGAGCAAACAAACATAGCTGGTTATTATACTCAGTCGAAAGATGAGTAACAATCAATCAATAAATCCATCCATCTATCCGTCTGTGTATTTTTTCCTGGCTAAAATGGTTCGATGTCGAATTCACCAGACCATCCCAATGTCTGAGGTTAGAATGGCCAATAAAAAAAAACAAATATTCCAGCTGTACTGAATCTCATGGTTATTCTCCAAATATTGATTTCTGAACTCTTCCTAAGTTGACATTTTTTTATAGTTGTTTCTAAATGAATATGAATGTTTTCTTTGCTTTATTTGAGGTCAGAAAGCACTGCATCTTTTTCATTATTTTGACCATTTCTCATTTTCTGCAAATAAATATAATAATTTTTGCTTGGAATTTTGGAGACATGGTGTCAGTTCGCCATGGAATAAAAGAACAATGTTTGTTTTACTCAAACCTAAACTATAAAATGTAAAATCAGAGAAACAGATAATTTTGCAGAGGTCTCTTCATGTTTGCTTAACTTGATGCACAAGCTAAAATGAACAAATGTGGTTAAAATATTGAGAATGGTGCTTCTCATATTGATTATGTTTCGCATGGTGTTGTGTCATGTAGCATAGCACTCTGGTCTTGGTCCTGACTGGATCTTAGGTTAGCTAGTAATGACAACAATAATACCACTGTCCTCTGCTGCAACTGCATCAGAACACAGCAGGCTGGGACAAATCGCTGCAGACTAATTGTTGAGTTGAAACTCAACACTCTTGTGTTGGTATTGTAAAAAAAAAATAATTTATCACTTCTGCTGTTATGTAACAATTACCTGTTTGGTAAAGTGGGTGCTCACAAACCATTTGATTGTCACTCCAAACATGATGACATTAAAGAGGAACATAATGCTGAACAGTCCCAGTGTGGTCCCCAGCTTCACTCTGTCATCGGTTATATAGCATCTACACAGAAAAGAAGCACAGTCACAGAAGAAATTCAATTCTGTAAATATGAACATCAAGTGGATGGAAAAACATGTAATAATATGTTGATGGATAAAATGCATATCTTAAGTTAAAGAACACACAAAGTACATGGAAATTATTTTTCAAACAACAAATTTATCGCTGGATTAGACACTGTGCTTCAGACGTTTACTTTACATTTCAGTTTCATTGGGTCTAGATGACATCACAGGAGTACGGCCATACAAGTTCTTGTCGATGATCACAACCACAGACACAATGACCGCCGGAAGACCTGAAACACAACAACTGGTACCTTAGCTTAAAGCTGCAGCCATTAACTTTCAAATTCAGACGATGCCACTCACCCCATCCCACCACGCTGAGCTTCAGCAGGTATCTCCTCACGTAGACGTTGAAGACTTTGACCAGGAGGAGGTAGAGGTGGAAGCCCTCCAAGGCCATCCAGGTGAAAGAGGCCAGCAGGGAGTAGTGAAGAAGAAGAGCCACATAGACACAAAGCTCAGTGGAGAACGATGCTGCCGCCGCCTCACTGGACAGGAAGTGAACGTTGAGGAGGATCAGAGCCGCTGCCAGGCTGATGTGGATCTTCTTGGAATCATCTGCTCTGAGCTTTCTGTCAGACACAGAGCAGATTTTCAGAAAGTGAGAAATTTTGAATCAGTTTCTATGTCATAGTGTGTATTCACATAAAGTGGACAATGAAAGGAAGAAGAAGAAGAAAAAGAATCAATGACTAAAACAGAATTTGCATTGTGATTGAAGTAGATGGAAAGTAAAACAATAGATAACTGGTTGTATGAAATGACATCTGCAACAAGTCAAAAAAGGGAAAGAAAAAGTCTGATCAGATAAAGAATAAAATGATATGAATGCTGGTAGGAATGTAATCAACCATTCAGGAACACAGTACCTGGATGTGCTGAAGAACAAAACAGTGACGACCAGAGCAAACAGAGATATACCACAGCCGATGTAGGTGATGTAGGACAAGATCTCAGCGTCTTTGGGTGAGACGTCTGCAGACACCTGTGGAAAAAAACTACCGTTACGTTCATTTATAGCATTTTTGTTTTTTTCGGGCATAAGTCTGCTTCCTGACAACATAAACTTAACCCACTGCTTTATTATCTTCTTTTTTTTGGTACAGGTTTTAAAACAGGAAGAAGTGCATTTGAAGAGATTGACTCATTGAACTGGTTCTTGCTCTTGATAACAATACCACAATGTCCACAATGTTTCAATCAAAATAAATTGCTTAAAGAAACCACAAAATAAAAATGTTTATATTTGTATCTTTGATATACGTAGATATTTTTTGTGTGTTCGGAGCTAAGCACCATCGCCTGTGATGGTGCTTAGCTCTTCTGTGCCTGAAAGTAGAGGGCGTTTTCTTTATGCAGTGGTAACTTACATCATGAGACCAGCAAACACATGTTGTCAAAGATCTCCGTTTTTTAAGTTTTCTGTTATATGAATCCAACCACTTTTGATTAACAACTACACAAACCAATCAACAACGTACATTTTTTCATATCTACCTAACACAATCAACAAAACATCATTATTGGCTTCATCATTACTGATTAACTTTTAATAAACTGAGAAATTGTGACACATATAGTCAGTTAGATATATTTGTCCTCCATCTTCCTGCCATTTAGCCAGACAGAAAATATCTTTTCTGGCTAAATGGTGCCACCTTCTGGCATCTTTGGGTATGTGCAGCTTTTTCCTGAGGAAATTTGCTTTGATAAGCAGATTTATGGTGAGTTCAAGCCTTTCATTTACAATGTGCTTTTAGTTTTGGATCAGCCTGTTTTTGAATTGGGGAACTAAATGATGATGATAATAATAATAATAATAATAATAATAATAATAATAATAATAATAATAATAATAATAATAATAATAATAATAATAATAATAATAATAATAATCGCTGATTTGATTTTTTAAGTTGAAATGTGATGAACTTAAAGTGTGAAAAGTCTTACTATCTCAGTGAAAAAAAGCTGGTGTATTATCATGAATACAAGTGCTTTTTATCTGATTGATAATCTTTTCCACATTTATTAAAGTGCAACTGAATCTGTTTGTGAGAAAATTCTTCTGGATGTGTGTAGATATTTAGAGTTTGGCGAATGGGTTAAACATTCCATCATGACAGAGATGATCAAGAAGCTTGGTCTAGACTCCTACATACTTGATCAAGCCAATCTCTTTGCTCCCTTTTCTCTCTGAAATCTTTGAGAAAATTGTATATGGTCTGTTGAAATCATTCTTAGATGAAAACAGCATCCATGAATTGTTCCAGTCTGGGTTTAAGAACCCTTACAGTAACGAATCAGCATTCTTAATTGTTTTAAATTAGCAACAGATTGTGGTCACTGTATTGTTTTGGTTCTGTAAAACCTATCAGTTGCCTTTGATACAGTGAACCATCAGATTTTCCTTTCAGGAAAATTGACCTAGAATAGATGGGAGAGCTTTGGAATGGTTCAGGTCAGTCCATGTTGGTTCTGCTGAGTCTTCTCCAGACCTCTCATGTGCGGAGTACCTCAACAATCTATTTTTGGACCTCTTCTCTTTTCCTCTGGGTCCCATTCTTGGCATTGCTTTCCATTTTTATGCTGATGCTACCCAGATTTATTTTCCACTCCATCAGCAAAATGCATACTCTGCTGTTTGTTGAAGTGAAGTGCATAAATTAAATCTTGGTTGTCTTTAGAAAAATAGAATACACCCTAATTTTAATTTCATCATGCTGAAGAAATCCTAAGAACAGAAACCTCATTCTCACCAGAAGCACACCAAAGTACGTGAGATGACTGGAGTAACAGGTGACGTGAGTCCCATTATAGTCCGTATTGTCACAATGTCTTGGAATGGTATCTGGTAGGTCAGAAACAAAGAAAGAGCTGTTAGGTCTGTGATTACGACTCATCAGTCAGTTACTAAGTAAATAATTAATAATCTTTTATGCTGCTAGTCACCATTTTCTGTGGTGTTTAGGTACACACATGTGACGTTCACCAGTTCCTATAACACAACATCTGTTTTAGATGGTCCCTTGTTGTCACAACATTCACGATGAAGTCTTTTCAGTTTAAGTATGATATGGTAACTACATCAGCTTCCAATAGCTACAATTCAATCAAAGAGAGAAAGCACAGTTACGCTTATGTTTGCAGTGATTGTGATTGTGATCTCGATGAGTTCCGTAAGTCCAGAAACATTCATCCCACGGACACTCAGACCAATGAGTCTGTGCTCATACAGGTCCTTTAAGCCTTTCCAATCCTCCTGTAAGACAAATGACAATTAATGGATGTCCAGAACCGATATTGATACTTAATCTCTATTTTAAGCTGCTACCATTACACTAACAGCACAGGCGGTAGTCCTTTTACATTGCTCGTTATCATCTATCACTACTACATGAGTTAGTTATGACAGTTTGTTAGAGTTTACTTCATTTTATTTTGTGTTGGACACACAAACATATTCAAAGACGCACAGAAAGACAATATCAAGCCTTTCACTCATAATTTAAGTTTATAAGTGGTTAATGTAAAATGTCGCTGGCCTATTTATGCTTATGAGCTTTAAAATAAAAATAATAAAAATAATTTAATCTGGTCAATATTACTTCTCAACTTATTTCTATAGATATGCAGAAAATCAACCTCCTCAAATATGCCTATTAGACAGGTCCCAGCAGATAATGTGTTTTGTTAATCTCTGATCCGACATACTGATGAACCTGTTCCACAATTTCACTAACTGTGAAAACTTCCCAGTGACTTCAGGAGATTCTCCTCTCTTTCTGCAGCACCAAGGTTCCCCTGGTAACGCTTTAATTGAAGGGGTTTGCATACGACTGACATGACATCTGTCATGAACATGAAGGAGTCTTTGTGAATGTTTGCAACTATTGTCATGAAGTGTCATTCAGTGAATAATGACCGAATGACACTAAAAATTGCAGTCCATTAAAAGTGTCAACTTTGTATTATTTGGTCAATTATGACCCTATTAATGCAAAGTTCTATTAAGAAAGCTTTAAAAGTGTCATTTTGACTGGTGTTATGTCATGTCTGTGATAGTATCTTATGCACGCCCCTTCAAACAAGTGTTACTGACCCTTGTGGCTCTGACTGCTTGTTTTTGATTTCTGTACTTGGCTGAAGGACTGCTGGGAGGAGCCAGAGGAGATTCTTCTTTTTTTTTCACAGATTAATAAAACATTTGTTGATCAAATTTCAAAATATATTCTTTTAAGTGTTCAAAGTGTAAAAGTCCCTTGTAAAACTTAAATATTTAGGTCTATAACTATACCAATTACAGTGAGCATATTTATAAAGATCTTCCATGCAAAACCTTTTATTACCCACAACTGTTGCTGTTGTGTTTTGTTAGTCTTCAGGAAGTGGTATGAGAGCTGTAATGTCTCTGACCTCATCTGGAAGCTGAACCGACCAGAATGCGACTGTATGATCCGGTCCAAGTTTCAGCTCTTTAGGCAGGTGAGCTCGCAATTTTCGGCCGGGCAGATCCTCATCTACAGAACCCTGCACCGATGCAGAACATGGAAATAGTTACGATGACATCAGAACAAATTTTAATGACTAAAATTATAATTTGCAATTATGTAAATTTTAAAAAAATCCACAACACAATATCCTCATTTCATACAGAGGCTGATTAATTCACCTCTGCCAGGTTGCATCTCCATGTTGCAATAAACAAGTTTCTGATATTCATCTACTTTCCTCTTGACAAAGTTGCTGAAATGGGTGTTAAATGCACAGTTGTGTTCAAGTTCTAATGTAATTCCTACTGACTAAAATTAGTTGAAGAATTTGGAGGCATTCCTTCTTTTGTAATTTTGCATTTATTTATTTTTTCTAAAGTAGTAGCAGAAGTGACAGTGAAACACACATTGTCAAATCAACCACAATGAATAATTGTTAAATCACCATAATATACAGCTCTGTTGCTGAGGTCTTCCCTAAGTTCTCTGGACTCACAGTGTCTGGGTATTTTCACCATCTGTAACTAATAAGGACCTCAAATACAAATTTAAAAGGCCTTGGTCTTGTAGAACCTTGAGCTTCTCCATTGAAAATGCCTGAACATGTGTATTCAAACTTGTATTTATAATTTTGATCATGTGATGAAGATGGACTTGTGCACCAAATTTGTGTGTTGCGTTATCACTGAAATGTGCTATACAAATGAAATTTGATTGATTGATTAATTAATCACCTGGAAAAAGTGGGTCAATCATACATGAGACATGCAAATCCAACCTTTTGACCATGTCCATAGATAAATGGTCAAAAGGTTGATTTTAGCCCTCCTGAAAGAGATGTTATATGGAGGAAGTGAAGTTTGTTTTACACTAGAACCACTTGTATTGTACATTCAAAGGTAAGAAGTATAGTCATCTGTGATGACAGTTAAAACTTAACAAAGGCAACGAGACTTTTCTGTGAAAAAGAGCTGAGATGTTTAAGCTGAGATGTTTTGGAAACACGGATTCCTTTTGGAATCCGTGTTTCCAAAAGGAGACACGGATTATTTTTGGGGGGTTTTCAACAATAAGATCCACAGAAATCAGAAGGTGAAAATAAAGTTCCATATTGAATACATTTCCTCCATATGATAGCTCTTTCAGGAGGGCTACAATCAAACCTGTTCCTTATTGAGTTTCTCTACAGTAAGGCCCAAATGCATCACCTGTTATTTTTCTTTCTTGCAATGAGTCATCAGTTCATATAAAATGAAACACTTTAATGTGCTAAAACTTTAGAGCCTTTTGGAAAAACTTGTGTGATGCAACTTTTGTGTTTTAAAACAAACCATCTATTGACCTGATTGACACATTTGGGCAAAAATTATTGCAGAGACAGAACAAGCAGAACTGGCAAACGTGTTACAAATTTCACTCTCGGTTTTGTCTGTTTGACAAATATTGTGTGTTTAAGCATGTTTTATGATTTGAAAGATAAATGTGTTTAATATCAGTCAACCCTACCCCTTCCATAATGACAGATTCAGAGAATTTGCCTCACCTCAGTGTCACTGAGGAACATGTTAAAGCCGTTGCCATTAGACCTGGGTGGTCTATGTAGGATGGCCATAAAAGGGCCTGCAGGGATGCATGATGTTTGGTTTAGTTGTATTTCCAGCAAAATTTCCTCCAAGGTCTTAATTGCTCTTTCAGAAAAAAGAATATTTATCTTTCAGCCTTACTGATACAGTAGACAAGAACATTTGAATGATCTGATATGGAAAACAGTGCTTACTGAAGGTTGCAGCGATTCCCATTCCCGTTTCCATTTGGATTCCCATTCCCGTTTCCATTTCCATTTCCGTTTCCATTCCCATTCCCATTCTTGTTTCCATTTCCATTCCCATTCGTGTTTCTATTTGCCGTTGCATTTCTCAGACAATTGCTCACATGTTCCAAGCAGCATTTATTCCCTCTATATTCTGCAGAGTAAATGATCACATATTAGTTTTTTGGATAAAACATGTTCAAATTTATATAAGTGACATAATGCAACTTACCGGGAGAAGTCGTGTTACAAGCACTTTCGGGTTTGTCACAGTAAACTTTCACACATTTTTTAGCACTTGCAGTATAATGGAGCGTGAAGCAAAACATTCCCAACCAGGAGAGCCAGAACTTCATCCTGTTAAGTGAAGATAATCAGTAAAAAGCTTGGCTTTCAGAAATATCCATTTCCCACAAGCTCCCACTTCTATTATATATAATACAAAAGCTTTTCAAACATTGTAGAAGTCAGTTCCTGTAGGAGTCTTTATTTGACATTAAAACAAACAAGTAATTGAAAGCTGTGTAGAAGCCAGCAACAGAGAAAATATAATATATCAGACACATCCAAACCATCATCAGACAAGGAGGCAATGTCTTTCATATTGGACGATGGGACAGTATAGAAACAACAATAAATAGGACCTACTTTATTAACTAGCAGTGCAACTATATTTGTAATTGATTATTCTTATGATTAATTGACAAAAAAAAATAAATAAAAAATGCACCATGGTGCATATTTTTCATAGAGCCCAGTAAGCATATTTCAATATTTGAAACATATTAAAATGCAAACCAAAAAAAAAAAAAAAAAAAAACTTCAATTCCTTCTTTTACAGAAGATAAATACTTATTGCCTGAAATGCAATAACAATGCTAGCAAACAAACTGGCTAAACCCATCAGGGTTCAAAGAGACAAAATTGAGGAACAAATGATCAGTGAGGTATTTTATTTACATTTGAAAGTTTCATCATATTGAACAAAGCAAGATTCCACCAAGTATTTAGGGCACATGTGTCAAACTCAGGTTAAAGCAAATCTGGCGGGCCATAAAATCTGGCCCGCCAGATTTTTATGGTGGGCCATAAAAATCTGGCCCGCCATAGCTTTTTATGTGATTCTTTCGACACCAAACTCCAAGTTCTTTCAGTTTTTCAGAAGTCTGTGTAATTCATACAAAATCAACAAATCTCCACATTTTGTTTTTCTGATTGTAATGACAAAAATTTTCTCAAAATGTGTCAAAAACATTGAGTTTAAGTGACTGCAACCTAACTTGATGTCAAGTTATAGTCCGTAACTAATACAAGTAATAAAAAGTCACATTTAGAATCATTCATTAGAGCAAATATCATAAACATTTTCTATTCCTAATTCCTTCTTAATTTCTAAATTGGTAACACAAAATATACAATTTTGATTGAAAAAAAATGTACCCACTAAAACAATCACAAAATCATGGAATAACAACTATTTATTGATAATTTAACAATTTATTGGTTTCATCAATATATTCTGGCACAACCAGCCCTTTAAGAACATTCAGGTTTTTGATATGGCCCAAAATGAGAATGAGTTTTGAAGTGTCTGATTTAGAGACACTTCCCTTGTTAAAGATTGTCTTAAATTGTCCTTATGAATTTATTGTGTGTACATGGAGCTCTTTGAGTAACGTGTCCTTAAACCAGTGTTTCTCAATTATTTTCCAAATGTGTCATCATTTGTTTTCCAGTCACCTTCCCTCCCCAGAATTGAAATACTGTAGTGAATCTGTTCATATTTAATGATTTATCTGTACAAACCATTACATCTCCAGCATTATATGACTGTGTAATCAAAACCACTGTTTTACTGTTCTAAGCCTTAAAATAATTTTCTAATATCATTTTCTCCATGAATCAGCAACATTTACTTAAGACTACTCAGTTTGAAAGAGAAAAAGTGCAGCTGATTCACTGCATTGTGTTAAATACACAATAAGTGTGTATTTAACATTAATTGTGGGGAAAAAATCCAGCAACATTGCTTATATTTCAGCTTGTCAGATGAGTAGAGACAAAAAGTGCATAATGCATTTTGCATTAACAATAAAAAGAGTGTATTTATCTTTTCCGTGTTCATCCCCACTAGTTTTCAGTTCTGAGTGTGTCTGAAGGGGGTTGGGTTATTTAAGATGGTTATTGGCTTGAGTTATTTAAGTGTGATTCTGTTCAGGTGTTGTTGATGGGAAGAGGCAAACCGTTTTCTACTGTGCTTGGTTTGGATTTATGTCAGATTTATGTGGATCTAAATGGAAATAGCAAGATAATGGACATTGAGAAGTACAGTAAATATCTGATGATGGCATCAACACAAAACCAGCAGGGGAAGTAACTAGTTCCAGAGGAAGCTTCAGGTTAAATTGAAAACAAAGAGGAGTTCATGGTAACGCAGAGGGATGCAAATACATAGGCATGTGATGAACAGGACGGTTCTTTAATTTGGCTTTTGTAATCTACAAAGCTGCCACAGTTGTAGAACAAGTCAAAATCGTTAACGAAGCCCATATGTTTGGAGGTGGCGGCTGTTATGTATGGACTCAGTTGATAAGGAGTAGGTGGAGGATGGAACTGGGTAAAGTGGCATAACTAGTCTAATAACATTTCTTTGACAGCAGAAGAAATTTCTTGACTGATGGCAAACACCAGGTTAATTATGACAAAATAAGAGGAAAGTCCAGTTCAGAAAACTCAGTGTGCAAGAGAGACGGAGATTTACACAATTTGTGTACATTTCTAAACAACTACAGATTCCAAGATCATCATTTCAAAGTTTTTATGTCAGACGTTTATGCTGATGTGCAACCATTTTTCATGATTGCGACTGTTGACTAGGTATGTAAAAGTTCTTTGTAGGGCAAAGAATCTTTGACTAGTTGTTGGAACTCCTGATGGAGATATGTGGTAAAGATCCCAAGGTCAGAAATTGATCCCAGGACCACCGCGACGAGGACTAAAGCCTCCACATATCTGGCACCTGCTCTATCCATTATGATCTAATCAGTTCAAACTTCAACAAAGCCCATGCCTCCAATCATTTCTCCATCCAAACATCCAGACCCTCGGTATGAAGCAAAGCTTAGAACAGGTGGCTGGTTTTTAACCAGGATACTTTGGATGAGTCTATTCTTAGTTGTTCTTTATTCCATTTAGATTTCAGTTCTTCGCCTCTGAGCCACATCTCTCTTTCTCCCCCTGTCCTCTGGACTCTCCTCACAGATGCACACTGTTTTCTATTTAGTACCAATCCACTGTGCAGTAATCAAGCTCCCAGTAGTGAACCGCCTCTCCTTCAGTTATTACTTCATGGATTCTGTCATCATTCAAGGCTCCCAGTCTCCATTCATGGACTCGACTCCTGGTTCTCCCTGTTTTCCTCAAATAATTCTAAGTTGTTTTTTATCTTTCTTGTTACAAAACTTTTTATCAACAACTTCCTGCCTCGACTGTTCGGCATTTCTGGTCCAACGATCGCTGAAGCATAATGTTGAGTATTTATTGTAACAGTTAAAGCGTATTAAATATTTGTTTAGTTCTGTTACTAGCGCATACTAAGAAGTTTGGAGAAAAATATAATAGTAGCCTACCTCTGTATGTTGTGGAGTCCTTGGTGTTTTTCGTGAAAAGAGTCCAGAGCAAATCTGATGTAACGAAACCAATGCAGCAGGCAGATGAAATGTGATAGGAAGCAAGTTAAAGAAGTAAATCATTCTTCGTTTAGGAGAAAGAGGAAGCAGACAAACAGATAACCATCTGTGTTCTCTGCTCATCTGTCATGAAATCTGCTGACGTGCATTCATAACAAATCACAATAAAAAAAAACTTATTGAAAGGAGGAAGAGATCAAATTATTGGGCCGGGATAAATAAACCTATGTGAGGTTTGACTATAGCTCTGATTTAAACATTAGAGCTACAGGTTGCTGACTTCAGGGAACGAAGCCTCACATGAAACTCTGATGCTGCTGAGAGCTGAGATCCTTCTGTGGAACTGAAGAGAGCTGCAACGGCTGCTTCAGGAAGGTCTTCTGCTCCGTTTGTTTGGTCTGAACCAGTAGCGGACTGTGTTATTTTTGCTTGGTGCAGTTTGCTTTCAAATTTTGCTTCTTTGCAAGCGGACTATAATTTATTAACAAAGCCATGCCGATGACAACCTTTTCTCCCATTGGATGAAAATGACAGGGGCCAGGACAGATTGCAGAATTGGAAATGCAAAAACAAACTCATTTTCAACAAATGAGCAGAACGTGTTCTTTTTTTTTGTCATTCTCTTGGAAAAAGAACTGGACAATATGGACCATCTGTCTCCCAGAGACAACTTGTTCACTCTTGTCTTAAATACTAAGGTCTTAAATTAATTAAAGTAAAAGAAATGTATCCCACTGACCAATTCCTTCAGAAACCCAACGTCTATTGTTATCACTTTGAGAGAACCACAAGAAGTGGCACGTTTACTTTCTGCAGCGCAAAAACATACAAAAAAAAAAAAGTTTTTGTTTGTAAGGACAAGCAACCATGAGGACCAAGACAGAGAACAGAAAATCACATTTACCATCGTTCATGATTTACAGCACCTCAATGTTCAGAGTCTCTGTGTGGAACATGTGAGTCAGACATGTTCCTGATTCACATGCTGTTGCAAGTCTCTGAATGACAAGTCAATTTCTCCCTGAGTCTTTTTCTCCTGTGGAGATGAAGTTAAAGAGTTTATGTCTCCATGTTGTGGATAAAGTTTATTGTCGGCTGTGTTTGGCGTACCAAACACACACAAAACTTTTATTTTCTCAATTCTAAACATCTTCATCAAAATCACTATTTCACTAACTCGTTCCTCTGTTCTTGTGCCTGGTCAGTGGAAATATTTGTGTTAAAGCTGTAATCCTTCCTACTTCTTTGCTTTCTCTGCTTCCTCTTCTTTGTTATGTTAATCTTGATATTTGACATGTTTTATGTTCCTCTTTCCACAAAAGCTTTAAAAAAAAAGAGGTTTAAATTGAGTCAGTGTTGGAGCAGGAGCAGGATATGCAGCTTTCCCAGCTGTGCTTCCAGCTCATTTCCTGCTCTTCTTCCCACCCAGCTACTAAAGACTAACGGCCACGAGGGCGACTAAATCTTTACAAAAAGGACTGGAGGTGTAGTGCTGGTAATAACTGAATTTATTTCCAGTTTTAGTTCCAGTTGATCAAGTGCAGAGGTGGCAGAGTGCCCAAATATTTTATTCAAGTAAGAGTAGCAACTGCTTCAACATATTTGAACCCTAGTGAAAAGAAAAAGTAGCCGGTCAAAAGTGACTCGAGTACGAGTGAAAAAAGTGTTAAAGGTAAAGAAAAATCAACCATTCAGTATTTAAAAATTACATCGTCAGACAGAATAAAATATAAAGTTAAGTGGAAATTACAAAATAACAAAATCAGGCAAAATATATTTTTTTCAAAATCAATTTTAAAAAAGCATAAAAAAAAGAAATTTGGTTAAAACACATTTATTCCTCAATCAGTGAAGTTGCTCACTCCGGGTAGATAATCCAGACATTTCCCTCTAGAAAGAGCAGCAATACTTCATAGCAAAATGAAATGAAAAGTACAGCGAAATAAAAATACCCCTAAAAGTTCACTTTTTTCCAAAAACATTTACTCATGTAAACGTAACTAGTTACTACCTGATTCTGTGAATGTTTTCTGCTTTCGCCCCGTCTCTCAACACACAGACCCAGCACCTGATACACAGAATTCTCCGTGTGTGTGTGTGTGTGTGTGTGCGTGTGTGTGTGTGTGGGTGTGTGTGTGTGTGTGTATGGGTGTGTGTGTATGGGTGTGTGTGTGTGTGTGTGTGTGTGTGTGTGTGTGTGTGTGTGTGTGTGTGTGTGTGTGCGTGTGTGTGTGTGTGTGGGTGTGTGTGTGTGTGTGTGTGTGTATGGGTGTGTGTGTATGGGTGTGTGTGTGTGTGTGTGTGTGTGTGTGTGTGTGTGAGGTTCATTCAGGGCATGACCGTCCTTTCTGGTGGTCCTGATTCTACCTCATCTCTCCTCATGTCACTGGAGAGCTGGCAGGGCCAAACTTATTGACAGATAACTTCATTGTTTAAAATTTCTAATATATTTTCTAGAAATTAATAATTTATTTCTCTGAAGACTTAAAAAAAAATGAAGGTATTTTTGTGCAAAACACTGTGATGTATTATTAAAAGAAGGTTTTGAGGATTTTTAAAAAATCTTTTTGAAAATATCTGCAGAGCTTGTTTCAGTGGTACATTATTTTCTTTAAAAACACAATCTAAGATATTACTATCATACAAATGATGCAAACATTTCCTGGGCGACTTCAGGATTTAGTGTTGATCGTTTCAGAGGTCTGTTTGAAGGCTGACGCTTTGATCTTCTTCATCGACAAGACAAAATAAATGAGGATGAAGAAACCTGCAGAGACAAACAAAACGGAGAAAATTAAACAGAACAAATCTCTGCTTTAACAAAAACTTTTACCACTGAACTGTGTGAAAAGGGTCACAAATGAAGAAGATAAAAGCTTCATTTTGCTAGATTTTATGTTTTTTTTGCTGTTTTTCTTTTTTCTCATCACGTTGCTGTCAGTCCTTCAGACCTTGCAGGGAGTTGATAATGCAGAATACGTAGAGGCCAGGCGTGGTCAGCTGGCCGAATGAGAAGAAGATCAGGCCCCAGGTGAGTCCCAGCAGCACCATCAGAACCAACAGGGTGAAAAGTTCTCGCTGAGCTTTGCGTTTCTTATTTGGCGGAGTCTGCTTCGACAAACAAAAGAAAACACAGGCTGGAGGTCATCATTTGTCCATTAAAAGCAGTCAAAGTAAACTCACCAGCATGATGAATTCAAATCTAATACAGACCTAACATTTAGCAGCTTTAAGTTTGTTTTTTTTAACTGTAGAAATTCTATGGTCAGATTTTGCTTTCAATCTCAAATTTGAGTTTTCAGCAGTGAGCAGCAGACATATGTCACTGTGCCAAATCCTTGTGGGATAAATATCAGCAAATAAAAAGACAGCAGGAGTTTTATGGTGGAAGGGTTCACAAATTAAGTGCAAAATAAAAAGAAAATGTATCACATGTTGTGCTTGTTACATAAAGTGACGTTTAGTTCAAAGAAAACAAGAAAAAAACAAGACTGCCACCTGGTAACTACAACTGAAATGTATTCTGAAAAAAATAAAAATCTTTGTAAAATAATCCAGATTATTTTGTATACCAATAAAAATATGATCTGTTCTGGACAAATTTGACATTGCCTTAAAATATTTTGGCAATATTACCTGCTAATATTTTTAGAAAATCTGAAAAAAGTGCGATTATACCTGTTTAAGTTTGTCACACATTAGCCATTTTGCGATCCCTGTAAACATGGTGCCATTAAAGATGAACACCACGCCGAACAGTCCCAGTGTAGTTCCCATCTTCACGTTGTCATTGGTGATGTAGCATCTAAAGCACAAGCAGCAATTCATCATGTTATGGAAAGGAAATAAAATCTGCAACATAAACAGGACTGAAAACATCTGTAATAGGCTTTGAATATGTTTTAGCCAAGTCAACTGCTTGTCTGGTTCTTTATGAAATATTGCAAAACAAATAAGGTGAGTTATACAGAAGAGGATTAAGGCCACTGAGGAAAATAAAATGTAATTTTTTCCTCAGAATTCTTACATATTTTTCTCAAATCCTGACTTTTTCCATTAAAGATTGGATGTGAGCCTAAGCATTTTGATAGTAATCTCTTAAGATCAAAAGTCAGACTGAGAAAAAAAGTCACGATTTTGACTGCAACAGAAACAGGACTGAAATGTGAAAAAAGTGTCCCAATCCTCTTCCATAGTGTGCAGAACAGGAAGTGGTCTAGTGCTTGGGTGTCTGTGTTTTCCATACACTGCAGTCTCATTAGGCCTCGACTGGTCCAGTAAGGCACGGCCGTACATGTTGTGGTCAATGATCACCACCACTGTCACAATGACCGCTGGCAGACCTGAAACACACCAGATGACACCTTCACCTAAACCTGAAGACATTTAACGTCCAGACTCACATGATGCCACTCACCCCATCCCACCACGCTGAGCTTCAGCAGGTATCTCCTGATGTAGACATTGAAGACTTTGACCAGGAGAAGGTAGAGGTGGAAGCCCTCCAAGGCCATCCAGGTTAAAGAGGCCAGCAAGGAATAGTGAAGAAGAAGAGCCACATAACGGCAAAGCGTGGCGGAGGACGACGCTGCCGCCGCCTGGCTGGACAAGAAGTGAACGTTGAGGAGGATCAGAGCCACTGCCAGGCTGATGTGGATCTTCTTGGAATCATCTGCTCTGAGTTTTCTGTCAGACACAGAAGACAAGGTCAGATGTAGATGACAACTTTTAGCTCAGATTCTGTGCTTACACTGTGTCACAGAAAATCCGCTCCTTTTCAAGAGCGGTTCCGCTCTTGAAAAGGAGCGCGATCGGCGATGTGGGCAAATGGAAGAACTCCACCACCTGTCTGTGACGAAGAGCAGAACGGTGATGACCAGAGCGGTGAGAGAGATGGCACTGCCGATGTAGGAAATGTAGGACAGGATCGCCTCGTTTTCAGGGGAGACTTCTGCAGACACCTGTGGAGAATTGACAGCATGGCTTTACAATCTGGTGTTATTGTGAAAATATCATGACAAAATTAAAAAAAAAACTGAAATTGTCTTTACAAACTGTGAAACAAAGTACTATAAAACTATAAGTGTCATTGTAGTTTTTTTGTTGTAAGCATGTCTTTTATGTTATATCCTACTGTGAAGATAAAAAAAACGCTTTAGGAAGCCATGAAATAAGCACTGATTTTTCAGGATGGCCCCACCTGCAGGCATGTGCAACTATTTTTCTGGTTGTGTAAAGTCCATTTTGAGAGTTATTCACTTTCTCAGTTCAGTAGAATGGGATGCAGAAGTTATATGTGTTATGTGTTTTGGGGAGGGGTTGTAACGGCATCATAAATATTTTAGCTTTCTCCAATCTGTTTTCCCATGGATGAAACAGCAGGTGAAGCAAGTTACCCAACTCCAGAAGATGTTTTCTTACTGCCACCAGTTACATATTTCACAGTTCATTAAATGGCTTTATTAGATGCCATTAACATTTCTTCTTCTTCAGTACATATTCATTTTTTAAACATGTCCATTAACATGTAATTTCTGTGCATAAGACTACCATAAACACATTATTAATTTGACGGAGCTTTCAAGAATATTTATAACTGTTGCCATGAAGTGTCACTTGGTAAGTAATGACACTTTTCATGCAAAATGTAATTAAAACTTGCATTAAAAGAGTCAACTGTTCATTAAAAGTGTTATTGTTTATCAAATGTCGCTTCATGACAACAGTCATAAACATTCATGAAAGCTCCTTCATCTTCATAACAGGTGTTATGTCACAGTTATGACAGTGTCATGTCAGACTTATGCACTCTCTTCAAATACTTTATTTACTCAAATCTGACTTTTAACAGGTGAGTATTTTAATGATCCGTAGTATGCTTGGAAATGTCAAACAATGCCAAACAGCAATGATTGAAGCTGAAGATGTCGGTTCACAAGAACTGCAGTCTGGAGGCTGGAGGAAATCTGCAGGAAATTCAAACTTGTGCACCGAAGGCTATTAAAACAATCCAACTGAAGTTGTGTGCTACTCCTGAAAGCAAACTTGGTCCTACCATCAGCACACCAAAGTATGTGAGATGATCACAGGAACAGTTGATTTGATTCTGATCCCACTTTGTCTCACAGCCTGAAGGACTGAAGTCTGAAAAGAAGAGAGATAGATAGATAGGGAGTGAGGTTAGTATTGTTCTTTATATTTCCGTTATGCTCTGTGTATCAAAGGTGTTACTTTAGATACTCACTTTTCTCTGTGGTGTTCAGGAACACACACTGGGGCTTCTGGGTTTTCTAGAGAGAAAACATTCCTTCATTTAACATCTAATCGGTGAATTCTATCCATCAGGGATGACATAAAACAGACTTCACAGCCTTACAGAAAACTAGAATCAGGGTTACATTTATTCTTGTTTTTGTGTTTATGGTGATGCTGACTCGGTCCTGAAGTCCTGAAACGTTCCTGCCACTGACACTCAGGCCAACAAGCCGACCGTCGTACAGTTCACCTGAGCGCTCCAGAGCCGTCTGCCAAACAAAACACACTCTGCTCAATTCAACATTTTTCAAGTTAGAGAATTAGAAAATATTTGTCTCGTTATGATGTTCGTTTACAGTAGCATCTCAATTTAGCAGTCATTCACACAAACAGTTGTACAATATAAACGGCAACTGATACGGCAACATAATGATATGGTGTATGACTAAATCTACATTTTAATTATGTAATGTTACATCAAGATGTAATGCAGATTCTGGTTTACCCTTCCTGTTACAAATGTCCTGTTTAACAGAAAACATTTGATTTCAGCTGATTTATATGTGTCATATTCATTCATCCGTGAAAGAAAGGTGAAATTTAAAGAATCACTCTGAGTTACAAAATCTGACATTGTTCCCTTCTGAGCATCGTTTACAATAACTGACCTTCAGGTTATGTTGCGGCCAACATAACCTGAAAGAGCATGACTCTAGTTTTTGTTATTTACTAAGTTATACACATTGTTCAGACTCATAAGTTTGAGTAAGGATCCCAATGTTTAAACGTAAAGATTATTTTAACTATGGCATTCTGACATCTAGCTTGAGTCTTTTTTTCTTTTTTTAAATTGTAAACTTTTTGAAAACATGCATTATCATTTGAAACTCCGGAGCAAGACCGTCATCTTCTACAACCGTCACAAAACCAGGAAACGGCTGATCGAAGTCAACAGAGTGATGCTAACAGGATGGACGGCGTCATCACTGACCTCATTAGGTAACTGGATCATGCAGAACACGATGGTACTGTTCTGTCCAGGATTGAGCTCACATGGAAGGTGAACATTCACTTTGCTGTTTGGTACATCTGAATCACTAGTTACCTACAAAAGAGCCAGAAAGAGAAAGAACAGAACAGAAGAAGATAAATAAAACTTGAATTGCAGTCGGCAGAAAAAATAAATTCATAACTAAAGCTGCAACAGGTTCCAAGCCCCAGGAAGTGCCACCAGGAATACTGGGTCTCATGACAAAAAGTTGTATTGCCCCGCTCCTCACCCCTCCCATGCAGCTGCGTTCACCATGTCTGACCCAACAGAAACTTCACATGACCAACTTTGAGGTCTTGCATCTTTCTTGCTTTCTTTGGCCTTTGGCCCAATATTTACTGCTGGCGAAGCATGCAGACAGAGGTCTGCATACAGTATGCAATTCACTACTCGAAGCAAAACTAAAATCTGACTAAAAAATCTGCCATGGGCCAAATCTTAGTTTCTATTTTCTTATTACGAAAACATTACATATTAAAAACTAAAAATGAAAAATGTAATTTGACCACCATTCAGAAACATGTAACAGGCTGTCACCTGTTTGTCACTGGCTGAAATGCGAAGACCTTTAAAGTCACCAGTGGGTCTGTGCAGTAAAGCCACCATGTTGTCCTGGTATATGGCAGTTGAATTAGTCAACTTGGTTTCCTCCAGAATTTTCTTCAGGACTTCGAGGGCTCTTGTGGAAAAGCAAAGATGAATAAACCAGATCAACACCTTGTTATTAATACACAAATTGAGATGATCTGATTGATAAGAAAGACTAGAATATTCACTTGACAGTGTCGTCACGGGGAACGTTATGCAGTAGTAACATGAGGGTTTTCATGCAGCAGCTTGCATGATCAGCGTCATTCTGTTCTGCAAATTTAATTATTATAAATAAAAAAATGGAAAACAGAACATAATATTCCTTCTAGTACATGCCAATATTTACATACCTGGTTCAGGAGAATTTTTGCAATTTAAATGCTCCAGTGTTTTACAACAACCAGGAGAAGCGGATGGACTTTTGGCCGCAATGCCATTTTTTTCCACAATGTGATGAAACGTGAGAGAAAAGATCAGCCAACAGAAAGTCCAACACCTCATTCTGTGAAACAGAGAGAAAACATTCAGGCCACAAAGCTGCTTGTGATTAAAGAGCCGCTGTGCTAATGAATATCAGCAGAGAGGATAAATATCTAAAGTCCTTTAATGAAACCGAACCTAAAATTTGTACTTATTTTTTTCTGATTGTTTCAAAGTCTGCACAAGTCCTTACACCAAATTATTTATGATAATTACATCAATCATAAATATTTATTTAATTATGAAGTAGCAACCAGAAGTTTACATACACCAGATAAAAAGACAAAAATGATCAGAAGTTAAATCAGACCAAACTTGTCAAGCTTCAGAAGTTAATCCATTCATCCATCCAGTTTCTAACACCCTCACCCCTAAACGGGTCTGGAGGTGCTTGTGTATCTCCAGCTGATTTTAGGGTGAGAAGCGGGTTTCACCCTGGACCGGCCGCCAGTCTGTTGCAATCATTCAGAAATAACAAAATCATTTCTATTTGCCCCATAAGTAGAAAGAGGAAACGTCAGAAACAAGGTTGAGTGATGTGCTTCATGGCTTCAGACATTTCACTCCAACAAGTGGTGATATATTCACGCAGGTTGACATTTGACTTCTTTTTTTTGTAAACAAGCAAAAGAAAAATAATAACATAAAATAAGGCTTAAAACCATCATGCTTAAAAACAGAACTTATGTTGTTTTAATTAGAATTTTACTAGAATTTGCTTAAACCTTACGCTGCTGTTGAAGCTTCACCTGTTTCTGGGATGAGCGAGTCAGCACTGTTTCATTGTACAGTCAACACCACTGGGCAACACAAACATGTTCTAAATATAAAATGTTTAAACATCTTAAATGTTATGGTTAAACCTGGACCAGCATTACCAAACACAAAATGAAAATTTAATAAAACTATTAGTATATATATATTTTTTAATAAATTCTTTCTTTTAAGTGAAGTAGTTTGAGCTCCTACATAGTTTTTATTTCTCTACACCTTGTTAAATAAACCAAGCTTCTGCTTTGGTTCAAGGCAACCAGTTTAAATAAGAAATGTGAAGGAAATCATAGCCTACCTGCAGTAAAACGTTTGCTCAATGACGAGGTGTGGTTGATTCATGGCACATTAAGATGCAACTGGTAAAAACCACTGATGGAGAAAAACAGACCTTCACTGGAAGCCAGTTAAAAATAACATGTAAATGAGATTAACAGGAAGCATCCAGACAGATCTGGGTCTGTTCTGAATCATTGCAATAAGGTAAAAAGTCCATGAAAAGAGAATTATTTGCACCAAAGATTATCTGATATTGCAATGTTGACAGCTTTGCACATTTATTTAACCTCATTACTTTGAGCAGCATTTTTGTTGGCTTATTTAACAATGAGTAAGAGGCTAAAAGGTTTGAGGTTTGTGAACTTTTTTAACTTTATGTTCACTTTCTGTCTGGTTCACACAAACTCATCCTTTTTCATCCTGTATCTGAAAAATTTGCCAACACATCTGTAGCTCTGACAGAATCATCAATTCATTACAACCTCTGAGAAAAACTTCAATGCAAAATCTAAATATAGGATTTCCAACCCAAAGCTTTTGTGGATTTAAAATGCAAACTGCTGTAACTCTTCTTAAAAGCACAGACATATGTCAATTTCCAGAGTCTTACTTTGGAACAAATGGGATGAAAACCCACTTGAAGAAGGATGAGCTATTACTTAAATGAGAGTTGCAGTGAGAACAAAGATGCGTCTGTGCTTCTACCAATAAGGTGATTTGTTTTATTCAAATAAACAAAAGCAGAACTAACCTGTTTGTTGTTGTCTCTGTACTTGTCTGCATGTCATGCTGGTCCAACAGATTACTGAGAATACTGGAGTTAATGAATGGATCTGAGGCAGGTGGATGATCGAGCAAAACTTAATATCAACAACAGAAAGATTTTAGCCAATACCTGCACACACAAGACTGTCAGGACCTTGGGCTGTTTGGAAATTTTGTTTATTTATCTAGTTTGTAGTTTTGTTCATCTGTTATCTGTGAGTTGCCTCTTTTTTCAGCCTTGTTTCTGTTTTATTTTAGGTCAGTCTGGTTCTTGTGTTTATTCTGTTGCTTCCATGTCACTGTTACTCCTTTGTGTTGTTTCTCTCGTCAGGCTGCCTTCTCCTTTTCCCCCACAGCTGCACCTTGCTTTGTAATTAACACCAGTCCATTATTCCAGTGTCTAAACTCCCAGTAATTAACCACCCTTCATCATTCACTCCTCGTTTCCTCCCTTAACCACATGTATTCTAGTCCCTGTTTGTTTCTGCTCTTGCTCTGTGTTCTCCTATTTTTTTGTCGTTGTTTAATAATTTTTTCATTAACATTTGTCTATCTACTCACCGCCTTTGACAAATGAGCTTGTATCTTAGTAAATGTGAAGTGTTGCACCTAAATGTGTGTATGAAAAACCAAACTTTACAGGAGAACGTTTGTCTTTTATGACCCACAATACACTCATTGTGCAGACAGAGAAACATAGGGTGTAGTAAAGCCAAACTGCATCCTGATTCCTCTAAGACATCTAATTTGACTGCATAATCAAATTTTCATCATTCATCCACTTTCTTATAAGCATTCAAAACAGCAGTTATTTATATTTGTGCTGGTGAGCCATGGCTTTATAGAAAATCTTAAATCACAGTCCACAAAACATTTCAAAGTTTTATCACCATCACGTCCCTCTGCCAGGTGATCACCAGGTGATGTGTGCCGCTTATTAACATGAAATATGACGAGTTGTGGAGCAATCAGGCTGACTGCTGTAAATATGTAAATTCAGTGGTGAAACTTAATTTAATTTGACGATGCATCGGCCCTGAAAGTCTGGTGTTTTTTTGGGTTTTCTTAGAATTATATTTTAGAAATATCTGGTTTCCCCACAATGTAAGGATTGTCAGATTTATTCTTACCCAAAGCTTCTTTGTCCTACTGATAAAATAAAAGTTGTACATTTAATAAAATAATGTTTTATATAATATTCAATCAGCTGAAGAAAGCTCTTTTCTGACTCAAAATATTACCATTGCTATGTAACAATGTGCTATGCCTCTACTTCACCACAAAAACACACAAACATAGAAAATGACAGAAGTGAAACTTTTACATAAGCAGATTGTTTAGGCTGCCCAAACCTGCTGGAATAAAGTGTTTTTCTGTCCCCTAAAGGTAAAAAGAAAGAAGTACCTGCTACAGGGATAGTCAATGGTTGGCCAACTTATTAAAGAAACATGAATAAAAGACTGGCATAAAGGTCTTAATACAAAATGTATTTGGAGATCATTGACAGAGCCTTAACTTAAAGTTGCTTCAACGGTGTTCCACAGAGCCAGCATATGACATAGTTAGACTATAATTAGAGCAAAAGCACAAATTAATAACAAAAGTTTAATTAGATGTACCACTGACAGGTCTGTATGACTTAAAAGTGAAAAGAAAAAAGCAAAAGAAAAGAAAAATAATTAATTGATAATTTCCATTCTCTCCTTTGATAATACTGACTTCAAAAACAAAGATATATTCTACCATTGTCAAAGATGTAAGAAAAAACACACAGCACTCTAAATGTTGTACATCATGTGACTATAGCTTTAAGTGACACAGTGTTGGTTGGACATTCAACCAGTGTCTTCATTATTTTTTCTAATTTTGTGTTTTTAAGTAACTTTAGTCTTTATTTTTGAGTTCATGTTCAAACAAGGATGGAATAAATCTTTTGACATTAAATTCACATCTGATGCAAAAAATGAGGTATAATAGCATGTCTGATGCCAGGGGAAAACATAAATACATTTTTAAAAAGTAAGAATAATATGAAGCTACTGAAACCAAAGCAGTTTCAAAATCAAGGAACAAGGAGGAGACTGATCATTCACATATTTGTTCAGAACTATTCATTAAAGAACAAGACATCATATCATAACACAAAAATTAGACAATTAACTCTACAAAAATGTTCCTGCACTCAGTGGTATTTTCACACATAGATTACTGCATTACAACTTGGTCACTCACTGGAGAATTATTATTAAAACCTATAGAAATGTTATTCAAAATCAATAAAACTTCTTGATCAAAAGCCTCTGTCTTCTCATCAGTGTCACATTTTGGAAAATTATAATATGCTTAATTTTGAAAACTTTAATTTTAAAAACAGTTGCCTTATTTACAAAGTTATTCATGGACTCACTCCACCTCCGCTTGCTATATATTTTAAGCAAAGAGCCGAGCGAGGTCTTGGCAGCAGGGCGTCTTCCAGAGGAGACCTGGAGATCCCTTACAGAAAAACAACATTTGGCCAAACGGTTCTGTCAGTCAGAGGGAGTCACTTCTGGAACAGTGTGCCGGCTCGGATCAGAGTGTTCCACCTATAGCCTTTTTAAAAAACACCTGAAACTGTTTATTAAAACTTCCCAGACATGTCATCATTTTAACTAACTTCTTACTGTGTTTTTTGTGAATGTTTCTTAATGTTTGTTAAATGTTTGTTAATTCTTGATTGTATGTTTATAATGTCTTTTTGTTGATTGGGTCTCCTTGTCTAGGACTACAGTCTATACAGTAGTGTTGATTGTTCATTAATGTGCACTGTCCTTATTAAAGATTAAAGAAATGTAAAATTGGAAAATATGAAGGAATAAACAAGCAGGAGTCACAGGAAATTTTACGTTTTTTTTTTATATTTTAACCCAAAAAGTTATGTTTACAAAAATTGAATAATGAGATAAAAAAGTGATCTTAACTAATTATTTGACAAACAAAACAAAACATAGCTGACCTAATGCAGACACACCAGATTATAGATAATTACTCATCAGGCCATTAAAATGCAAGAGGGGCTACGCATGAAACAAATAAAGAAAGAACACAGTACAGAAGTTCATTGATAAACTAATCACACAAAAAATGGAAATTAAGAATATTAAACTATTAACATAAATATTTAACAATATACCAAATGCTAGCTTAACTGTAGTAAATATCACTTTATATATGTTTATGTCATTTATAAATCACCCAGATCTTTGGTGGATTTCAAGTTTTTCAGAGCTTGTGTCTTTGGTTTTTTTCAAAGACAACACAAAATAAATGAAGATGAAGAATCCTGGGGAAAAAAAACAAAGTGGAGAAAGTGTCAGCGTCATGCAAATAATGCTGGAGCACTGACAAACAGATAATCAGGTCGCAGCCTGTTTGACTTGCACCAGTTGCGACAACACAACAGAACAAATTCAGTCACGTTGTAACGAGCTCTCCCGACCTTGCAGAGGGTTTAAGATGCAGAAGACGTAGAGTGCAGGAGTGGTCAGGTCACCAAACGAGAAGAAGATCACTCCCCAGGTGAGGCCCAGCAGAACCACAAGCAACAGCAGGGTGACAATTTCTCGCTTGGCTTTTTTAAGACTGCTCCATCCATGCTGATTCACCAAACAGGAAGGGAAACTCATGGACAAAATTATGGTTGATCCAAAAAAAAAATCATCAAGAAATTACTACATTTAATGGTAGAAGCTTGTTAAACAATCAATAACAATACTAGAAGAAAAGGTGACAAATCTTATGATGACATATAATAATAATTACCACTTTGCTATTGTGGGAGTCCACAAACCATTTCACTGTGATTCCAAACATTATCAGATTGAACAGGAACATGAAACTGAACAGTCCAACTGTGGTCCCCATCTTCACTTTGTCTTCAGTTATGTAGCATCTATGTGTAGAAAAAAACAAAAAAAACACGAAGAAACAAAATGTGATACGCAGTGGTTCTGCTTTAACATTAAGACAGAATACAAATACAAAGTAAGATAGTTTTATTTTAATGTAAGTAATTATACATATTGTGCGCATTAAACTTTTTTTTGGCTGCCTTTTCTTTACACTGTTGTTCCATTGGGGTTGGACAAGTTTAGAGAGGTACGACCATATGTGTCTTTGTTGACGATCACCACCACAGACACAATGACCGCTGGAAGACCTGAAACACAATCATTAGTATGTTCATTTAAAGCTGTAAGCACGTATCCTCCAGAATCACATGATGTCACTCACCCCATCCCACCACGCTGAGCTTCAGCAGGTATCTCCTCACGTAGACGTTGAAGACTTTGACCAGGAGGAGGTAGAGGTGGAAGCCCTCCAAGGCCATCCAGGTGAAAGAGGCCAGCAGGGAGTAGTGAAGAAGAAGAGCCACATAGACACAAAGCTCACTGGAGGACGATGCTGCCGCCGCCTCACTGGACAGGAAGTGAACGTTGAGGAGGATCAGAGCCACTGCCAGGCTGATGTGGATCTTCTTGGAATCATCTTCTCTGAGTTTTCTGTCAGACACAGAAGACAAGGTCAGATGTAGATGACAGCTTTTTTTTAAAGGTTTTGTTGGCTCTAGCGCCATGCTGTTTTACAGAAAAATTAGGGCAGCACAAATGGAGGTGTAGGATGACTGAACTTAAACAAAGGAGACTTTAGCAGTAAATAAAAGTAAAATCCAGCCTGCAAAATCTCACACTTGCTGAAGAAGTGTAGGCTCACATGGACAAGCAAAAAAAAAAGTAAATGTAGAAGAGAAAATAGCTGAAAACTGAAACAGCCATTTGAAAAATGAGCAAATCCCAAATCTATAAAATAACACTTTACCTATTGACTGTGAACAGAAAAACAGTGACGACCAGAGCAAGCAGAGAGATACCACAGCCGATGTAGGTGATGTAGGACAAGATCTCAGCGTCTTTGGGTGAGACGTCTGCAGACACCTGTGGAAAAAATACTCACATTCTGTTGTTGATCTATACCTATTAAATTTCTAGTAAGATAAAATTTAGAAAAAGTTTAACATTTTAAAGTTACAATTATCTTTATAATGTGGATACTGAATTCAATGAATTGCCATAACTTATAAGTGAGAGAAGATAAGTATGACTGTGGGTATTTGATTCTCCATTGTGCGTGTTAATTTTAATTCAAGTATAATTTTGAGTTTTGATTCTTAAAACAGGCAGTTATTGACTTGTCCAACTGCAACCAGCCTCAGGCTTCAATATGCGAGTGGGATTGGAGGTCACTGCAGATGATTTCATTACTTGTTGGCTTCTGCTAATTCAAGGTGTTTCTCACTCTCCAAGTGAGTCATCCATGACTCTTTAATGACTATATTTAAAGCCCTGTGATCATATTTTACATGCATAATGAGCACTGCTGGATTTATACACCACAACCACAGCTACACACAAATGTGACCATATTTCCTTTTTTGCATTTTCTATCTATAATTATGGGTTTGAATACAAGGAGGTAGGTGTTTAGATTGTCATTGAGATATTTTATTAGCTTTTGATACTTGTTAAATGCAGCAGTGGGGTGTATATATAATTTCTAGTAAGATAAAATTTTATTTTAACAGATTTAATTGTTAAGTAGATTTAATTGTGGGTATTTTGGACTTTTACTCTACGACATTTTACAATAGGTATCTGTACTTTCTACTTCACTACATTTCTATAAAATGCTGCATTACACGTTACATCCAAGTTGCATTGTGTTTTTTCAATTTGTTTGTTAGTTTGAAAGTAATCAATGATTCCTGTGCCACCATTTTCCTCCCCCGAAAGCTTAAACTTTTAGCTTTCAAAAATTCACCTTCGAATAAAAAAAAAAAACATATGGAGGTAAGTTAAGTTGCAAAACACTATCTGACTTTTGGGTATGAAATTGATTGAGGTTAGTGAAATTTTATGTACATATCTGTTTGCTTTTTAATTCCAACATTTTACTTGTCAGAAAATAGAATAGAAATAAATACTCCAAACTAAACCTATCTCATTTAACCAGCTGATACAGCAGCCTTCAATCAGTTCTAGCTTTCCTACCTGTAACCATGTATGCCTTGTTCCAGTTACTGCTCATCAGACAGGATTATCTCACCCAGGTCTTGTCATGATGGAATTATTCATATTTTTCCCTATTTATTGGCTCATTTTTAACTCATTTTTTAGAGAACACATATGTAGTAATAGAAAGGTTTGACCTACCAGAAGTACGCCAAAGTATGTGAGATGGTCACAGGAACAGGTGAGATGACTCTGACCACGATCCCACAGGGTAACACAGCCATCCGCACTAAAATCTGGTAAATCAGAGGCAGAGCAGTTTAACTTAAAGACAATGTCACATGTTCATCAGCACATAACTCTATTTATATCCTAACAAATTAAGTAATAATCTTTTCTGTTACTGCATGAGATTCATTAACATTTTATGCTTACTTTGTGTTGTAGTATTTAAGAACACACACTCTGGCTTCAGGGTTTCCTAAAACACAAAAATACATTGTTTAGTGGGCGTTAACATCAGATTTTAATTTTCACTTATTTACTAAACCAGATTAAACCTACATTCTGAAGCAGCATAAGGTTTAAACCCATGCTTAAACAATACAGTGGGGAAAATCAGATAATTGTTACATTTATGCTTGTTGTTAATTTTACGGTGATGTTGACTCGTTCCTGAAGTCCTGAAATGGTCTTGCAGCGCACGCTCAGGCCAATCAGTCGACGATCATACAGTTCATCTGAGCGCTCCAAAACAGCCTACAAAAGAAAATGCAGTCAATTTATTTAAAACGGTACCTGCAATGTTGCTTTGATGCTTTTATGTTTGAGAAACCCTTTAATTTTCATGGGAACCATTCAGCTTAGCAAAATGTCTGGGTGGATCTAGCCCCAGCTTCGAGGCACAGCTCCTCCTCAGAGCTGCAGCTCCCCCACTCAGCTCCTTCAAACTAGCCAGCAGCAATTAGCAAACACCTTGTGGAGCTGTGCATCTGCTCATAGGAGCTACTTCTCAGTGCAGTGCTGGTAAAGACATTGTTCATATAGGAGCCATGGTCTGATGAATTCCTGAAGGAGATTTTATAGGGACAGGGGCCCAAAGTCAATGCATTAATTTACAAAGACATTTTTTGAAGTCATATTTTATGTACATAATGGATTTTCATAACAATTGAAGATAACATGGTTACTTGATTACATTTTAAAGCACAATATATGTGAAAAACACAAAATATTGCCAGTTCTAAAACTACATCATCTATAGCAAACATTTCTAAATGATCAATATTAGTTTCAACTGGTGCAAATCTCTTTGAAATCACAAATGCAGCACAAGTATGAGAGTTTTATCAGGGTAACTCTGTTCAAAGTAGAACTGAACAATGGTGTGTAATTGTTTATTAACTGCTAAAAACAAAAGAAGACAAAAATAATGTTTAGATTCTGAATTTCATAGCATTTTCTGACCTCTTCAGGAAGCTGAATCATGGAGAACACAACTGTATTTTTTATGCCCAGATCCAACTCTTTAGGCAGATGAACCCTCACCGAACTGTTTGGCATGATCCCACCTGACGTCACCTGGAGTAGATCACAGCCAGACATAGCAGTAGAAAGATTGAAAAAGAACCATAAAATCATAGTTCAACATTGTCTGCTCATGTGTCTTTAATCAGAATAAGCATAATATTAAGAATAATAACATAAAATTAGGTGTCACCTTTTGGTCATAGGCAGAAATAGTAAGACCATTGAAAGGGATGGTGGGCTTTTGTTGGAAAGCCAAAATGTTTGTCATAACGATGCTTGTTACGTTTGTTTCCTCCAACATTTTCTCGATGGTTTTAAGCGCTCTTGTAGAAAGACAAGATAACACACAGAGTAAAACAACACCAGCTCTCAAAGAAAATGTTATATCTGTGTAAGCTGAAATATATAAAAATATTTACTCGACAGTTTCATTGTGGCTATGTTGATTTTTCAAAATGTCAAATGATTTTTCAATGCAAAGCCTGGCAGTTAGTTCCGGGAGGCTGCCTGCAGAATAAAATGATATATATTATTACATATAGTGCTGCAGAACACAGTCATTGCAAACTTTCTGTTGAGAAAAACAAAAGGTTGCACCAAAACAATTCAGAGAGACTTCCATTCATCATCAAACTCACTAAAACTTTTTGGGAACATTAATGTTTCTCATACATCGGAGGATTTTTCAACAGAGTTAACACACATACAGCAGCACAATCTACACTGAAATGAATTACTCACCTGCAGAAGCTTCACATCTCCCAACATTCCTGCACACTGGCAGGAATGTTGGATAAAGTGAGGATAAAGAAGGTATGACTGCAGAAAAAAGACAACAAAAACACACATCAAAGTAACATAAATACAAATAAAACAAATAGCTCACTAGAATACTATTGATGGACATAAGTTCCTATTCAGGTTTGGCACAATATGAAAAGAGGTGCAAAGTTAAAACAATTCAGCTTTACATAAAAGTAGAACACTAAAGCTGCTCCTCTAGCTCACCATCAGTCTCAGCAATAGCAAATATTGGTTTTCAGCAACATAAATGAAGGTGATCCTATGTTCAGTTAACCTTTAAAATCTGCATTTTCTAACAGTGGGCTTGAAAATATGGAACTAGAAACTAAATATCAAGTTTATTTTTATGGCACATTTTAGCAACAGGGCAGTTCAAAGTGCCTCACATGATAAAAGACAAAAATAAAAAGATATAAAAACACACAGTCAAAAATTGGGAAACTGACGAAAAGCATTCTGATAAATGTCTGTCATCAAACATCCATGTTTTGATTTTCATCATCAGAATTATCAAGTCACATCAAATAAGTTGGTCAATGTTACATTTATTCCGGTTCAAAAGTAACTAAACAGCTCGGTTTTTAGTTTAGATTTAAAGGCACTCGGTGTTTTCCAGATTTCTGAAAGTTTGTTCCAGATTTGTGGTGTATAGAAGCTGAATGCTGCTTCTCTGTGTTTGGTTTTGGTTCTGGGGATGCAGACCAGAACTAGAGCCAGAAGACCTGAGAGGTCTGTTTGGACATACCTCCTCCCTGTGCTATGTTTTGATTGTATGGTCCATTTTCTAATCCAGATGTTTCAAACAATTGAATTTCTTCTCCAAGTGAAAGCATGGATTTTAAGATGGCACCGCCAGGCACCACCAGCACTTTATCCTGTAAACAGAGACAGTTTGTAAAGATAAAAAAAACTTCTGCATGTTTTTGGATTTAGTCATCAGGAGAAACATGTCAAACCACCTTATCTGGAAACAGAATAACAAGCTACATGACCAAATGAAGAATGTACGCAGAGCTTTACATATATTTCATAATAACACTATGGTAATTGCACTATGGTAAAAACTGTCATATATTTATAATATCTTAATGTGATTTAATTTGAGTCCAACAAAAGGTTTACCCATTTGGATCGATTATGATCCTTGGTTAGATAATGTTATTTAACTAACATAGACACTACACTGTTTTCTTTTCATTAGTTGTATTTTTTGGAGTTTATATTACTCTTTGACTAACAATATACACAAATTAATGTCATCACTGTATATGTAATTGAATTTAACATTGTGTGAATGAATCCTCAACAACCCTACTATTTAAATATGCTGAAATAAAGATGAACTATGTAGATTTTTTTCAAACCAAACAAGAACAAGCAAGAAAACTAACAGAAAGAGAAACCCATGGATATTCACACAGTGGAGATGGTGAAAGTTTGGACACAATACTGTCACTCAGAGAACATGAAGTGTTGCACCAGAGTGATAGAAAGAACAAGAGTTAGAGCAGAGGTTGTGCTAGACTTTTTACTTGTCCGTCATTGAAGAAATGAAACAGGAATGAAAAATAAAAAAAATACTGTAAGATCCTTCTTTGCCAACATTTGGTGAAAGCGCTTTGTGCCATTTCGCTCGATAATTCTGCAGAAGGAACATTGTAGGTACAGGTTCCCCATGACTGCCATCAACAACCATCACTGGCTGCCGTTGGCATTCCCTTCCTCTCCCACTCTAACAAGAAGCCAGCTGGAACATGTTTCTACTATATTTACGTGCTGCCATACCCAGAACCTGAGATAGTTGGCCCACATGTAGGATTCAGCAGTGTCTCTAATCTTTGCTCACTTTAAGTTTCCAGTGTGGTGAAACACATCCTGTCTTCTCTTAGTTTATTAAGCTGTTTTCCACCAGTTTCCTATTCTGCCACACTTTCTGGTGTTTTTAAGAACATATGTTACATGTGTATGAAAATGAGAAAAAGAAATGCATCCATTTTGAATCGTGTTTATTGTGGGATCAATGGATTGAAGTTCTCTTGTGGTCTGCTGTGTCATGATTGGGCACAGTATGCTTCCTTGACATCACTATTGCTTACTTTTTTCTACTTCTTCTTAATTATTATTTACAGTTCCCTCAACTGGTAATAATTATAATCAGCTGATTATAATCAGCTAAATTAATCAGACAGTTACTGATGCTGCAATTTTCACTTTCAAACAGCCAGCATGCTGAAGTGAAAGAAGCACATGCAATGCATAGTGTGAGATTAGAGTCTATTAAGTCATTGTTACAGTGTTTGATTAATTTATGTATTATGTTGCCGTTGTGCATACATGTCATGTAAAGTTGATTTTAGAAGGAATCATTGCAAGAGGTAACAGAGTAAGAGGAAAACTGGAACAGCTTGAAGAACAGGACGTGAAGGACCAGCAGTGTTACAGCTAGAAAAAGACGCCATCTTCTCTGATGTACTGAGAGAAGATGACGTACAAAGCAAATTAACTACAAAACATGGGGAAAAGAATAATTCCGATCCAAACAACAACTAAATTTAGAAAGAACTGAACTCAGGAATAGATAAAGAAACTAACACAAATGAATTAACTTAACCTTTTGAACAGAAACGAATACAAGACACTGATTAGAATATGACAAAGACGTAAATTAACACAAATAAACAGGCTGGTGAAACCAAAACAGAATACGTGAGTTGCAGCGCTCATGGAAGATTTTTTTAATCGCATGCAAAAGGTCAGGTAGTAATTCTCATGTAGGTCACCATAGAATTAACACTGTATCTGCTACAGAGTTAAATTCATAGCAAGCTTTCTGAAAGTCGAAATAATGCAAGAATAAACTGACGAGAAAAAAAGTTGTGTGAGAATAAATGCAATTTTATGAGAATAAAATTGTAATAATAGGATTAAAACATTCTAGCACTACAATAAACTCATAATATGATGACAATAAAGTTGTAGTAGAATGAATTAGTAATTTTATAACTCTTACACAAGAAATAAATTAAAATGAAAATTTTTGAGCATCTGGCGAATTGATATTTCGGTATCAGTTTCACAAAAATAGGACATACTTGATCTTTTAACACATCAGCATCATGTGTTAGTAGTAGGACTTTGTGCAAATAACTATTTTAAAGGAAAAATCACAGACCTGATTAGTTTTTTAACTCCATAAAAGCTTTGCTCTCATTAAAACAACTTTTTTTCTAGAAATTTTGCGACTTTCTTCTGGTAACATTGTGTCTTTAATCTGCTTGTGTTATGAATGTATCGTCACAATTTCAAGAAAAGGATATCTTAGTCTGGCCCTACAGTCTGTCGTACAGGAACATGTATGAAGAGTGTCGCTTGTTTTTGTCTCTTTCTTTTGCAAACCTTCATCTGATCGAACAGACAAAAAGGCTGCTATATTTATAGGATGCACTGCACTTGGCTGGAAGAACCAAAGATTTTGTCCCCACTTAGTCAAAGTAAGCAATAGTATTACTCAATTCTGATACTGACATCAAACAGATGAAGTATTGTTGTTGTACATATAAAGTATTATAACCTACCTTTGCATGTTGCTGAGCTTTTGTAGCGGGTTTGTCTGGGAAAAGAACGGCTAATATGACATAAACCTCCAGGTGCCGATTGTGCTTTGAAAGCTGAAGCTGACAGAAATGTTGTGTGACAACAGGAGGAAAAAAAAATAGTTCAAAAGTTTTATTTACATAGTATATGAGGAAAAAAAGAGGAAGAGCTCAGATAACCATTTGCCTTTGAATTCCATGGAGTCACGAAACCTTAGCTGACCATCTTCAAATGAATGAAACCGTAGAAACAGATCAAACTTTATTCACAACGTCAAATAAGCAAAAGCGAACAGGCATGCTTAGTCTGATAAAGAAAAAGAAGGGTGAAATAAAAAGAAAGAACAAAAGACACAATTTGAAAGGCTGATAGTTTTAGAATGACATTTAGGGCAGCTGAACCAGACAATCATCACTTGCAAGTGGTCATATTAAATTACTGAATTAACAGGATTGTCTGTATTGATATGAAAAATCCTCAGACTGTGATTGATTTTCCCATCAGCTGAGCTTAAAATGATGAAAAGCTACTTGACCTGTTTTATAAATTAAACTAGTCTGAGTGGAGCAGATTTCTTTAGCCAGTTTTTTGAATGATGTGTTCATGCACATGTATATTGTGTAGATTTTTATCTTTAAATTTGTTTTCATTAATCTGACCAATTTAGTTGACTATTTGAAGTGCACCCATTTAGTTAATTTTATTTGTTAGTTATTTGCAGTTTTTGTTTAATGCACTAAATTTCTTTTGAGTTACCAGTTTCCTCTGGAGCTGCGGATGGAATTATGAAGATGATCTCCAGCTGATGCCCATATATGGCTGTCAACTTCCCCAGTGGGTCATTCCATCTGCTCGCCAGGGGAAGGGAAAATTTAGTCTTTTAGTTTGGTTTCATCATTTCTTTAATGCTTTTTTTTTTTTTTGCAAGTTAGTTCAGTTCTAATATTTATTTAATTCAAAGATTTAATAATGCATTTCCCAGTATTTGTTTATGTTTTTGTGTGTTTAATTATCCCCTTTGTGTTTAGTAGTGGTTTGATCAGCCACTATTTAAGTTCCCTTTATGTCTTGTTAGCCAGGTCAGTTTTGTTTGAGTTCTTTGTGTTACTACCTGAGTTGTAGTTTGTTATGTTGACCTCAGTTTTGAGCCCAATTTATCATTTTGAATTTACGTTTTGATTTTTTTGTAATAAATTAACATTTTTTTTAAATTTACTCAACGTCTCTCTTGCTGGTTTGTGTAAAACCCTCAAGGTTATAAAAAAATTATGATGTACATATGGATGTGTTGATCTTCCAGAATTAAAGACAGAACAAATTTCTAATGGGTTCTTTAACCACGTCTCCAGTGTCAAGTCTCTTTCAAGCCAGTTAACATCTGCTTCAGTTCATCTCAGGTTGTAAGTGTCTTAGCTGATTATTGCCATACATACAAATCTATCTATACTGTGACACTTTATATTTTATTTTCTGAAAATTTTGAACTTCTGGAAAAATTAAGACAAAGACATAGAAGGACATCATAGTGTTATGTGAAGAATAACTCTGAGGGAACGTTGACCAGAGCCGCTGAAATGATGGGATATAAAAGATATAAAAGACTCCCATAGGTCAGAAAAAACACAAGTATTTAAACCAAAAGCTTGGAAAATTCTTACTACAGTAGTACAGAATTTTACATTGAATAAAATCAGAAAGAGCTATCAATAACACCTGTTTTCTTAAATACATATAAATATTTGTTACAAACAAACAAACAACAACAACAACAAAAAACAAACTAAGATGTAAATTGGCAGGGATGTGTATATCCTCCACCCAGTTTAAATTCAGCTACTGGAGCTTTTTGTTTCAGAACTCGACTTCCCAGTTCCCAGTTCAACTTCCTTGGACTTTTTCCATGACAACACAAAGTAAATGGAGACAAAGAAACCTGTGAAATACAAGAAAATTACATTTATACTGTATAGAAGAAAATAATCAAGAAATTTATAAATGACACAAAGACTAATAATACAGTATACATTTTTAAATAATGCTTTAATCTCTTCAAACCTTGCAAAGAGTTCAGTATGCAGAAACTGTAGAGGCCGGCAGTGTCGAGGTGACCAAACGAAAAGAAGATCAGGCACCAGGTCAGTCCCAGCAGGACCATGAGTGTCAGCAGGGTGCACATTTCCTGCTTGGCTTCATGATGCCGCCTCTGTCCATGCTAATTTCCAAGACATGAACGAACACACACACTGCAGGTTATATTTAATAAATGTGCTGACATACAACTATGGAGAGAGTTCAACTCAATCATAAAGTTACAAGAAATTTGCAACAACAAACAGGTCAGGCTGAAATTAAATGAACAATTACCATATTTTCTGATTTACAAGTCCCATCAGTAAAAAAAAAAAAAAAAAAAAAAATTAAGACCGAATATCTATAAAGGTCGAACTGGACTGTAAGTTGAATAACTTTAGAAATTGTCCAAGGGGATGAAAACCTTGGACAACATGTCCATGTTGATAAGACAATCTGGTGACACGCCATGTTCTAACCTAATCATTGCCTTCCTACGCAATTCCACTTGATTCTCATCTCCCTTCAGTGCTAAGTCTGGGATTTCTCCGATAGAATTTCATCCTGGCCAAATAGCAAGCAGAAGAAGAAGTGAAAGATAACAGATTTTCTGGTTGTTTTCGAATTGCTGTTTGCCTGTAGTTTCAATGGCAGTGGAGCAAATGAACAAAGCCAATCAGTCCATGTTGGTGTTTACCAAGTTAGTTGTGTTCAGTTACCTGCTTTTCTAAGGAACCCACAGAAATTGTTGCCCTTGGCTTGGAATCCTGCTGGCTGTTTCTAACACTCTGATGTCTGTGCTCTGATAGAGAGGCAGTTGAGTATCATGAAGCAGTAACACCAAATAGGCCCAATATTCATCTCCATGACAACTATCAGGCCATGGAGATGCAACTGGCCCATTGCCAAACCTCCCCAGGTGAGCAGCAGAACCCATCTGTGAACTCATTTTTCCAACGTTAACCCATGTTTAGCTTCTTTGACGCTGTAGACAGTATGTCAACTTTTTTATTCATGTCAGTCAGTAAGATTTAACACAGACAAAAAAAAGTGCCCTGAACAGGAAACAAACTGTTGTAGAACCAGCAATGCTATGAAAAATTGTAACTTATAGTTCAGAAAATACGGTAATTGCTTTTAGTCACATTAAGTTGTGAGAAAACTAAATGGAAACCAACATCAAACAATTAAGGGCAATTAATAACATTAAAAGCTAAGAGAAACTGTTTCGAATTTTAGAAAAAACAACATCCCCCCCTCCCCCCACACACACACACACACTGTTAGAGATTTTTTGATATTATCATTTTGTTAAAGTGTTCTCTTCCTTATGTGTGTATGGGCTGACCTGGAGGTTACGACTGTCTTCATGCGAGGTAGTAAAACTTTATGGTTCTCAGATCTTAAAGTCTTCTCTGGTGTTTATCTACCCAGTCTTAGGTGACAGTTTGACCTAGAGCTGAACTGGGCTCAGATTGTAAATTAGATATCACACCTGGAACTGAGTTGTTGGTCTGTTTGTGTTAAATGTTTTACAACCTCTGTTGTTTGATGACCTACACCATGTGACTGTTTCTCTTTGACAATAAAGAGGGAGCTCACGTGAAAGCAGATCAGAATGCTCTATGAACAGCTTGGAGGAGCTGTTGATGGAGACTTCTTCTGCAGAAGCTAGACCATATTTAATTCATATACGTTGTCTGTGGTTATTTTATTGTAGGTTCGAGGAAAATACCCAACACACACACACACACACACACACACACACACACACACACACACACACACACACACACACACACACACACACACACCCCACACACACACACCCCCCACACACACACACCCACCCACACACACACACACACACACACACACACACACACACACACACACACACACACACACACACACACACACACAAATAACAGACATGAAAAGTTGGACATACTGTATTAAGGACTTTGTGTGAGAACACAGAAGTTACAAATGCAAATCAAAAGCTGTGCTACCAGGAAACTGACAAAGGAGGCTTTGAATAAAAAAAGCATAACAGGAAAATAGGAAGAGAGCGTCAAGTAAAGTGAGGCATATGCAATAGAGCCAGGTTGAGGTGGAAAGATGATGAATTAATGAAGAATATCTAAAATACACAGTCCAAAACTCCTGGCGGCACAGCTGAGCGGCGACCAGGGCTCAACGGCGGGAGCGATCAGGGTACACGAATGGACACAACGTGGAGATGACATACGACAGACCCGACGAGGAACAAAGGACATAGGTGGGGTTAAATACACTGAGGGTAATCATGGGAACAAGACACACCTGGGAGTAATCAAGGGGTAGACAGGACAACACGGATAACTCAGACACAGAAACTCAAAATAAGCCCACAGAAAAACACAGAACATCACAGAGAGATGGAAAGACCTTCCGGTTATGGGAAAGCCCTTGATAACATCACTGGGGTAGGGGTATCTTAGATATTGCCTTGGAGCCCCCATGATGGTTAAAATTCTACTGTTCAGCACAGATATGGACATCCTAAACCCAAACTATAACCAGAACTCAATGGATCTTGAATTGCTTACAGGATCATGGTTAGGTTGCAACTTTTAAGAGGTGGAGGACTTGGCTCAGTGAATTATCAGTGAATTTGGTTTAACAATGATGTCAAATCTCAATAAACCAACTTCTGTTCGATCAGGCAATATGACATTATTTATAGCACATTTACAAATGAAACAAAGGAATGCAAACACTACTCAACAATCCCACAGCAAAATGTTATAGTAATCTATAGCATCTATGCTAACTGATAATATGACAAAAAAATAATTAAATAGGTTAAAACAGTCAGAAAATGTGCTGAGGTCTTCAACTTTCTAGAGTCAACAAAAGTTTATGTGGCCTTGAGAACAGAGCACACAAAAGTCCATGGACAGGGACTCTATGAGAGAGCAGTTGAATACAAATTTTATGTCCCCAAGTGGAACATGCAAAGCTTTTATGTTATTATTGTAAAAACACTGCCTCTGGAGTGCAGTTTAGTGGAGACATGCTCTCTACAGAATGATGAATCCTATGTCCCTGTCTGGAAATCGTTTGTGTTTGGGTGTGGCAGTTGCCTGGACAGACAGACAGACAGACAGACAGACAGACAGACAGACAGACAGACAGACAGACAGACAGACAGACAGACAGACAGACAGACAGACAGACAGACAGACAGACAGACAGACAGACAGACAGTCTCCATCCATCCATCCATCCATCCATCCATCCATCCATCCATCCATCCATCCATCCATCCATCCATCCATCCATCCATCCATCCATCCATCCATCCATCCATCCATCCATCCATCCATCCATCCATCCATCCATCCATCCATCCATCCATCCATCCATCCATCCATCCATCCATCCATAGTAGGATCAGTGGGGGTTTCGGTGTCAATCTCCAGTCAATCTTTCGTTTGGAAAGTGGGGTCACCCTGTACAGGTCGCCAGTTTGTCACAGGCTTCAGCAAACGTATTTAATATTTTAATAATCCCAACTTTGTGTGACCATTTTGGTTGGTGACCTCTTCTTATTCCAACAACCTCATTTACACTCTCATAGAACATATGAAAAGCCGCTGTTAGAGTTAAAGCTGTTATAAAAAAGGTCGACCAACATCTTATTTAAATTGTATGGATTAGGGATCAAAAGTCACTCAAGTTTACATGCCTATAAAGGCAGACAAAGGAATATTTGAGACATTGGTGTGGAGCAGTCAAAAAAGTAAGTATTGATGAAACATAGGGATGTTGTTCTTTCTAAATGTTTATGGATTACAAAATATTTATACAATACAGTGATGATTCATTTAGAAGTGTAATAAGTACAAAGAAATTTTGAAATGATTACCTGTTTGTTTAAGTTTCCACCCATGTACCATTTGATTGTCACTCCAAACATGATCATATTAAAGAGGAACACTGCACTGAACAGTCCCAGTGTGGTCACCATCTTTGCTGTGTCATTTGTTATGTAGCATCTGTACAGAAAAGAAGCAATTCATCATCATATAATGGAAAAACTGGGGAAAGGAATCTATAATGCTCAATGAGGTGATAACCAAAATGCAAGAAATTCAATATAGTTACCACTTTGTGTATGTCTTATTATTTATGATCAAACAGATGGATTAAAATACAAACACATCCATAAGCAATTTCAACAACAGACATTCTCACAAGGGTACATGCGCAAAAGAACATTGTTGGGGCATAGACCGAAGCTCCAATGCTCTCATGGACTACCCATGTTACTGCCATATTTACACTCAAATAGTGAGAGACAAACTGCCAATGGAGACACAACCAACTTGGCAAGAACCAAATCAGACATGTATCAGGTAGAGTGACACTTGATAGTGGAGAAGGGACTTAACGCATGAAAGTCATCCGCCCTTGAGGATTGACTCTGCATACCACTGGATTAAGGGATTTAAAATGGATCTTTTCCTCACATTGCAGTTTCATTAGGGTTAGAGACGTTCAGGGGTGCTCGACCGTAGGCGTCTTTGCGTGTGATCACCATTATTGTCACGATGACCGCTGGAAGACCTAAAACACAAAACTGCCTCCTTAAATTAAGGCTTCCAACACTTGACATACAGACTTAGCTGATGCTACTCACCCCATCCCACCACACTGAGCTTCAGCAGGTATCGACTCACATAGATGTTGAAGACTTTGACCAAGACAAGGTAGAGGTGGAAGCCCTCCAAAGCCATCCAGGTGAAAGAGGCCAGCAGGGAGTAGTGAAGAAGAAGAGCCACATAGACACAAAGCTCAGTGGAGGACGACGCTGCCGCCGCCTCGCTGAACAGAAAGTGAATGTTAAGGAGGATCAGAGCCGCTGCCAGGCTGATGTGGATCTTCTTGGAATCATCTGCTCTGAGCTTTCTGTCACACACAGAAGACAAGGTCAGATATAGATGACAGCTTGTCAAGATTTGCATATGTCAAAAAAGGAAGTCAAATAAAATGGAGGGAAAAGAGGAACATATGACAAAATTAAAGAATGGCAATGTAAAACCTTGAAGGCATCTAAAGACATATGTCAAGAGAAAAAACTTAGAGAAATAGATTAATGAAGTACAAAATGTACATGGAAATTATAGCTCTGTATGAATGTTTTTTATCATAGACGAACACAGTACTTGGTTGTGATGAAGAGACCAACAGTGACGACCAGAGCAAACAGAGATATACCACAGCCGATGTAGGTGATGTAGGACAAGATCTCAGTGTCTTTGGGTGAGACGTCTGCAGACACCTGTGGAAAAAATACTCACATTCTGTTGTTCATTTATACCTATCAATTTTTAATCAAGATAATTAAAAATTTTAAAGCTATGATTATCTTCATAATCTGGATATCCAATTCAATTTAAATCAAGTAACCATGTAATGTAGTGTAGTTTGTAAAAAAAAAAGAAACATCCTCATACGTGTTTAACCTAATAGCACAGTTTTTACCAGGATTATTTATGTGGAAAATGAAATTGATGACAACAAGCAAGAGATTTCAAACCACCATCATTTATAAAACTGAAGCTATGACAAAATAGAAAGTGCTGATTATCTGCATCCCCAAGAGACAAGTATAACTGTAGATATTAGGTTTGATGGTAGTGCTAAAATGGTTTCCACTGCACGTGTTCATCTATATTAAGGTATATTTTGGTGTTTGGATTCTTTCTATCTATAATCATGGTTTGATTACAAACTGCTATGTATTTGGTTTATTATTGAGATGTTTTATTAGCTTTATTAAATGCTGTCATTACCTAACAGTGTAAAAAAAACTCCATGAGAGTAGGAATAACACTATTTATTTACTTTCACACAACACTCTACCCATTTTTGTGAATTCTTAACATGTCTAAGTAAATGTTAACTTCATGCAATTTCCAATAGTGGTTTTGTATAAGATGTGAAAAAAAATATACTTGTCTTTACGTTTTGAAATTGTTGGCAAAGTTTGTCCTTCAGATTAGACCATGGGTTCCCAAATTCAGCCCTCAATACCTAGTGTCCTAAACCTTCAAATATGGCCCCCCAAAGCTGGAATTTTACATTCTTAATTTAGGGAATAAAGGCCACTGGTGAGATAGAACCTGACTAAATCAGTTAAGCTAGTTTGTGTCTCCTGATCTTCTTTATTAGGAATAGCTACGATGGTTGAACAGTCTTGTGCTCTGCAGTTGTCTTCTGCTGTTCTACTTGATTTAATTTATGATTTGATTTCTTTCCATTTTTCCAGTCCGAATATTTTAAGTTTACCCTCATTATCATTTTCAAGTCCATAACAACATAAAAAGCCAAATCTTACCATGAGTACAGCAAAGTATGTGAGATGGTCACAGGAACAAGTGATATAAGGTTGGTTAACCCAGAATGTCTCACAGCCATATGTGCTGAAGTCTGTTAAATCTGACAGACCGAGAAACTGTTATTTTATTAAGTCTGTCGCTTGTAGACAACATCAGCATATCATAATACAACATTAAATGATATAGATAACGTTTGCAACAAAAAAGGAACTCTCATTTATGTTACTGCTCATGATGTTTATCATGTTTTATACTCACTGTTGGTAGTATTCAGGAACACACATTTGGGTGCTTGGGATTTCTGTGACACAAAAGTATTTATTTACAGTAAATGTGGTGACAATTTATTTTTATGAAACAAGCTATCAAATCTCTCCAATCTGTGATGTAATTACCAACATCAACATCTACTGAACTTTGTTGATTTATGGAATTAAGGGGGAAAAAAAGTACTACCATCAGACTTGTTGTGCGATGTATGCTGATGTTGACTCGATCTTGAAGGCCTGAAAAATTCTTGCCTGCCACACTCAGGCCAACCAGCAGATGATCATACAGTGAATGAGCTGTTTTGAAAGTCTGTCCAAAAGAGCCATCAGACGCAAATAGTTCATCAATCTACAGAGCATTAGTTGTGTTACCACCCCCACACCACTAGAGGCAGAAGCAGCCCTGAAAAGATGCAACTAAGGAGCAGATTTAGAAGAACACAGAAAGCTATGGAATTTGTGAAAAACTGTGAGCTGCGCTGAAGTAAATAAAAGAGAGAAGTTCTAGTAAATGCTGACAGTGAAAATCCTTTACAAAGATGAAGCTATATCACAGATTTTAGAAGAAAATAAACCTGGTTGTGGTTTAACAGTAGGGTCTGCTGTTCTGCAAAACCTTTGGTTTAGAAAGCTCCAGTAAAGCAGATTTATGACATCATGCTTAACATGATACCACAAATATGTCAGTATTGAACAGAAAGGAAAGTGTCGTCACTTACATTATTTGCCATTTTAATCATGGAGAAAACAACTTTATCATTCTTCTGAAGGTTGAACTCTCTCGGTATGCGAATCTTCACTTTAATGTTCGACACAGAGGCATTCACCTTGGCCTATATTGATGCCAAAAATAAAAGGAGAAATATTAATCTGAATTACAAATGATAGCATAATGCAGTCACATTTGACGACAAGGACAGTTGTTTTCTTTAAAAAAAGAAAAATGTTTTGGAATATTGTTTAGTTTCTTTACTTTTTTATTATGTTACAAGAAGCCAAGACTCTCCAGGGAGACAACTGCAAAAGACCGAAACAATTCCTGGACCAAACCTTGAAGGGGTCTCCTGTTATAATCTATGTTTTAAATGTTAATAAAAAGTTCACTATTGTTTAATTTTTTAATTCTTCTTTGTTACCTTTACTTTTTTTTTTCACTGCACTGAATTTTTATTTATTTATTTAGTTTTTACCTCTGTGTTATTTGCTTGAATTTCAAGACCTTTGAAGTCATCTGTGTTTTTATATAGAAGGACGTTGACACTGTCACTTGATAGGTATGTAGTTTCATTCACATCAGTGTCTCCTAGGTTTTGTTCTAGAATCTCTAAATGTCTTGTGGAAAAATGAAAGAAAATAAATGAGTTCTGTTTAGTTTGCAAATAACCCACACAATAATATAAAATTTTTATCTTCTGATAAGAATTCAAATATTTACCTAAAAATGTCTTTAGCATCATAACTTCCATTCTTAAAGACTGAGGAAACGGCTTCCATAACCTTTTGGACATGTGCTGTTCCTGCAAAGTACATTGTGAAGTCTTATTTTATTTGTTGATTATTTTGTTATTAGCAGTTACATTATGTCTCATCAGACATACCTGATGTGGTTTGAAGTGCTGCATCTGTCGTCGTCAGAGGTGTCGTTGTTGACGAAGATGTTGTAGGCGATGTATTTAGGATATAGCACTGTGTCACTTAAAGAAAATTCGTCAAGAGAATTTTTGCAGATGTAAAAGTGGGAAGTTGATGAGGGAACCTGCAGTGTAGACTTTTGCAATCTGATTTTGTCAATTTGTCCTTGGTCAAATCATACCTGGAATTGTGTAAAATATCTAACCCTCAGATATGCTTGTTTGTTGTATTAATTATTTTAGTAAATGGATCCATACCATTTACTAATAAATATGTTTGCTGTAAATAAACCATTTCCCTTTACCCAATAAATCTGCTCTAATTATGCATCAGTTACAGACTAACACCTGATCCTACTTTTTAATCTAAAAATTCCTGAAAAATAATCATTGATGAACAATGGTTTGAGCATTGAGATAATAATAGTCTGCTTAAAACATTTCAGTCAAATTTCAGAGCTCAACCCATAAAGCAAAATAATTTATTTCAGGTGTCTGCTGAAATTGGACACATTATATTTGAGAATAAAGAACAAAAAAAAAAAAATAAAAATATCAGTGTTGCATATGAATGAAAATTTAGAACCTAGATATGTGTAGATATGTTCCTGTATAGTATAATGTTGTGGTTGAAAGTGATTTATTCTGCAAGACTACCATAATATTAAGCCCTCTGTTGATTCAGAGTAAAAAGCTTTCCAAATACAAAAAAAAAAAAAAATAATATGGAAACATAAGAACTTTGATGCAAACAAGTAAAGATAATTTAGGTGATCTGAACAGACCTTAAGCCAGAAGTGGTAAATGGTCTGTCGTTCTATAGCACTTTATCAAATCTATAGGACCTCAAAGCAATGGGTGGCTGCCATGCACTTGTGCCACCGGGTCCTCCAACCACCAGCAGCAGCCAAGCAGCTGAAGGGTCTTACCCAAGGACACAACGACACAGGTGAATGGGATCAAACGAGGTATCCAGTTATTCTGGGACAAAATCCTATCAACATCGTGCCAAAGTGTTGTGTTATATGATTTTGTCAGTGTATGTAAATTAGTCCAACTTTAAAAATATTTGAATGAATGTGCATACCAAAAAAATAAAAATAGAGAGATAAATAAATAAGACTGTAACTTACTTTTTGTGCCATTTTGATGTAGACTGTTATTACATGCTACAATCTGACTTTGGTTTATTAAGCCAGTTGAATTATTTTCAACACATCCCACTTGGAATGCAATAAACGTCGGCCACCAAAGGATAAAAATGGCAAAACACTTCATCCTGTAAAATGGACAATTATTTAGACACAAATCTCTGTGTATTTTAAAAACAGCCAATAAAATAGCCTAAAAATTTAAATAAAGACTGCATAGCTCTTTAGTTTTCCATTCACAGCGATTCACATGTCAACTCATAGCTTCGTAACCCTCCTTGCAGTCTCAGCACGATGCTGAAGAAGAGCAAGGCAGACATTACAGTTCAACAACAGGAAAGTAACGATAAAGCCAGCCGCCTCTTCGAAAATGACGGTAAAACCAGCCTGTACTCGATTTTCATGTGCTCCAGGGCATAAGATGTTACAGAACCCAAATTTAGGAGCTCCTTTTGGTGTAAAAGCTCACATTCGGTTCAAGTTTGATCTACTACAAGTAGATTTCCAGAGGCTTCAAGTTACCTTAACCAATCAATTAAAGTCATACAATTGGCAAATCCCTGATTCAGACACAAAACAATCTATATCCACATATAATTTATGTGCACTTACTGAAAAAAGTACTTCAAGTCTGATCTTAGTCTGATCTAGTACATATCATGTATTTATACAGGGTAAACATAAAGAGAAACATAACCTACCTCTGAACAGATGGGAGAGCAATTTGTGTCTGAAATATTTGGGATTCAACAACTGTGGAGGAAGTAGATCTAAAACATGTAAATCACATTTCCTGTGAAGAAGTTAAAGCATTTAGAGAAGGGAGTGTCAGTCAGTGACTAGTCTGTCCTGTTTCCATTGGTGACAACTCAGATAGTGTGTTTGCCATGAAGGTTTGCTACTAATTTGAATAAAGACAAGGGGAAGAGTAATGTTTTCACAGGCCGTCAGAATGAGAAGGTGAAATGGACTTCATGGCACTGCGGTGAGAAAAATACTTAACTATTCCTAGCAGTAGAGGGCAGTAGTACATAAGACGTCAGTTTGTCACCGTCCAGCAGAAACCTTGCATCTCCATTTTTAGTCATTGTGTGTAATTTGTAACTCTATTGATCTTCCTTCACGTGTCTGAGGTTTTAATGATACAGCTTTAGTGAGCACTATCACACAGTACTTGTTATTTTGACCAAACATGATCAATTTGCATTTAGATGCAAATATTTCTTTATATTTCCTGAAAAGTTTTCATTGGTCTGACAGCAGCGGGTTAAAATATGTTCTATTGAAACAATTAAAAATTTTGACCATCCACAAATCAATGTGTGCAGTACTGCTGTTACAAAGGACTGGCTGGGAGCAATATTTGTTCAGCAATTATATTTCTACAGCCCTGCAATTATGGTGTGAATAAAAACTATTTTTATTTCTCCATAGGGTTCTTTTTTTCTGATAGCAAAAATAAAAGAGTTTTGAGGATACAGTGGGTACGTAAAGTATTCAGATCCCCCTTTAAATGCTTTACTCTATGTTTGATTGCAGCTCTTTGCTAAAATCAAAAAAGTTGATATTATTTGTCATGAAAGTACTCTCAGCATTCCATCCTGACATATAAAAAACAGAAATGTAACAATTTTTTGCAAATTTATTAAAAAAGATAAACTGAAATATCACATGGTGATAAGTATGCAGACCCTTTGTAGCTGTAACATGGAAAAATGTTAGAAAATGTTCAAGAAGTTCAGGCTGGTTAATGAATTATGGCTCGGTCACCATTTCAAACACTGTTTAACTTCAGTCTATCTTACCAGCAGCCTTTGTTTGCAGTGTGTGTGACAGTGTGTGCAGTGTGGTAGAACCACAGTGAGGAGTGGTTTATGACGAACTCCAGGTGATAGGTTCACCTTCAAAATAATACTAAAATATCATCAAACTAGGGAAAATATGGTAGCCTATCTATGTAAAAAAAAAAAAAAAAAAAAAAAAAAATTGCTACATTTGTTTCTTTTTCTGCAGGAACTAATTTAAATGTCTTTCAAAAATCAAATCCAATCAACAATTTGATGTGTTCCCCGTGTTGTTCGTCTGTAATAATTATTGTAATAATTGAATGGAGCGCATCATTGGCTACTTCATGTAACATTATTAGCTTTTGGAAACATCAACGACGCCATTTAGGGCAGCCTCGTTGTAAACCCACAACTCAGTCCGGTCCGACTTATTTTGAAAATCAAGAATACGTCATCGATGTATTTGAGTTCACGCTCACGCGGTGCCGCGTGCACTCTCCCACCGGCTCCGGCAGGGTGACAGCGCAGCGCAGACCCTGACTGAGGACCGGACCGAGAGAGGGAGAGAGAGAGAGCGGCTGACCAGGAGCCTTCCAGCCGGGGAAAGGGACAACTGGACATAAAAGCCGGGAGGAACCGTAAATAAGCTCAAACGCATTTTGTTTTGCGAACTGCAACTAATTTATTTTGCTCAGATATCGCTAAAGCTGTAGAAATTTGTGGTGAGCGCGGCGAACTATGATTGTTTGTTTGTTTCAACTTTATCCAGGCAACTTGAGTGTCTCTGCTCCCGAGGATTATCACGAGACCATGTTACTATATCAGTTGATTTTCAGCGCGGTTGCAAGACCCTATTCACTTAAGTAATTAGGTAAAAATAATAATAATAATAATAAAACTGTAAGAGGCACACATTTCTCTCTCTTGTTATTTACAAGACAAGCGCGCGGTCCAAGCGGTGACTTTGTTGTTGTGGAGTTCATGGGGGGCGCGCTCACGTGCTCAACTCCTATTACAGGTAACAGCACAATAGCAACATTCTGCTGAAGGTGTAGCTGTCCGGACTCACGACTCAACATCTCAGAGGAACACTGAAACGTAACCATGGCGCGTCTTCTCGGGATACAAGAGCTCTCCTGAAGACCGTGCGCGAGCGCGTCGGAGAACGTTTAAGTAAGATTTATCCGCATAAACTGAAGCACCTTTTGTGGCCGAGCCCCCTGAGAAGCATCGCTGTAAAACGCCCGGACCATGGCCGTCTCCTCACGGGACAGCTGCTTCTGGTTGCTCTGGAGACGGACCCTGCTCGCGCTGTGGCTGTGCACGGTGGGAGCGCGTGGAGCGGAAGATGAAAGTGGCTTCAATGCCGAGGTAAAACTATTACTGATTACTGACTTTTAGAAGTGCTCTGTAAATGTGAGAGTAATAGAAAGAGTCGGAAATTTAACCCGTTTAGCCAAAGAATCGCATGTGGTCTGATGCAAAACAGTGTTTCAAGGCATCGGATACGATCAGAAGCCCATTGTTTCTAATAATAGAGATATAGCCAGATTCTGTTTAGCAGCAAAGCTAATAACTGTTTGAGCACACGATCATAAACAATATGTAGCAATATTCATGCCTCTTTATCTTATTCACATTTTATGACAAACAAACTTTGTTGTGCTTTGTTTGTGTTTTATATGTGGCAACACAGGTGAAGTCAAAAGAAAGGGACACTAGTTTGTTGATCCACCTTTCACTGTAATTCCAGCTGCAGGTATTTTGGGTGTCTCTCTACCAGGTTCACAAATTTTGGGGCATAAATGTTTATTGATGTTCCGTTTTTTGTCTTTTTTTTTTTTTTTTTTTTGCGAAGAAGAGGCTTTGCAAAAATAAATCAATTATATCTGTGAATGTTCAAGTCTTGCCAAATTTTCCAGTAGATTTAGGTCTGGACCATTCTAAATCAAACATATGAATTGATCAAAATCATTATGTTATGAATCTCCAGATAAGTCCAAAAAACAGCACCCGTCTGTCTTTCCATCAACTCAGAACAGTTTCCGTTTTCTGGTTGAAGAATCCTCCCACACCATGGTTCTGCCTCCACCAGGTGTCCACCACCTGGATGTCTTTTTTCAGGGTGATGTTTCCAAACATAATGATTGTCATATTGAACAATAAAAAGGTTTAATTCTGGTCTTATCTTACCTCAAGTGCTTCTTCCAGGTATTTGGTGTGTCAATGTGGTTTGTGGCTAACTTTAAATTGGACTACTTACAGTCTTGTCTCACAGTTTTTTAACTTAATTGACAAATTTGTGGAATCCTTAGCCAACAGATTGTCCCACCTGAGCTGTGGATCTCAGCATCTCCTACATAAGTTGCTGTACCCCAGCATTTCATCTCCCCACTTTTTGTGATTAGACATGTTCGGTTTTCTGCTTCAGAATTTCTTTCTGTCTTTCTTCAGGGCAGCAGCATGTTTTTCAACAACATAAGTTATCTTTCACTTTGACCCATTGATAAAAAGGAGTGCTTAGTAGATACAAAGCATCAAGTCTGGGCTTGAAGCAGCACCTCATGCACTGTTGTTGGAGTCAGTTTCACAGTTTTCCATCTTGCTTGTTTGTTCTGAGAGTTAAAACACAGAGATGATGACTGATAGCACAGCTTAAAGGAAGGTGATCATTGCTGGAGCTTTTCTGTTGTTTGACAAAGGGATAAAGACAGACTGGCAGACTCTCCGGTCATTGTAGGTGAGCATGCCTGAAACACTCAGTGACCTGGGGATCAGGTGGTCAGTCTTGTTTCAGCCTTATTTGTTTGGCTATCAACAAACCAGAGTGTGGAAATGTGCTCACCTAAGACACAAGACAAAAGCTTTTTGCAGTGTGTGGACAAATGAGACATTTCCAAATGTTTGTGGCTAAATGCAAAGGTTTGTGAGGCAGCTGGTATGACCCCTCATGACCTTTTACTATTTGGAATGCTTTGGAATATAAACAGTACTGAGGTCTGTCAACATCTTGAGTCAACTTTTTCTACACAGTTTTGATCATTTATTTGTGTGTGATAATTGAGCTAGTTCTTTAATAGGATAAGATTTTAAAATTGAGTTTCATCAGAAATGTCCCTAAGTGCACCTCTTTACAGCCACATAGCACTTGGACCATGTCCACACTATTGAACTCATATTTTTAGCTCCATTGAACCACAGAGGTCTCCTGACAAGACATACACTTTTCACCACAACCTAGAGTGATCATGTAGTGATTTATACTGTCTAAAATGATCCAAATAGAATAAAAAAGCACATCTCCCTACATTTTCTAGAAAACAAATAAGTAGTGCCGCTTCTCTTCCTTATGATCTGTTCTTTTCTCAGTCTGCTTTGTGCTTGATGTCACCTGTTGAATGTGGATAGTGTACACAGTCCATCTAATCATAAAAATTGTACTGCGATGGCTTTGACTTGTCAAGTTGAGCTAATCTGTTTGTGGAAGAAGTACACTTAGAAGATGGAATTTTCAAAAGTTAGTCACAGCTAGCTTAGAAACCAACTCATACCTTCTCCTTCTTAACATGTTTGTTGATTTGATCAAATCATCAACTTTGCCTGAATTCACACCACATAATTTATTTGACTGTGTCATAAGTGGTGTTTCTTCTTACACCACAGACTTAATATCATACTGAAGTCTAGGTGCTAACCAGACTTTTTCTCCATGTGGTAGGCTACATGATGGTGACACATTTTATCTATGGTTACTAATGGTTAGACAAGTAGCTTCTTTATAGTGCAATATTTGATTGCATTTTAGTAAGCTTACTTACTAAGGAAGTATATGACATTTAATCTTCTTACCATGTAAAAATTGTTCACTTTAAATCTCTGAATACACAAACGACTGCCAGTCCTTATGGTTGATGACTGTCCATCACTGTCTTCTTTCCTCATCAAAAGGTTTACAATAAAAGAACAAATGTAGTAGTCCTTGCCTGTTTGTGCAGCTGGCCTATCACCATTTTTACAATAAAATCAACAAAATAAAAGCGACATAAGGCTACCAGTTGTCTCTTTTTGACAAATTGTGATATCAAAGGGTCAACACTGAAGCTCCATTGTAATGTCTAATGATCGTAAAGTTGGTATCAGCTTCAGAACTTTGTTAAATATTAACTGATAGGTTATGTAAAAAAAAAAATGTTGTTTTGGCTCAGGAGAACTAAAAGAGATAAACTCTCAGGCCCAAATTCAAGCAAGAGCCACTTCTGCTTACCAGTCCTTTAAACAACCGTATTTAGGTAGATTCCAGCTAATGTTGGCTCACTAAAGCATCAGTGAATTCAGCGAGAACTTGGATCAACATTAGCCACCTCTGAATTTAAATAAGTTGCAAACTCCATTCTTTCAGAGCAGACTACATTGAAAATAAACAAAACAAGTGTTAAATAGTTTTACATCTTCAGTGAAAATCCTACGTTGAGTTTACTCATGTTCCACAGACTATGCCTTGGCCTGAAATCTCAACTCCTACTCTGTCTGGACAAAAAGGATTAAGTGGGAGGTTAAAAGCACAGCATGAACAGAGAGGCATTATTGGAAAATCAGTGAGATCTCAGTGTAAGAAGGATAGACACCACTGAGAGTAAAATAAATAAGTCTTCGAAAGAAGGATAGAGTGTCAAAAATGATGGGAATGGTGGCTGATCATCTCAGCTGCGGAGCATGTGACGGTTGAATGTGACAGCTGTTCTTAAGTTGGATGCACACGCCGTGCTCAGGCAGGCCAGGCCTGCCACTCTGAGGCATCTGAGGAAACACAATGGAGCCCGTTGTCTGTTGCAGCAGAGCTGGGGCAGAACGCCGATGAATGAGCACACACAGACGGAAACATGGACGTGATAAGAGCAGCTTGAATAAAGTGGATGTGAACATGCAGGTTTCAGCAGCGGGAGCAGAGTAAGGACGAGTAACTGGTGACTTATTGCTGCGTTAGATGACTTCCCCAGTCTGTAACCTCTTTGTTTCTGGTATCTGCAACATGCCCACTCCTTACATTCCAGCAAAAGCCCTTCTACTCCCAAGTGACTACCGATCCTAACGTCCCCAAATACTCACATCACTGTGGCAACGGGATGGGGCAGAGGAATGCTAACTATAGTAGGGCATTTTTTAAAAGGACACATACTTCATCAGTAGCATTAATACACATTGTCTCCATATTGTATGACAGTATATTAACGAACAATAGACTTTTGTCTTTGTCCATAACTCAAACATCTACAGCATTGTGACTCAAGCAAAAAACTAGTTGGAGAAAGTGTTGCTTTCTTTGTTTTTCTGTCCACAACACAGAAATATGTGCAGCCATTTATTTTGTGGTCTAAGAGTAAAACTTTTAGATATATTGTAGCATTTTTCCCCTACAAGTTGCTAACTGAATGTTGGCAAGTACAAATCAAACTAGCGGCAAGAGCAATTAGCAAACACCTGCTGGAACTGCACAGTTTCTCACTACTTCTCAGTCCAGGACTCCTAAGAACAGCTGTAAATGGGACAATAGACAAACAAGGTAGTGGTGATGGGACTGCACAGTCGTGGTGTAGTTGCACTGTTGCCTTACAGCAAGAACGTCCTGGGTTCGATTCCTAGTGCAGGGTCTTTGTGCATGGAGTTTGTATTGTTCTTCCTGGATACTCTGGCTTTCTCCCACAATCCAAAAAACATGACTTTTTCTAAATTCTCCTCAGGTGTGTGTGCATGCATAGTAGTTTGTTCTGTCTGTCTCTGTGTTGTCCTGCGACAGACTGGCGACCTGTCCAGGGTGTACCCTGCCTCTCGCCCGAAATGTTCGCTGGAGATTGGGTCTCCTGACCCCACTGGGGACAAGGCTGTACAGAAAGCAACATGGATGGATGTAGTGATGACAAGCTCCATCCATTCACTGAGCAGATTGATGTTTTGGGAGCTATATGTTTAATCGACGGCTGTACTAATTCCATTCACAACAGAAGGTTAAACAAACTTAGCAGGAGGGAAATTACTTTATTTAGCAAAGAATAAAGTCAGTAACGGTGGACTTTACGAGCTCTTTAACCTTTAGGGCACGACTCGCTTACGTTGGTTCTATTCCAGCTGTGCAATTTCAAACTTTAAACAATTTAAATTAAAGGAGAAAAAAACATTAAAACACTATTGAAACAGTTGTCAACAAATTTTCTTATTTATGGAAAATATGTTCCAATAAACAGAAGAAAAGGTTTTTGCAAAACTGTTTATGTTCCTCACTTCCAGAACAACAGTAAATGTAGCAGAGTTACATTTACATTTGTGTGATCAGTTGGAAAGTTCTTAATCACCAAGCGAGCTAAATGCTACACCGATTGATGACAACAAACTACTTTGATTGATTAATACGTTTATTACCACAGACAGTTAAATATTCTCTTGAGCACTAAAAACAGACTTGTTCTTATCCTTGGTGTGTATTTCAGGAAAAATCAGAAAATGGAACTAATGAAATTGTCTTCTTGTTCCCGGCCTGCCTGTATTTCTCCCTCACCACTCCAATCCATCCTCTCAGTAAGACTTGCATGTCTGAGACATGGCAGCAGACCAAGTCTCAGAATAAAAGCTCTGTTAGGATCTTGGCTGACATTGTGGTGGACACGCACACACACACACACGCATGCACGCACGCACAGCCACGCACGCACACACACACGCACACACACTTATGCACACAGTCTTCACACTGGCAGGTTTTACAACTCCTTTTATATTGCTGGGCCTGTTTTTGGCAGGTAGACTCAAGGACTTTTTGAAAGACCATTTAATAGACAAAACCGGGTGGGCACACACACACACGCACACACACACACACAAAGCTGCAAGGCTGTTCTCTTTTCTCATATAGATTTGTATTCTGCCCAGCTGATGATGGAGGGTATGCTTCCAGACTGAGCTGCTTTAATGTTTCTGATGAGGGAGGCGGGTTGAGGGGTTCCAGACTTATTTCTTACTCTGCAACTCTGCCCTTGTGTCTGACAACAGATGATGAGACTAATCAGCATCAGATGCTGCGGGGATCCACTGATACATACATCACACATGCTGTAAATACCAACAGATATGTGGAAAGTTATGTTTTTCATGTTACCCCCATGCCAGACAAACGTAGGCAATCTAAGATGTTATTTGCGTCTGTGAGGATGTTTTCATACCTGACGCATTCTGTCTGCTTCAAATGGACCAGTTTGTTTCCCCCATTGGTGCGGAGTTTTTGTGCACGTGTTAAAGCTGCAGTATGTAACTTATGAATTTTTTTAAATATATTTGTTGAAACAGCATGACAGTATGGTATTGGATAATCTGTAAAAAAAAAAAAAAAAAAAAAAAAAAAAAATCAACCTCCTAGAAACACCAATTAGAGCCCAGAGGCAGGTCTTAGTGCTGTCAATCACAATCTCATGTGGTGCTGCTCTTTTGTCCCTTTGCTTTCTGCTACCGCTACAGTTTCTCTGTGTCAACAGATCCTTTTGTAAATGCTCAGTCTAGTTAGCATGGCTACAGATGATGGCAGATATAGTTTTCCAGTAGCTGTAATTTGTTTCTCCCTCTTCAGCACATTTAGCAGCAAGGAAATAAGTTTGATGAAGTCAGAAATTTTGAAACTCAGAAATAGTTCTAGGCAATTTCTGAAATTACTTTCACTTTCTGAGTTTTTTTCTACCAAATCTTCTACTTTTGAAACATAGAAATGTCCTTGTGTGTGTGTTTTTTTTTTTATAAATGTCTGAGATTAATCTAAACATTTCTGAGTTCTTTGGCAGAAATGTATTTCTCCTTTTTTATTCCATCTATAGTGGCCCTTGTGTGGCATTATAAGTTTCTGCTAACTGGACATGGTTTAAACTTATTTATCTTAAGTCCTAGGTGGGTCAGGGTCACTTCCAGTTCAACCCTCAGTACACTTCTTCACGCTCCAACACATTCACAGACTCAGACTGCGGGAGAACGGTTCACATAAGATAAAGAAAAGGTCTAACAGTTACAAAATATTCTCTGAGGTTTATGGCTCCATTAAAGAGAATAAAATCACTTATGCATGCACTGCAATAATTAACGATTATCCAGTAGATAAAACTTGTGAGAAAATGAATTGGAGATGAAGCAGCAGCTCCACCAAAGCATGGCTGTCTTTCTACACAAATGTGAATGAATGGCTGACCTTTGGAAGTGCCTCAAGTTAGATACTTTTATACCTGAGGTCCATTGCTATTAACCTTCATCCTAACCAGGAATTATAACACACAGCATCCTGAAGGTTCTGGCATTTTAAAACCCAGTTTTAAAAAGTTAGGATCTTCTGCAGCAGTAATGGATGAAGTCATCCATTCAGTCGTTTCTTTTGAACTGTTTATCCCTTAACTACCACAGAGGCTCTCTTGAGACTTTTGCTTAAAAGCCTAACAGAATGAAGGAGGTCATAGGTCAGGGTCAGGGAGCACTCCTGTGCTCTGAGCAATACTTAAAGAAAGCTGAGGAAATTTCTATGCAGCTGGTACATTTATTTCAATGTAAAAATTAAAGATCATAAAATGTTTTTTGTTTTTATTCTGAAAGCCTATTTCTATTTTCAGCTTTCAGAATAAACTATATATCATCTCGCTTTACAAGGCAAAACATTTTTTGAATATGAAAAATTAAAATAAGTAGCCCACTTAAAATATAAAGCTCCTACTTTGAGTTTGAAAAAACATAATTTAAATTGCTTTTAAATAATTCTTTTTATTCGATTTTAGATATTCTATGCAGAATTTTTTTTCCATTACTTTTATAGTGGAAAAACTAGTAATTTTTATCGAGTTCACTGAAGGATTTGCAAATAATAAATCAAAATTAAACACATTTTCAATCGAAAACCATGTAAAATGACATTTAATTCAAGAAATCCTTTTTGATGATTGAATGCATAGACATGATCTCAACACCAAAAATATCTTGTGTTTTTGATCTATGCCAGTAATTGAACCATCAGGTGCAAACTGTTATTTGACCCTTATTTTTATTGTCTAGCAGGTCATTCAGATTCAGCTGCTTTACTCACATATTAAAGAGTGTTGTTTCAGTAGGAAAAAAGTTGTTAGTTTCCTCAACATGATAATTTTATGTGAATGGAAAATTTTGTTGTTGTTGCAAGGGTAGAAAAGTGTAGTAGTCCTGATTTATTCAATTAATTGTCCATGTGCAACAACAGGTGAAGGCAAGGATGTGCTGCAGGTATAGAAAACTCCAAATACTCCTTTTCTTTAAGCCATCTTGCTAAATCGACTAAAAACTTAAAGAATAGTATTACTCAACATTTTAGCCATTTTGAGCAACATTGGTAACACTTACATAGTAAGATTAGAGACCTTTCTTGATGAGCACACGATGCATTTATAAAACATGCAACATGACCTTCATGTTGATTTTGTTGTCCCAAACTGCTGGGAAAAGACGAAATTTGGTGTCAGACTCTACAGTGATTGGTCAGTTAGCAGCTTCAGCTACAGCATAGAAGTTGGTGTAATGGAAGAACACACGCAGGCGAAGCGCTGCGTTGCTGTGAGGGGTTGTGAAGCTCAGGTCGGATGTTACTGGCTTGACAGATATTTTTAATTTGATCCCCCGGGAAGAAGTTGGTAATGCCACTTCCTCTCTGCTGCACACCTTCCCCTTTGACCTTTCCATAACACTGAGCATATTGAATTTCAATAGACTGTAGGAACTGAAAAGGGGAAACAGGGAAAATTAAATCAAAGGGGGTTTTCCTTGGAGGCTTCATTGAGTGAGTTTTTTTTTTTTTTTTTTTTTGTCTGGAATGGTTTCACCCTCACCAGTTTGTTGTGAAGCAGCACAGATATGTGATCAGAGCACTTAGTCTGAAAGAGCAGCGTTTGTTCTGTGGCCTGAAAGGAGTGGGTAAGTAAATACAGACCTTCATCACTGTCTTCTGTGAAAGATGGGTGTGATTCTGAGGCCTGTACTGCTTTCTGTGTTATTCTTTTTCCCACCACCACTGGGTGTGTGTCCATGTTACTGTCCCAGCCGTCCAGTATGTTTAGGCTTTATGCAGTAGAGTAAGTGCATGCCCCTGCCATATTGGGTTTCTGTAGAACAGGTGGGGCAGACTTTGCGTCATCTGTGATTGGGTCAAGTATCATGGCTTCTCCCTCATATCTGTCAGTCCCACCAAACCCCCACTGGCCCTCCTACAGATTCCCACAGTGCAGTGGGCCTCACTCTGTTACAGTTAGAATGTCCAATGCAACCCAATGTCAATCTGTTTTCTGCAAACAAGAATCAGAAAGTGTGGTTTTCATTTGCATTGAACTCTACTAACAGTAGTCAACACGCTTTAGAATCCTTTGTTGCAATAACAACAGAATTCTGCACCATGTTTGCTAAAGAAAGGATCCATGAACCACAGTTTAGTCAGGTTCTTAATTTTATTAAGAACCTGATTAATGTGTTGGATTTTGACTGCGCAATTTCAACACACATTTATTGTTTTTATATTTAAAATGTTACATAGTTACTCTGATTGTGTGTTTGGGCTTTTTTCTGCAAAAGGCTAATAAAACCCTAGTCATGTATTTCAGATTCTTATTTGTGATGTTATGTGTTGATAAAGTTCAAAAACTTTACATCTTTCAAATGCATATTTAAAAAAAGCATGACTATTTATAGTAACATTTGGAAAGGCCCCTCCCTTCTGGATGATAATTTTTCTACCTTAGCAGGAATATTTCCTTTCCAGTTCACAGAGAGGCGTTTCTTTGTGTTGGTCTAAATTCCAAGAAAAGACAATGGGTTTTGTGATTACATAAGCATTTGGACGTTTTTACATTTTACAAAGTCTTGCATATGTAGCAGAAAATCCTGACAACGACATATTGTGATACATTCAATTTGTACAACTCTTTGGCTTAATAGGCTCCGAGGAGCCTGGATGAACTCTAAGGATCACACAGTTATTAAAAACGTATTTCTCTTCTTTATTTCTAGTCATGGCTGAGGATGTATGGGTACCTACCCCAGGCCAACCGACAGATGTCCACCATGCAATCAGCTCAGATCCTGTTCAATGCCGTCAGTGATATGCAACGCTTCTACGGTCTGGAGGTCACCGGTCAGATGGACGCTCAAACCATCAGGTCAGCACTGACAGTTTCTATAGACACAGTCCTTCTCATTCACAAAAACACGCGAACCAACGGTTGACTCGGCTGTACGGCGGAAGCATAAAAGTACAACTACAATGTCAGGGACTTGAAGAAAACACAGCAGGGCTTGTAACGTCATGCTTCCTTTCATCTTTTCACTTGGGTCCTTCATATTTGAAATGCTCTCCTTCCTGTTTCTGATTTCTTTGAACCTGCTCAGTGCCATGAAGAGACCCCGCTGCGGTGTGCCTGACAAGTTCGGAGGGCAGATCAAAACCAACGTGCGTCGGAAGCGTTACGCGCTCACTGGACATAAATGGAGCAAGAGCCATCTCACTTACAGGTAACAGAAACAAACTGACTACTTTAGAGAAGCTAATTCCATAGTCACTTCAGAGTTTTCTTTTATTGCTTTAATCTGACTAAATCACTCGTTCTACCTCTTCGTGCCCCTTCAGCATTCAGAACTACACTCCTAAAATCGGAGAGTACAACTCATACGAGGCCATCCGACGGGCCTTTAGGGTCTGGGAGGGAGTCACCCCGCTGACCTTTGATGAAATTCCCTACCAGGAAATCAAATATGGACGCAGGAAGGAGCCGGACATTATGATTTTCTTTGCTTCGGGTTTTCATGGAGACAGCTCTCCTTTTGATGGAGAGGGTGGCTTTTTGGCTCACGCCTACTTCCCTGGACCTGGGATGGGAGGGGACACACACTTTGATGCTGACGAACCTTGGACCATTGGGAACCACAATGTGCAAGGTAATAAATCATGGACTTTAAGGATTTTAGTCATAATGTCTCGTAAACATGATGCCCTCTGGTAGCAGAAGCATGAAACTGAAACCAAATTCTAAGTTCAAACCTCTGGCATGGGTGGGAGAACTCTCTCAATTTTTCTGACATTTGTGGTCCATGCTGGATCACAAGCTTATGTCTTGTTTATTACAACAAAACGTAACGTCAATATTTCACAAAATGATGCTTCGCCAAGCATTGTTGATTCACCCCAAACCAGTAGATAGAAACACACCTAACTCACATTTTTCTTTTTTGTTGTTTTTGCAACCTTTCAAAAGTTCTTCATGACTGGATGGTAACACATCTTGTGACTAATCTGCACCTCTGTTCCAGGTACTCCTTATTGTGTCACCAATTCATTTTTTGTACAAAAAAAAAAAAGAAAAAAAGATGGCTACCAAACCTTTATATCAATGGGTTGTGGTGTAAAATACACAAAATTTTCAGATTCTTTTGCACTTTAAAGAACTTCAATCAAAGTCTAACCCTTACCTCGTTTCCTTTAAGCTGTCATATTGTCATTGGCACAACTCCTAACACTAATTACATTTCCTGATGCAGATACCAAATCCAGCCTCATGCAGAGCTTGGGGCTTAGAGATTTTTATTTGGGTTTGTGTGTGTGAGATGTTTCAGAGTTGATCACAGGGACGGTGGAACGCCACAGTAAGTGGGAGAGTGTTCCACCCGGGGAGATCTGCAGACCGCTCCCCTGGTTTGGACACGCTACTTAAACAGCTTTAAAGCAAAGTACAACCAAATTACTGTCTGCCTTGACACACACACACACACACACACACACACACACACGCATACTCACTCATTTAATTATGAAATGTTTGCTGCCTTCCAGGAGGGTTATGGATGAAAAGTAGCGCCTTTTCAGAAAGCATGAGCCTTCTGAGCTGAAGTTGATCCAGAACCTGATTGTGACAGTTTTAATGCGAATACATGCAGACCCATTTAATAAGCTACAATGTTATTGAAGTCCATTTACTTTATGAACTTTATTACAGAGTGAAACACATTATATAGATTAACTAGACACAAATGGATATTTGAAAACCTTTAGTTCTGAGTTATGATAATTTTTCCACTTGTTTCCGAGAGAAACATGATATTTAAAAGCAGACTATTAACATCAGACTCATAAAAACAGAAATGTGGGGTTCATAAAAATATATATCTAATACCTGTTGTAATTTTCAAAAGGTACTTTTAACCCGACAAATAAGACTCATCATGTCGTATATTCCATTTATTGAATATGTCTGCAGCTTATTTTTCCTTTTTGAGTTCTGTAGTAATTTAGATAATATTGAGCGTAACACCAAACTAACTTAGTTTCCTCAAACACTGTTCTACAGAGTTAAGAAAAATGAAACTTAAGGTTTAAACAGCAGAGGGTGAACCTCAGTTTGTCTCCTGTTAAAGACTCCTGGCCACAGAGTGAGCTCTCAACGTGTTTTGAAAAGTGAATAATGGTGTTATTAAATCAAAGATTAGAGGTGTGAACCTTGTGATGCACAGTGTGACTGATCAGCCCTGCTGGTTTGAACCAAACAACTCTTCCTTTTCATCCAAAAATCCCACGCAGACATCACATAACTCACTGCTTTTGAACAGCAGGAACAGGCTTGGCAAAAGTCAGAATTGGTTGTCAAGGTGTCGCTTTGGCCTTTTCAACTCTGGGAACCCGTTGTGTTTTTTTTTTTTGAGAAATACAGTTCTCTAAGGCAAACTAAGTTAAAATAAAACACAGTTGATAAACACCTCACCGGGGTCAGAAAAAGCTCCATTTGCTTCACTTCCTGTGGTGATTTGAGTTTTCTGTGTGTTTATTTTAGGTTTCTGTGTCTTTTGAGTCTCTGTGTTATCCTGTCTTCCCCTTGATTGTTCCCAGGTGTGTCTCGTTCCCTGATTATCCTCTGTGTACTTAATGTCACCTGTGTCTCTGTGTCTTTGTTGGGTCTTTGTCAAAACTGTCTGGTGTCACGGCGAGTCGGCTGGTCTTGTTTGTTTTGTCCATCGTGGATTCCAGTTGCTACCAGTTGAGGAGCCTTAGCTTTCTGCTTTCTCTTTGTGCTGCCTGGATTATTGGACTTTATATTTTTGGAATTTATCATTAAAATCCTCATTTCAACTTGGGTCCTCAGCGTTTGCCTCACCACCCATATTGCGCATATTGTGACACTTCTAGCACTATTTAAATCTGTTTTTCTTTTTGAATGGACGTCTCAGTTATCTCAAATTTGAGTTTTACCTGCTCTCTATTCATAAAGTCTTAAAGACATCTCAAAGAAAGTTAAAAAGAACATTTAACTTCATTGGAGGATTTGCACGAACACCCATTCTTTCACCTTAACTTTGCTGTTAAGCTGTGGTGAAGTACATCTTTCATTGATGGTAACTCGGACACACAGAACACACACATTGCTTTCAGAAATGGGATTAACATTAGCTGCAAACTTTACAACAAATTTTAGCTACAGCAGATGTGTTCTGGCTGCACATATTTTGCATGTGTTTGCCACTTATTTGAGCAGTTTGGATTTGCTTTTGAACAAATTCTTGACTTGCACTGCTTCAAAATTCCTACAGGACTTGAACATGTCACACTGTGCGACAGTAATACCCGTCAGAGTGCACAATAAAAGATGCCAGCCTGCTTGCCTCGCTGCTATGTTACTATCATTCAGACAGATCACGCTGACACGTGGGTCCACCAATAGACGGCAGGCTCTGGATGCTAATGCCCTTATTATTAGAGTTAGACTGTGAGAAGAGGAGGAGGAGGCAGAGGGAAAGGAGATGGCAGCAGAAGTGAGAGAAAGAGGACAAGAATTAGCTTGGTTGGAGCAGCAGTGACACTGCAGGATTTTCTTAGACAATATCAGACACTGATATTTGTCATTGGCGGTCTTCCACTTTCTGTGGCTGTCACAGTAAATGACAACAGGCCTTCGGCTCAAAACGAGAAATTTTCTTTCACAATGCAATATTTTCCATGCAATTTGCAGACAGGTTCTGATGGACGCTGTTAGCTTCCATTTGCTGGAAATAAATTCTGGAGCAATTTCTGGCCATAACGGCATATAAAAATGAACCAGTTTCTTGTTATGGTAAAAGCCTTGGTAAAAATGTTGATAAAGGGTTAATAGAGGAGCCATGTTAGGATGACTTCTTGAAGGTGGAGCTTCAGAAAGAGTAGGAGTTTTTCAAGAGACAGGGGCCCAATTTCAAGGTGTTAAATTAGGAGGTAAATATTGTATTTATTTATACCTGTTAAGGTATATGTAATAGAAATGTACTTTATTTCTGTTAAACAAATAACAGAAATTTATTTATTTAAGTTTCTGTCAAGGTATGTTAATGGTTCTACAGTAATCATGCCTTAATAAATGAATCTTATCATTTCCTGATATTATAATCTGAAACCATTCAGTTTAATAGAAAAAAAAACAGTAAAGAAGAAAATGTAAGGGAGTGAATACATTTTCACATGTACAACAACACAAGCGAACAGATTGAAGTGGTGAACTTGCATAACTCTGATTTAGCTTCACTGGTCTAACATCAAGCTGCACTGAGACATTTGAGGTTTCCTGTCCCTTTCTGCGTCCAGCTGAAGGGTCGCCACAGTTACCTCACAAAGGCCTCTTTATCTCTACCCAGAGCTCACTCTCTCCTCGTTCATCGCCGGCTATCTCTTGCACTCTATCTTGTCTGTTACTGTTCTCCTCCCTGAAGTGTTTGCTATATCAGCGTTCCATGAGGACTTGCATGTGACTCGGAAAGTACACAAGGTGGTGGGAGAGCAGGGAACGGGGGCGGGAGGCAACTCTGAGAGGAAATGAACAGATAGACCAGATCCTTGTGTTTTATTCTCTCGTGCATGCACAGCATTTTCTTTAAAACATGATGTCACTCATGCCAATATGACCGATCAGTGCAACTCATTATGGATCAGACAAAACACTTTGCAAGTTCAAAGTTCATTGGGGTTCACAGCACCGGGTGAAGAACAAAGAGGCATAGAGTTAGAGGAAATACCCTCCGTTGTTTTGGCTTCCCTTCAGATATGAACCTACAGGAACATGTTGGAGATAAATGTGTTTACCTTTACGAAACTCTCTCTCCTTCTTTTCTGACTTCTTCTGATCTAAGATGAACAATGTGTACAATGCCTCACTGCAAAAACACAAAATATTACCAAGCATTTTTGATCTAGCTCCTACTGCAAATATCTTAGTACTCTGGAAATAAGATAAAACTAAATTAAGAGTAACTTTTCAGCATAACAGGAAGCTTATTTTAGGTCAATAAATCCTTATTATTGATAAAAAGTACTATTAACACTGGCAGATTATTTCACTTATAAAATAAATTTTTCCCATGTGATAAGTGAAATACTCTACCTATGGAACCAGTACTTTTTAAAATGAATATTAAGGGATTATTGACTTAAAACACGTGTCTATAACTTGCTGAAATGGTATCTGTAATCAGTTGTGTTGTATTTCAAGAGATATTTGTACCAGCAACTGGACCAAGAATAATTATATTCTGTGTTTTGCAGTGTGCATGGGGTCATTACTTCCTTGACCTGTTTAATGGACAAGAATGTTTGCTGATTCATATCAGCTGTCATTAGCATAGCTGTGTCTGTTTGATCACTGAGGAGAAACAAAGGGACAATCTGTGTTATACGTGACACATACCGATTTCCCTCCTTCTGTCCCAAAAGCTGCACAATAAAAGTAAGTCTTGATTTAATCTCCTCTTGGGATCAATAAAGTAATAGAGATTTTTTTTTCAAGCCAAATAATCTCTGAGGTTTCTTTTAGACATCCTCGGCTCAGTGGTTAGTTCCTGGTTATAGACGAGTTCTGTGTTGATCCAGGTAATGACCTGTTCCTGGTGGCGGTCCATGAGCTGGGCCACACCCTGGGCTTGGAGCACTCAAGTAACCCCCTGGCTATCATGGCTCCCTTCTACCAGTGGATGGAGACGGATAACTTCCAGCTTCCCGACGACGACCGACAAGGCATACAGCAGATCTACGGTAACCTTTGACCCTTCCACTCCACTATTCAGTTCATTTTTAGTTTAAACTCATATTGGAAATAAGGATTTATGTATTTTTGCTCGGGTTATGTCAGGATATGCTTTAAGAAAAGTAGAAAAAAATAGAAATCTCTTAAACCTGAGTGTTTGAGAAAATCAGTGTGCAAAGTCTTGCTCCAAATTCTCAATTTGATATGTCTAGACTTTGACTAAGCAACTCCAACACATGACATTCTTTGACCGAAACTGCTGCAACTAATTGCTCAACCTTTAGGTTCCCCCATACTTCATCCAAAGTGCAGCAATCAAGGCAACCACGTCCCTTTCTCCACACCAGACCTGCATGGAAACAATTCCACAGAGCTCTGTGCAAGAAGCCCCGAAAGAAATACAGAGTTGGCGATGTTGTTATTTGTCTTCCACTATCCGGATCATGTATCCACAGGAGACATTAATATTTATGAGTGTTTGTGTGACATGGTGAGGAATTATGTACATTTGTAGGATTCTTCACTACCTAACTAGTATAATAATAAGACTATCAAATGGCTAAAAACTACTGGATGGAAATTGGGACATTGTTGGGTCATATATACTGAAGCTGAAGTGCATGAAACATCTGTTAACACAAGCTTTCAGAAATCTTGTGAACATGCATCAGTTCGAATGAACTATATGGGAGTCTCTTCAGGCTCCTTTGTTTTGCAACCTCCAGTCATTTGTGTGCATTCTGTCTCCAGCCATGTTCTGATGAGGTTTGACCAGCTTTCCCACAGCATCATGTTACTATTGTGTCACACTGTGAACAAGTTGAAGGTGTGTTGACGCTCTAGTATGTTTGCGTGAGTCATCTTAACTTCTGTTTTTACATCTTCACAAGCAACAGACAAAAATTAGTCATGTTTAAAGGCGAAGCTTTAGTCTTCAACTTTTTGTCATTTTTTTTCTTAATGTATAAACATGTTTACTCACAAATTGATTGTTCATAATGATTACTGTGATGGATTTCCCAAAAAATAAATAAATTCAGTAAGTAAAAGGTTAATTTCTATACTATGTTTTTTAGATTGAATTAAATTTGCCATTTCCTCAGGGTTGAGAGTATATCAAGAGCAACGTACTGTAATAGACATGATCAATCAATCAATCAATCAATCAATCAATCAATCAATCAATCAATCAATCAATCAATCAATCAATCAATCAATCACGTTTATTGGTATAGCACTTTTCAGAAGCAAGGCAGTTCAATGTGCATTACATCTTACAACCACAAAAATAAGAAGTCATATAAGCATCATGCAGTCACTAATTGAGAAACTAGTAACAATAATTACATTTTGAGGAGTGCCACCATTAAGATCATCAATACACATCAGATATGGTCCAATTATTACTGTTCAAAAGCAATCCTGAATACTTGGGTTTTTAGTCTAGATTTAAAGGAACTCAGTGTTTTGGCTGTTTTCCAGTTTTCTGGAAGTTTGTTCCAGGTTTGTGGTGGATAAAACGGGAGTAGTCCCGTCACCAGTTTAACAGTATGTCAGATTTTGAAAACAAAAAATGATTCAATATTTATCTATCAAATGATATGAAATGCTTATTTGTTTTTCAGCCATATTGTCCAGCCATACCATTTCTGGTATGGCATATCGGTAAAAGTTGAGTGTTCTGCTTTGGATCAATTTCACAAGTTAAGGAGAACAAACAGGAGAACATACTGATCATCATGCCGACTCAGCTGACCCCTCTCTGTGACTCTCTCAAGGTCAACTCAACGGCGTTCCCACTCAGGCGCTACCCACCGTGCCGGCTCGCCGTCCAGAACCCAGACCACCCCAGAATCCCCCCCGGGGACCACCCCGGACCACCGACAGACCTGACCACTACGGGCCCAATATCTGCGAGGGGAACTTCGACACCGTAGCCATGCTGCGCGGAGAGATGTTCGTTTTTAAGGTAAATTCTTCGACGAAGCTTTAGGTTCAGGTTCAGCACCCGACCGAACATGAGGTTTCATTCCTCATAGAAAAATTAGAGCTCAGAAATGGAGTCCTTTGAGAAAAAGGATGTGTGGCACGGCCAAGAACAGGTCTGCTTTCAATCAGGGCTTTGTGGATTGTAAACTAACAGGCCGGCGCTCTTTTATGAGATACAGGCCCTGCTGGAAGAGTTGGGGGTGTTCAGGTGTTTGCTTTAGGAGCCTCTGGACTCATACAAAACATTTAAAAGGAGTTAGACATGAGTAAGTTATTACCTAACCTCCTAGCTTTGTCTGGCTGTTCACTTACAATCTCATCCTTTGGCTGTTGACTGTTTTTGTTAGATTTTCATATTTCTCACAAGACATTTTTTCTGATACTATGGATTGCAGTCTTGTGGCGGTTTGTCATTATGAATCAGCTGTGCTTTAGCAACACTTACCGGTCACTGATGCAAGAAGTCCACGGGAATTGTTTCAGGGCTAGAGTTTACAGAAATTTCAGCAACACTTAGCTGTGTTTTGGTGTGTCCAGGACTTATTTGGTGATAGTCTGAGAGCAGCAGCACAACATGAGTAATGATGTTTCAGAGGAGGCGCTGCAGTGGCTGCATCAGTGTCTCAACATTATCCAAGAGCGATTCCACTGGATCCCAGGAATCCGCCGAAATGCAAACAAACCAAAACATAAAGCGAGGAAAGAGTCACCTCTTGACAAGAGTTGCATAAGAAACGTAGATTTTTAGAGGTCTGTTCCGGAGCTGGTCCCTGCTCCTCACGACACATAGATCAGTCTGTGAGCATCTCTTATCTGAGAGAGTAGGTGTCTTTGATGCAGAGCAGCAGACACAATGACCTGACATCTGGCTGCCTGGATGTGTGCTCCACACGGTCCGAGAGTTAGGTCTGCGCTTCAGGGTTTCATCTCAGACAGCTGACTCCCATTTCCTGGATCCCATCCAGTCTTGAATGTGATCTGAGGCACATTAAAATAATAAGAAAGAGAAGTCCTGCCCCTTTTCATACATGGAGCAAAAACAAAAATCTAAGAAATATTACTGAGTTTGACTCCTTTTGAATAATCATAATTACTTCAATTATAGAAAAAAATCAGTTTTTTAATAATTTTGTAGCTAATCTTTAATTTGTTCTTTTTTTTGTTTGTTAATTACATTTGTTGGTTATTGGCTGAAAGTCTGGCAGACCTTCTCAATGAATTTTTATGAATCTCTGGTAAACAGATGAATCCATTCTCCTCTGTCCTGCATGAAGGACGAAACCAGGTGTGCTTGCCATAAAGAAGCGAACGCCGAGCTTTTTACTGTTTACAGATCAAGAAGTTTCTTCCACTGACTCACCATTTAGAAACGATCAGTCTTCTGGTGAAAGTAGGTCTACTGGAATCAGTAGCGCTTATCTGAGATCTTAATGCGCATAAGCCAAATTTTACCACATTTATGGATAGTGGTGATTTCCATTGTTTTGTGTTGTTAACCTGACAGTGAAAATTACAAAGCACTTTATGAAAAATGAGATGTAGTAGAAGAGTGACGAGCAGAGAGGGGAGTAATGGGCTGTGATGAAACCATCAGACTGTTATTAGCCTGTCAGTTTTCTGCTGTTGCTGTTTTATTGTCCGTTCTGCTCTCGTTATCCTTTAGCGCTCAGTTTAATTGGCATAACAACCACAGATTTCATTGTGTTTGATGTGTGTTAAGGGTGTGAAGACAAACAGAAGCTGCTTTTTCTAGCATGTTCTAAGTAACACCAGGACTCACCTGCGATGTTGAACCCTGCAGGGTCGGTGGTTCTGGAGGGTGCGCAGGAACAGGGTCCTGGATAACTACCCCATGCCCATTGGTCACTTCTGGAGGGGTCTGCCCGGCGACATCGATGCAGCCTACGAGAGACACGACGGTCGGTTCGTCTTCTTTAAAGGTAAGCAGAATGTTTGCAAAGACACACTGAAGCATGCTGCCCAGTGGTCTATTTTATACAGGTACTTTACTGCAGCCATTACTATTATTGTTTTTGTTTGTTTGTTTGTTTGTTTTTGTGCTTGAAATAACAGGAAATAACCAGCTATTTCCTGGAGTGTTTTTTAATAATTTTAATAAAGTGGAAATACAGCAACTGATTGGTCAGAGCTCAAGATCGGCACATTTTCAATGATTGGCTCTGGGTAGTGATCAGAAAATTCATCAAAACTAAGAACTACCAGTTTTCTGTCTACAATCAACAGCATGCTCTTATGCTTTGGTGCATAAATGGGAAAAATCTTGTAATATTTTCATTTTCTGGATTCAAAAACAAAGACCTTTCAGCACATTTTTCTTGTTAGGTCCTTAAAGTTATTTGTAGGAGGAAAGTAATTGGACAAAACTGGAATCAACCAATTAGACCCCAAACTTGGATCGTATGGGAAAAGCCCGACGAGTGGATCTCTGTCGCCAAAATCAGGATCTCTGTCGCCAAAATCAGTTTTTACAACTTTGTGTAGCAACACTTCAAATAAAAGTTTTAAGTAGATGTAGATGTTTAATTGAGTGAATTAATCAGATTTTAGTTGAAAACCATATGTCATCAAAATAAGCATAATCTTCAATTCAAAAACCCTTTTTGCTTTAAAATAATTGAATAAATGGACATATGAGCTCATCATATGTCTATGTTTTGAATCTGCAAGTTCTCTAATCATCACATTTACAAAGTGTTATTCTACCCATTCAGACTTCCAGTGTTTCAGGAATCCCTGATTATTCATTTAACTTCTTTTACAAAGAAGTTTAATACTAAACATGATGCTGCTTCATGTTTAGCATTGAGATACAGTTAGGGCCAGAAATATTTGGACAGTGACACAGGTTTTGTTATTTTAGCTGTTGACAAAAATATGTTCAGAAATACAATTTATATATAGTATGGGCTGAAAGTGCACACTCCCAGCTGAAATATGAGAGTTTCCACATCCAAATCGGAGAAAGGGTTTAGGAATCATAGCTCTGTAATGCAGAGCCTCCTCTTTTTCAAGGGACCAAAAGTAATTGGACAATGGACTCTAAAGGCTGCAAGTAACTCAAAAGGCCTTTCCCTCGTTAACCTGTAATCAAGTAAGTAGTTAAAAGGTCTGGGGTTGTTTCCAGGTGTGTGGTTTTGCATTTGGAAGCTGTTGCTGTGACCAGACAACATGCGGTCAAAGGAGCTCTCAATTGAAGTGAAGCAGAACATCCTGAGGCTGAAAAAAAAGAAAAAATCCATCACAGAGATAGCAGACATGCTTGGAGTAGCAAAATCAACAGTCTGGTACATTCTGAGGAAAAAGGAATTGACTGGTGAGCTTGGGAACTCAAAAAGGCCTGGGCGTCCACGGAAGACAACAGTGGTGGATGATCGCCGCATACTTTCTTTGGTGAAGAAGAACCCGTTCACATCAACTGAGGTCCAGAACACTCTCAGGGAAGTAGGTGTATCTGTCTCTAAGTCAACAGTAAAGAGAAGACTCCATGAAAGCAATACAAAGGGTTCACATGTAGATGCAAACCATTTATCAATTCCAAAAATAGACAGGCCAGAGTTAAATTTGCCCAAAATCACCTCAAGAAGCCAGCCCAGTTCTGGAAAAGTATTCTATGGACAGATGAGACAAAGATCAACCTGTACCAGAATGATGGGAAGAAAAAAGTTTGGAGAAGAAAGGGAACGGCACATGATCCAAGGCACACCACATCCTCTGTAAAACATGGTAGAGGCAACGTGATGGCATGGGCATGCATGGCTTTCAATGGCACTGGGTCACTTGTGTTTATTGATGACATAACAGCAGACAAGAGTAGCCGGATGAATTCTGAAGTGTACCAGGATATACTGTCAGCCCAGATTCAGCCAAATGCTGCAAAGTTGATCGGACGGCGCTTCACAGTACAGATGGATAATGACACCAAGCATACAGCCAAAGCTACCCAGGAGTTCATGAGAGCAAAAAGGTAGAATATTCTGCAATGGCCAAGTCAATCACCAGATCTTAACCCAATTGAGCATGCATTTCACTTGCTCAAATCCAGACTTCAGACGGAAAGACCCACTAACAAGCAAGACCTGAAGGCTGCGGCTGTAAAGGCCTGGCAAAGCATTAAGAAGGAGGAAACCCAGCGTTTGGTGATGTCCATGGGTTCCAGACTTAAGGCAGTGATTGCCTCCAAAGGATTCGCAACAAAATATTGAGAAAAAACTTTTTTGTTTGGGTTATGTTTATATGTCCAATTACTTTTGAGCTCCTAAAATGTGGAGTGTTTGTAAACAAATGTGTACAATTCCTACATTTTCTATCAGATATTTTTGTTCAACCCTTTAAATTAAACGTTACAATCTGCACTTGAATTCTGTTGTAGAGGTTTCATTTCAAATCCAATGCGGTGGCATGCAGAGCCCAACTCACGAAAATTGTGTTACTGTCCAAATATTTCTGGCCCTAACTGTACTATTTTATGCTGGAATATCTTCACTATTAGCTTAACTGCGCTTAGCACAACTTAAACACAATAGTCTTTTCCATCGTCCCATCTGGTCGTTTCATTGAAGAAAAAATGAAGATTACAGGTCAAGGGAAGCTGCTTTGTCTCTCATCGCTGTTATTTGAGGATGTAGCTCGTGCCTCAGATTCACAGGCTTACTGGAAACATTGGAGTACAAATGTTCCTCTTGGAACTTTTGCACTCAAATGTTCCAAGTATTTGCTACAATGGTTGTGTTAAAATTTTAACGCATTAAAATCTGTGTAATTAATTAATCAAAATGAACACATTTAAGTCCTGGACCTAATTTATACCCCGAACTTTTAGATGCATCCCTCTTTCAATACACCTGAGTCAAAGTCAAAATAGACCCCAAAGCTAAGCTAACAGTAATAATTTTCACTTTCAACAAATCATATTCAAATTTGAATATGATTTGTTCGTCTTCTTTAAGGATTGTACATTTAAAATTAAATGTACAATCCACTTAATTTTAACAGTGGTAGTTATCAAAAATGTGTCCTACTCTCCATATTCTAAACTACACATCATTCACTGACTTTCTTTGAAAAGCTTATGAACCTTCTGGGTTCCCTCTAAGAGAACTACAGTACGTAACGAACTCTGCATAAATCTTTCTCAGTGCTGCCTGTTATTTTATACTGTCAGGCTCAGAGAGCAGATAGCATTTTATAGCTCTGAATGGAAGTTGCTGAATGAAAAAGGAAGCGTTTAGCCTTTAGCTCTGCCTCGCTCTGTAGGGCTGCATGCTTTGGGGGCAGCTGTTGATAATGAGGAGAATGATGTCATTGGCGAGCCTCTCGGCGTGACAGTTGGCCGTGAGCCATTAGTGAAGGAAGGGCCAGACAAGGAGAAAAGGCGCTGGACAGAAAATCAGACCTCACAGCTCAATATGAAGAAGGGATGTATATTCCTAGAGAATAAAACCCCCATCTGATCAGTCAGTGTTACTTTTTATTCAGTCACTGCAGTCAGTTTTCCTCTCATGCTTGTGTTTTTGAAATGCGGCAAGAATGATGTAAAATGCCAATTACTGCTCTACATCTTGCGGTGACTCGGTTAACAGACAGTTTGCTGCATTTGAGAACATTTGTTCTTCAGTCACCAATAAAATTAATTGTCAGTAATGTCAATGTCAGTCTGAATTTCACTGATTGTTTTTCAACTTTATGGATTACAGACTTATTCTGTGTAATTCCTCATTGTAATTGCAGCAAAGACACCCAATTTGTTAACCTCATTTTATACCCACACTCCACTATTTCATTCTTTCATACTTTCAAATCAGTTCATTTATAGACTATGACAGATTATTTCCCCTGATCAAAATAGCTCTATGCAACTTCCTGCTAGTAGATCTTACCCTACTGACAGGAAGTGACTATATTTCTGTATAGTAGCCAACAACAACTTTGTAGCATCAGTTGAAATGTCCTCTAACAGGTGGTAATTGACACATTGAGGGTACAAAATGTCCCATACCAGACAGCTTTATCTTGTAGTCAAAAAAGTGTTATGAAGTGGCAGAGGGCCAAACCGTAAAGCTTCCTGATATATTTGGGCATTAGTCAGCCTGCCAAGACAGAACCTACTAGGCTGGTAGAGGGATTGTTCAAAAATAAAGAAATGAGTCAAACGTAACAATACTGAAATTTCACACTAAATATTAAATACTATTTTTAATACCATGGCAACATTTTTTATAGGCACAATGGGGAAATCCTTTAACCTCTCTAATTAGCGCAAAACCAAAAAGTAGGTGAGATTTTAGCCCTTTTTTAGAAAAATATACAATTAAAAAATATCACTGTGCTATTTGTCTAAACAGTAGGCAAGATATTTTGTGTAATTAATAATACTGACCTTTTTAAGTTGCTTTCAAAGGTCCATGTCACTTGCAGTGTTAGCTTGTAGCGTTACAGATTACATTTTTTTCCTGTTCGTCTAATTTTGACGACTACAAAACATTGTATTTGTATTTTACGGACACATTCGCGAGAAGCTCCTGCAGAAAGAAATTGGTTAATTTGAGTAAATGAGAATAGGTCATTTTATATGGATTGTGATGTAAATTAGTATCTTTGAAGAATTACTTTTTCTAGAATCAATTACATTAAGACATCAAAATGAACATAATGCTGGAACTGAGCACCTCTGTCTTAAAACTTAATGTTGTTAAAACAGTAAGATCATTCTTTCAGTGAGAATAAAGCTGTAGTCTGCCAGAAGACCAGCCGTTCCTTATGTATAATTACTAACCAAATCCAAACTTCTCATATGGCATATCCGCTGTTGATGTGTTCTGATTACCTAACAACACATCATTTGTTCATTTTTATTATGTAAAAACTTGCATAAAGGCTGGGTTTCTGTGATTGTTCTTGACTTGAATAACCAGAAATGCATGAAAGAGAGCAAGTATTTCTGAGCCTGTCCCAGTACAAAAAACCTTGTACCTGAGGTTATGTAGGATATATTTGCCTGTGAAAGAAAACTAACCCGATTTCTTCTCCTTTCTCCCTTGTCTTCATCAGGAAACAGATTTTGGCTCTTCAGGGAGGCAAATCTGGAACCAGGCTACCCTCTCGATCTGGTTGATTATGGTCGAGATATTCCCTACGACCGGATAGACACTGCAATCTGGTGGGAACCGTCCGGCTACACTTACTTCTTTCAAGGAGACAGGTAAAGTAGCCGACGGTCTGTATATAAAATGCATCACCATCCGTAATGCATAGAAATGTATCCACCTCATTGTGCTAATGTCCTGAATCTTCTTTCAGTGGCAACATGTGCAGTTTGAGTTAAATGCACTTCAGCTGATTTAGAGAGGTTTTCAGTTCACTATGAGCTGTTTAAATACTAACATGCCAGGAGTATCAAGCCTAGTTTGGCCATGCATAGACAATTAACAACCAGAAGCAAAACCTTTTTTCCACCATTGTGTTCAGGTACTGGCGCTTTGACGAGACGTCACAGTCTGCTGACAGAGGCTACCCAAAGTCAATCGATGTCTGGGACTCTTCAGTGCCCTCTTCTCCGAAGGGGGCCTTCCTTAGTGATGATGGGGGTGAGCTCAGACAGAATGAAAGGATTTATTCTCTGTGTGTGTTTGTGTGTATGTGTGGAAGTGCCTGAAGAAGAATGAGACTTGTCTGAAACAAAGAATCGGGGTGTGGTCAAGTCTTGAGTGACCATTACTTAATATCACTAGTGTTTCTGTTGAAAGTGAAAAAGACAAACATGACATACTGTCGTAATTTTAGGGTGACGCATTCTAATGTTTTTGCATGTTCCAGCATACACCTTCTTCTATAAGGGCTCCAAGTACTGGAAGTTTGATAACCAGCGTATGAAGAGCGAACCAGGCTATCCCAAGTCCATCCTGAGAGACTTCATGGGCTGCAGTGTGGACCTGGATCCCGACAGAGACACAGACTCCGGACGCAAATACCCAGACCTAAACCGTCCACCGTTCAACCCAGACGCTGGCCGTGATGCGGACAAGGGCAAAGGACGGGATGGGACAGACCGCGAAGGCACAGACTCTGACAAAGGCAAAGGCTCGGACAAGGACAAGGACGAAGATTATATTGAGGGTCGGGAAGAAGACACCAATGAGGTAGACGTGGTACTGAAGGTGGATGACAGTGAGGAACGAACCATGAATATTTTGATGGTGACCATCCCTCTGGTCTTGGTGATGTGCATCCTCGGATTGATCTACGCCATCATCAACACGCTGCAGAGCAAAGGGACGCCACGGCTGCTAGTGCACTGCAAGCGCTCCCTTCAGGACTGGGTCTGACCCTTGGCTTGAGGAGGCTCTGAACTTTACATACCTCCCCCTCCTCTCACCCAGATCTCTTTCTGGTGATCCATCTGTGCTCAGTGGTTGCTGCAGCTCTTAGTAAATGTGACACTAGATCCATGCTGATCCAGTACTGATAAAAACTACAATCGAACATACATCATGTCTTACATTTAGAGACACTGATACACCACCTTAACCACCTCCCTTCGCCCATGGTGCTCTACAGTGCGTTGACTGTAATCTATTTATGACAGAACTTTGCACATTTTTTCTTTTCATGTTGTTTTGGTTCCTTCTGTGTGAGACTTCATGTTATTATTAGTTCATAACCAGGAAAGCTGTTCTGCTCTCTGTCTTCTCTGCAAGGCCCTCCTCCTTCCCTTGAATCTCAACGGGGCTTTCTGTTTGAGGATATCGTAACATCTGCTTATGTCATCTCACAAAGGGTTAACAAACAGTGTAGACAGAGCACTGGGTTTGAAGCTTGGTTGATAATCAATTCTGTCATCACATTTAGATGCTTGTCTGCAGTGTAGTGTATCAAAGACATGCTGCTGGGTTTAACTGGAAATGGTTAACACAGATTCAGCAGAAATCTTGGAAATTTTTATATCTCGCGTGAGGCTTTGCTAAAACCCTCTGACTCAGGCAGTTACAAGACAGGTGTTTTCCAGGGTGGTTTTGGATTTTTCTTACATGATTGATGACTTCAGCCCCCCCTACCAACAAAAAAAAAAAAGTTCAGTCCTGCTCATCTGCTCAACAGGGTTGTTGAAATAACCAGGTTGACACTTTGGTGAATCCATGGCTTTCCTTTTTTTTCCCCTTTAGAACAGAATCCACCGCGTTCATGCTGACAGATATTTTAGAATTCAGACATCTTTGAGAATCTTCAGCAGGAAACATGGGCTCCAAATTAAGACTTCTCGAAACCTCTCGTTTTGTTGTTGAATTGATGAGTGTTATTAGTTCATACATAGTTTATACATCTGTGCTCTGGAAACCACAATGGAAGAGCTGTGGGCTGCATAACATTTTAAAGGTCACGACTGGCAGGAAATGGTGAACAGCGTCAAAGAAAACAGGAGCTAAATTAATTTTGGGCGATTAATTTAGCCGTAGCTGTCATCCTTAGTTTTCATGTAATGCTGCCATCGGTACCCCTCACCCCCACCTCAAAGTGAATCAGAAAAGCTTCATTGTGCCAGCAGTTATCCTAACTTCCACAGGCCATGTTAGGGTAGGGGCCAATTTTATTTGCCACAGATCTAAAACACAACACAAAACAAACACGCTAATGTCCAGATACTAAAACTCTAAGTTTTAGTATCTAAAACTAAAACTTAGTTTTAGATACTAAGTTTTAGTATCTAAAACTAAGGCTAAAACTCTAATATTTATGTGGTCTTTTTGGAAAACACTGGCATTCTTCTCCTTTTCTCAAAAGTGATGAATAAATTACAGATTTACAATCTCATCTAGAAATCATGACTTAAAATAAGATTCAGATTGCAGTAAACGTTGAGTATTATCAAGCAAAGCTTAGCATTCCTGCTTTAGCCGCTTCTCAGCTGGCTGGACCATCTTTCTTCCCATATATGGGAACAAATATAAAGACTTCTCTGTCCTACAGGAGAACCTGTTCCCTTTACATTCAGGTCAGGCTTATCCTCAGTCTGCCTCTTCTCTGTCAACAATCAGGAATTTCCTTTGTGCTGCACATGAGGAGGAGTATTCATTATCTGAGAGAACCTTAACCTTAAACCGTAGCAGAGCCCAGCTAATGTTCCACACACTCCCAAACATCCTGTCTGTCCAGCACAATTCAAGAATGATGACCTGCAATCTTGGTGTCAGAACAGTGGGGTATCTGGACACACCAGGGTGGGCTCATGTGACCACAGGCTAATCCTCCCCATGAAAAACAGCAGGTGTGCACAAAATGCCGTTAACCCCCTGGACCTTTCCCTTAAATCCTTAAGTTCCCTTGTATCGGAAAGCTCCTTGCTCCTTTTTCATCTTGCAAGAACAAAGGATGATGTCTTTCTAAAGCAATCATTGGATCAGCCCTTAGGGCAAATTAAACATGTCAGTAAGTGTGCAATTGCATATTTTTCCTCTGCACAGTTGTAGTGGAATTAGATTTTTAGATAAAGTGAATCTTTATTCACACTTTGAAAGGACTGCTAACCATAAAAACCTTCCATATGTTACATTTTGTTTTGTCTCTTGACATGGAAACTGACTTACTTGAAAATGACTAATTCAGGTTGTGAATTGAACTTACAGTTTGGTGTTAGTATCTCCACCGTCACATTGTAGTTTAACGGTAAATTGGAGTTGTGGTCCTCTGAAATAAATTGTTCCTTATCATTATTCTGATTTAGCATCTAAAGGTGAGTCAAGCTGTTGGGTCAAGCTTGACCGCAAATGAAGAAAGGCTTATCTATAAGGAAGAAGCATGGGGACTGATGGGTGGAGCTTTGGCGGGTTGCTCAGATGTAATTGGGGAGTGTCTGACTGTCCTACAGCTGAAACAAAGGAGGGGGGAGGGGCGGAGGGAAGGACGTTGACTTGGCTTCCCTCGGGCTACAAAGTGTAGATCTCAGGAATAAGGAGGGCTGGATGAAAGAGGAGAAAAAGAAAGAGGGGCCAATGGAGGCAGATCTGTCTGAAATTCTACCAGCATCCTGGAAACTCAATCACAAAGAGATTTATTCTAGAAGTCTCTCACTCACTGCTCAAGTAAAGCCACTTCCTGTATACTGTTTGCACTGTTTCACATTTTGTCACACTCACAAATTTCCGTGTCTTTTTGGTATTTGATGTGACGGACCATCACAAAGTAAATCTGGAAAGGGCTGGAAAGTGAGGCATGCTCCTGATGTCGATGCACAGAGGAACAACATTTTGCTGCAGTTACAGCTTCAGGTCTTCTGAGGTTTGTCTCCACCAAGTTGGAATCTCAAAGGGCTAAAATGTTTGCGTATCAACAACAAAAAAACAATATCACCTAAGTTTTAAATCATTTAGCAGTAAATTATCACAAAATATGTGGATGTTTGTGGTTCCAGCACAATAAAATGTGCAAAGGTTGAAGAGGAAGGTATAGCTTTGAGTCTGGCCGTTGACCCTGAGGCCCTCTGCAGTGTTAAGGTGAAGGCTTGTGTTGGTGGGACACCTCAACAATTAACGGCTCACTCAGCCTGACAAGAATCTGGAGATTGATCTAAGGCAAGTCAATCCTGGTTGCTTCGAAACGGTGTCCTGTGTCCATTTCTCATCCCCCTCATCATTAATAAGTTGTCAGAGGGAGTGGTTGGCGGACGCAGCTAATCAGCGCTAAAAGCACCGTCCTCTCCTGTCCTCCCTTTCCATTGGTCCAGCTGGGACATCTGCGAGTACTCAGACATCCCAGTGTCTGGACAGGCTCAGAAAGTGCACACTCACCGCATTAGACACTAAGTAGCAGATAGAGTTCATCAATCTGCCTTTCCTGTGACCTCCAAACAACCACTTTAAAGAGCAGAGAGCCAGCAGAAAGATGACTGAGCCGATGCGCCTCAGAGATCTCCGCGCTCCGCCAGTTCCAGCATCTTCTTGTTGTTCCGTCCCACTCAATGTCTCTGGACACCAAGCGCGAGACGAGTATTGAAAGAACTCTTGTCAGAGGTGATTGATGAGCGTGTTGAAGTGTTCAGTTAATCAGCCCTACTCTCCATCAGCAAGCTCTATTTTCTGATAGTAAATCTCCCACCCCCTCTGCATGCCCGGCCCCAGAAGCCCGGGGGAATCATCACAACAACAATGGCCTGCTCTCTTCCTCTCCCCTCCCTCCATTTTCTCTCCTTCGCCTTGGATGCATACTCGCACAAAAACATTATTGTCTCCCTCAACCCAATCTCAGCCCACCTTCCCTTTAGGAAACCAGTCCAGCCTTTTTTTTTAGATCAGCTGTGAGGGAATTTGCTTAAACAAACACTACCTGTCAGCTCTGTTGCTTTCTTTAAGGCCCGGACCAGGAAGCAGGCGGTACACTCCTAGGGTCTCAGATGCCAGTGTGGGGAAGACTCGGACATGCTGAGCTTTCATGTGTCTCAGGATGTCTCTGTGTAAACACGGCATGCTGAGCGTTCCTGGCTCAGCCCCGACGGCCCAGCTTTCAGCACAGAAAGCCTAACGCCTCCAATTCCATTCCACTGCTATTTAGAAGGCAGCAATTAGAGGCGGACCAATCGGAGATCTGTACCTGATATGCAGCTTCCGCTATTTTTTTCTTTTTTTAAAAACGGTGGATATATATGTAGCCACTTCCAAGAATAAGGGGCTTGTTGAGCCAACACCTCCCTTTGACGTCTCCTCTGATGGCGTAAAAATGGTCTGGATACTTAAGAGTTCCACGTCTAGTTGTCCAAACAACTGTTAGCATTGCATTAGTAGCAGCTTCTGTGTGTTCCTTAGCAACTCTGAAACATTTCCTTTGGTTCATGCGGCTTTCATTCACTAGAATCTCAGCACGAGGAAGGATGATGAGATAAGAGGACGACATGCAGTACATGGGTCAAGAGAACTGGACTGGACTCACACGACGCCTCAACGTTAACAGTATTTCTGAATTCAGCATGTTTCACAACTTAGAGCGGTTCAAACATCAATCAGATCAAATGCAGCCATGTCGCTTCAGTTCATCCAGCTTTCCTGCCAGTCTGACTTTATGCAGTGGCCTGAATGAAGTGCAGACATGTCTCAACGAGTCAAAAATGTTCCTTTTAATGGTCTTCATTTGGTTTTTATTGTTCCTCCAATTTTATTTCTGAACATTTCGCTGAAGGTAAACAACTGACTCTCCGTCAGTGGCAACTTCCACGCCAAAGAGTGTTGTTTGTTGTTGGTGTGACCAGGTAGCACTGGTGTCCAGTGCATCGATTGGTCATCAGCCGGTTTCTCCGTGCAGCTCTGTCTTTGCTGTCACACCTTCGCTGAAGACGGACGGACAGCAGAGGATCTGAAGAACATACTGCCTCACTTTTCATTTAAGTCAGCTTTTGTAGTTTAGATTGGTTGGGCCCCAGAGCACTGCAGTTTGCCCAGATCCTCCTGTTTTCCCAGAATGCCCCTCAGCTTGCTCACTGAGCCCATCCACTTGGAAACCACTCATTTTAAATGGCCACTCCACTAACTCTCCATGGGAATGGAACAGAAAAGAAGGCTTCCAAATGACTTTCAGAGCCTTGAGAGTGCAACAGATGAGTGATCATCGTGCCTCTAAGGACATTCAAGACTGGTCGGCAGGCGTCCTAATAAAACTGCCTCTATCCTCTAGTTGCAGCTACAGTAGAGACTGGCTTCACGCCGTTTGACTGTTTCTGTTATTTTCTGTAAAATAAAGAATTTCAGTTTTGTCTCTGCCGGGGATGAAATGATGTGGAAAATGTGTTTTTATTTCATTGTTTATAACATTCCAATGACTATTTTGGATGTTTTTTTTTGTTAGATTTTTTTTTTTTTTACATTTGTGTTGTGTTCAATTCTAGTTTAGTGTGTTAACAAGCCATGCTGGACATGTACACATTAAAAAGTGCTCTGAGAAATGGAAGAATGGTTTTCTAAGCTTTTTTTCCCCCCTGTTTGTGGAGCTGAAACAGCAAAAATGCTCCAGGGCTTATCAGAAGAAACTACGATTCCACACACACACAGAGCACACACCCTCCTCTCTTCCTGTGGTGAGGTCACTGTCCAGGAGGGCCCAGCTTCCTGTCTCACACGGGACAGGCAGCAGAATGGTCTTGTAGCCACTGGAAGGTTTACGGTGGGGGTGAAACAGGCTGGCAGGATGCCAGGAAGCCACATGAGCTGCGAGGAAGTCAGCGAGCCGCTGAAGCAGCCTGTAAGAAACTAAAACGACACACTGAGAGGAAATTCATTGTTTGCTGCACCACAGAGGGTTTTATCCCAACACTGCAACACAGAGCAGCAGAGTTTGATTAAATGTGCAGTTAAAAAAAAAAAAGAAAACATACCTCCTGCTCATTTGTCTTAATTGTCTAATAGTCATGCCAAATTCTTCCTTTGTCTTCATGTGAATCACTCAGAGAATTATCTAATTGTCAGGAGTTTCCCATGTCTCTGTCCAGGGCTAACAGTCAAAATAATCAATGCCAAATGTACTCATTTTAAAAATGATAATTCTTCCCCAAAAATAAAATCAATCACCACAGCTAGCAAGAGATATCTATCTATCTATCTATCTATCTATCTATCTATCTATCTATCTATCTATCTATCTATCTATCTATCTATCTATCTATCTATCTATCTATCTATCTATCTATCTATCTATCTATCTATCTATCTATCTATCTATCTATCTATCTATCTATCTATCTATCTATCTATCTATCTATCTATCTATCATGTCCTTCATGTTATTCATATGTAACAAACAAGTGGTTTATCAGGCAAATATTAAAAAAGAAACAGATGAAAGGGATGTAAAAACAACAACAAAAAACTTCTTTATGAATGATAAAATCTAATCCAAAGAAATTATGACCATATAAAAAAAGAAGTTCAGTTTAATTCAGTTTAAAATCATCAGAGATCACATGTCAAAGCTCTTGTGGAATAAGAAGTTGTGTGGAAATCTCAGCATATGTAAAATGATTGTGTTGATCAAATTTAGGAACTTATTTTTTGACCTAATAAAACCATTTTAGAATTACCTTGTTTTTATCAATCTGGAACCCAGAGGCTGAGAAGCACCAGACGTTGATAAGCAGAGACTCCTAATGATTCAGGATCCTGACACAGTCAGACCCCCAGGCTGCCAACCAGGACCATAAATATTGGGAGTAAAAGAGTGCAAGACCCCCACTGCTAGCTGATACCAGAGTCTCCTCCAGCCCTACGCCAGTCCTCTATGTCTCCTAGCAGAGTATTGGAATGGAAGTGCAGGAGGAGGCACTGCAGGGTGCTGCACCCAGCCTCCAAGGAAAGGAAGGCAATTTTATTATTATTGTTATGTGACATGAAGAAGTCGTTGTAATCAATGCGATTAAAGATAAGTACATGGATGAGTTTCTCTGGATTGTGCTGGGTCATTAGTCCTTCAGAACCAGGATTGTTTTTCAGGTGATAGAAGGCCGACTTTGTGAATGCCTTCATGTGTATCTGAAGGTTCAGGTCAGAGTTCATCACTACACCCAGATTAAAGCCTGATTTATAGTTTGCAGCTGTAGTAACTGAAGATGTGCATTGACTCTAAATCTCTCCTCTTTAGGTTCAAAGATAATAACTTCAGTTTTGATTCTGTTCAGCTGCAGAAAGTTTTAGCATGTCCACAACTGTTCTGAACATCTGTTCAGTGATTGGATAGTTCAGAGTCACCTGATGACATCGTTATGTAGAGCTGTGTGTCGTCTTCATAAGTAGATGACTTTATGATCTTTAAACCACTCTGACTGGATGCTGATTGTATGTTAGAAGGACCTGTTAGCATCTGAGCTTTTACTTCTTGCTTGATATCTTTAGATGTTGCTTCAGTATTTCCACATTTCCTCATGACATCATCTATTTTAGGATTTGTGCCATTTCCTCCTCAACAAAGCAGCGCCACAACAAGATGCTGCCACGCTGCAGCCTGACTTTTTAATGTTTCCTTTGGAGGAATGACTTCTTCCTCTGTGAGCGGCCTTTCAGTCACAACGGGACGTGCTTCACTCTGTCTCACCAGCTTCAGCCTGCATGTTAACAAGGTCACAAGGTCATCTAGTTAACAAGACAGTAGTCACTCTATATGTAAACGTTCAATTCTGAAGACGTTAAATTAATAAATAAATCTCTGACATATTCTTTCTCTCATTATTGTGGCATTGAGCAACTAGAAATAATTTTGGTAATCCTAAAGAAAATCTAAAACAAAATAAATAAGTTTGATCTGATAGAGAAGAGGTGAGCATGTCTGTGTGTTTGATGCGTTCCTGCTGCGGTTGTGACGAGGCACACGGTGGAACAGCACTGTTGTTGCTTGCAGCTGTGTCTTTACTCACATTTAGTCCCATGACTCATGTTTCCGGCACACAATCACACATAAAACAGACGCAGTTCATTACTAGCTGGTGCAGCTTATGGCTCGCAGTAAATGTTTGAATGAGGTCCAGCTGAGACACCTGTCTGCTGATAGACACTTGCTCTAAATAAAAACAAGTCCTGGGTTCTCTCTAATGCCTACACTTCATCATCTTTTAACTATGAAGTCAAAAGAAGATGCAGAAGGCAGGTAACTGTCATGACTGCAGACATACTGAGAGCCAATACAGACTTTATGAAACTGGGTTGTGTGAAAAACATGGATGCAATCGATGCTTTAGAAACTAAACGTTTGTGGAGTGTATTGTTCCTGAAGTAAAATCTCTCGTTTGTATATTTCTGTTCTTTCTTTGTCTTTCTTTTCTTTTTCAATAAGCTCAGCTGTCATCATTGTGAAAGTTGCTTCATAACAGACATATGATGTCCTCAGCATAAATAAGAAAAACTGTTTAAGCATTTGAAAATCAAAATAATAATTAATATTAACATAATATTAATTCTAAAACTATGAGGAAAACTGACATTTTAAACTTATGATATTAAAATGTATTGTAAGTCTAATTTTTTTAGGGGTGAAAAAGATCTGAGAGGGACTGCTGAAATACTGTGAAAAAGTCAGAGGCTTGGAGTGTGAACATAGCCCAAAGTGCTTAGAAAAACCTCTGATTATATTAATCAGATTTGTGCTACGAAGACTACCATAAAAATATGCCCAGAGTCATATCTGGCCAATCAGTTTGTGATATTTTTGCCAGCATCCTGATCGAAGCTTGAGACTTTCATTTGCTCGTTTTTGCAGTTTTCTTTCTTCTTAAAATAATGTTTTATGAAACATCCTCTCCTATGTGTACAAATTGGCAAACATAAATTGCAATCAATTTGTTGAATAGTATTCTAAAGTAAAGATTAATTCTGAAAGGAAGGTGAAGGTGCAGCACCTTAAAACCAGACAGTCAACCGTTAAATTTCTCTTCTCTTCTCTTCTCTTCTCTTCTCTTCTCTTCTCTTCTCTTCTCTTCTCTTCTCTTCTCTTCTTCTCTCTCACTGTGCCATCCTTCTGTTCTTGTTATTCTTGTTCTTGTTACCTCATGTTTCAACATGAGGTAATACTGTAGAAACATCTGTGCCACAAATCGTTTCAGTGTGTCTTCATGCAACCTTTGGCAGACATCACCACAGAGAGATGTTTCAGACACTCCTGATGCTTATAAACCGCTGTGAGGACAGAGGTGCAGCCTGGGGCCAAACCTCACTCAGACACAGCTGGATGGGCCCCAGGCCTTCGCTGTGCTGCTGCAAACACCGGGACTTTTTCATAAAGGTATAAAAGTGGTGAGGTCACCTGACACCTTTGATCAGAGTGAGTTTACTGAACCCACTGTGAGTTAAGGAGGTGCCCGCACCAATGATCAGTTTCCTGGTTTACTTCCGTGCCCGGCCTAAAATGAAAATGACGTTGGATGCTGAAACATATGAAGGTGGTGAACAAATGTCAAGAAGGACAAAGTGTGAGACACCATGTGGCTGACAGAGGATATAAGACAGTGTGAAAGCACCTCAAATCACAGCAGTAGCTGCGTTTCTATTAAATGTGCGAAAACCTTTTAATTATTTCACTAATGTCGAAAAAACACAATTTTGCAATTGCTGTGTTTTATTTCGTAAAAAGAGAAATTCAAACAAATGAGTTTATAAGTCATTAAAATTATGGCAGTGACAGATGTAAACAGTTACATAACACATTCATAACTCAGCATATTTTTACACATTGACTTTAATGTATAATTATGAGACTGTTGTAAATTCTCAAAAACATGTATTTCAGTATTTAACACTATTATTGATTAAAACTTAGGCACTGAAGTCACAAAAGTAAAGCTTTTCTTGTAGCAAACATAACGATGAAGAGAGACAGTTGCATTTTACTAGATGTATTGTAAATATCTATTAAAATGTTTTGGATAGTTATTATGTTTTGCATATCTACAAAATATGTGAGAATGGATTGGTGAAAACTGCTGAAGTTTTTACTTTTTTTTTTTTCCTGGGAGAATATTTTGACCTACTTTCTAAAACAGCTGATTTCAGAAAAACCAAGCGCCAGACTTCCCACAACCCATTGTGTTATGAACCTTTGACCTTTGCAGACCCAGGAGAGATGAGACGGAATCGCAGCTGGGGGCATATTCACAACTTCACTCTGCTTCACAGATTTCTCATTTAAAACTCATTTGTTTTATTCACTTTTAAGATGAAAATCTGTTGGCTTTCCTTCAGGCACGTCTTGTGAATTTGCACGTTAGGATCGATGTGACTCGAATAAGCCGGCATCGTGTGCAGAAAACTTCACTGCCTTAAGGGATCCAGAGTGAGCAGATCTACCTGATCATCACACTGATCATGATCTCCTCGCTGACGTCTTGTGTTTACGCCGTCTTTGGTGGACGCGTTTCAAAGTGCATTCTTACAAAAACATTCCTGTGTTACGATAAAGCTATTATCCCAATCATTGGGGGGAAAACTCATAAAA